CGGGATCAGCATTCCAGCCATCTTTTACTGTAAATTCATGTCAATATTTTGAACTGTAACATGTGAATCACAACTTCCACTATGTGACAGCAAATATTTATTTAAATCAAATATTAAATTATTTTTCATATGTCCTATCGTTCAATGCGTTGGACCTTGGTGTCTCATTAACGACACGTTGGTGTTTCAGGAGGTTTTCTCATCACAATCAACGTGACGTCAGATGAAGACGATAACGTTGTGTCACAGTTAGACAAGGGAATGCATCACCTTGGAAGTTTTGTGACTGATATGGCAAGAGAGGGCGTGATATCACAAGTGTGTGATGAAATGAATATAATATTTTCAAATCCATGGTTAATGCTCTCGATATACATTATCTGCTGGCTTCACGAGAGAAGTACTACTTCGAATGAGAGAATAGAAGATTCATGGAGGGATGCATAATTTATTCTTTACATAAAACTGACCAACTGCAGCGCTTATTCCGTCTTTGCATATTGCAGAGTTATCTTCTCTTGTGAGCAGGAATTGATTGTTACGTCATTTGTTTGTGAGAGTAACGTCATCAATTTTTGAGAAAACGACGTATTTTTTTCACACAAACCAATGACGTAACAATCAATCCCTGCTCACAAGAGAAGATAACTATGCAATATGCAAAGACGGAATAGGCTACATGTACTTTATCAAAGTTTATCAAAGGACTACTCTGAGATGGTAAGCACGTTAATTTTACTGCTGTCGCGCAAATTAATTTACCTTAAATCAAAGCACGACTGTAGCTCAAAAGTATGCAGGATTCCGTCTCTGATTTCAAACTAGTCAACACGTATCGTTCCAAGGTTGTCACGTATCAGGAAACAGAGATGCTACAGAGATGAGAAAGTAAATCGTGAGCACAGACCGTTGATTTCGAATATGTGTTGATTATGATATAAAGTGGATTATATCCAACTGGTCCCGGAATATTCCGATATATTGTCGAGCTCGAACTGTGTAATTATTATCCCTTTCTATATTTTTAAAACAAAAACAAATCGTTGTCATCTTATAACTTATACTATATATCTTTAATTGTTATCTATAGAAGCTTATGTTAAAGAGATTTGTTAATAATTTTGTTGGACCAAACATACACATTCGAATGAAAACGGTAGTTGCAATGTAAATTTCGTTACCTACTCATCCAAAATTCCTTTACCTATATGTTGGTGGTGTGTTAGAGTTTAGTTCATTCTCAGTCTAGTTAAAGATACTAGAATTGTCATCTGATAGTCTGTATTGTAACTTACAATAAACATTTACAGGAGGAGTTTTAGTGCAGTCAACTTCAATACTCATTATCTGAGAAAGGCGTCTGATTTTAAGGAGCCGTTCAGCAGTGCCCTACCCGAAGTACAAACACTTGGACTGGAACTGGTGTCGGCGACGTCCATGAAGCATTATCTACATCATCCGACGTTTGACATAGTCAATAAAGGTGAGACACTTGTGGTGAATTAAATAACTGTAAGAAGGACATTTCGATGCTATGAATATGACAGCAGGAAATTATAACCAAATTAAAGAAATCATAAACATATACCAAAGAACCGTAAGTGAAACCGTGATACAACAAATTGATTGAAAATCTGTCAATCATGTTCAGTGTAGATTGAATCATTTACTGTAGAAAACCATGACTATTTATTGGTCAACCTGGCGAATATATCCATGCAGACAATTTATTGAAGAGTTCTTAAGAGGGTTTAACTGTCGATTTACAAACATAGTCATGAAACAATAAGATATACCAAAAAAATACAGTTTCTGAAATATGTTTTCGCTACATTACAGACGAGACGGAAAAGAGAGAATATTCCCGCCGAATAGTTGCCTCGGTTAGCTCGTGGATGGATCACGTGATACTGGGAGGATTATCCGCCTCCCGAACTGAGGAAGAGAAACAGCACATCCTTGACCAATACTTTGAAAGAGTACAGGCATATGCATATGCTCATTCTGACCACAAACCGTATCTAATTGTAACAGAGGTTGTCATAGAGAAAAAGAACGTTTCGTCTCACGACCAATGAACACCATGCACATTACAGGTTATATGTTTTCCCCTGAATTCGATATTTTTTGCTGACAAATGGACAATAACCCCACCATAGTTCTCCCCATGACAAAACAAGAAAAGTGAATTGTGAAAAGTTAAGAAAATACTAAATATGTCAAGGAATTAGTAATACAAGACATCGGCAATTGATGTGCAACATAAATAAAGCAAAAATTCTGAAAGCACACATACACGTTTTTGGAAAATGTGCAGTTTACCACATCCTTGATACTTCATGGGTTACGCCCACATCCGCTTTGTGTACCCCTAGAGTATGTCATAGCAAAATTGAAGGCTCAGTGTGCGCCACCTTGGTGATGAGACAATAAGACTAGTTCGATCATTTGATGTACATCAAAAGAATCTCGCGGTCGCGTAACGGTAAAAATTGACTTGCTTTGAAGTCGGGTTTTGCTCCTACGTAATCTTTAACGCACAGGTAGCAGCCTAGCGAGTGGTCAGGTTTTTTACCTGACACCAATCAAACAGCTAGCCGCGTGACTGCATTGTCGCTATGACATATGCAATGTGTGCAGAGAGCGAAAGCGAGCGTAACCCCTGGAGTATCGAGGATGAGTCTACCAGTGGTATGCCGCAACCTTAAAGAAGCTTGCAAGATATTCATGACAAGCTTGTTTAATAACTTGCTGTTGCAACGACAAGGTTTTCGTTGTCAAGTCAAACGCGTCAACATATATTCGTATGTAGCACGCGTATCTCACATACGTGTAGGTGGGAGAAGTGTGGCAGTATGAGTACCGTAAACATGGAAAGAAATTCGTTTGCAAAACATATTGTCACCCAATTAAGATCAATTGTTTTTGGTTTAAGAAACTTTTTATTGTTACTATTTCATTCTTCTTCTATAAGTACTGTAGGTATTTGGTCGCCATTTTCGCCAAAAACGGAATTCACTTTTTTCAGAAGTCAAATTTCATATTTTAAATTATATTTCCTTGGTCCTGTCTCAGAGCATCCTCGATACTCCGTGTGTTACACTCTTTGTACCTGGAAAGCATCCTCGATACTCCGTGTGTTACACTCTTTGTACCTGGAAGATTACAGAGGAGCGACAGCCGACTTCAAAACCATTAAATTTGTCGTTACGCGACCGCGAGATTATTTTGATGTACATCAGAGGATCAAACTAGTCTCCTTGTCTCATCCACAAGATGGCACACACTGAGCATTCGATTTTGCTATGACATATTACAGGGGTGCAGAGAGCAAAAGCGTAAACCTTCGAGTGTTTAGGAAAGTCTCGTGGTGAACAAGTGTTTTAATCTTAAGCTCGGTGTATATGATCTACATGTATGTGGTACTGCCTGTATATATATGGAACGTTGTAAAAGTTCGCGAAATAAAGTACATTAGAAAATACAGTGATTCATAGGATGTACACAGAATAATATTAGCAGTTTTAGGGGTTTAGATCCATTATCGGTGAAGATACCATCCCCAACGATAGGAAAGGGAGGAAAGCTTTCGATGTCGAAAATCGACTCGACCCATGATTTCATCCCATCAAATACAACATTGGTACCGTTGGAAAGATTGCTAGTTATTTTCATTTATAAACCTTCCATATGCATGCAAAGTATATATTCTCCTTCCACGGGGCACAATCTACGTTTCCTCCGAAAACGCATGCCATTTCGATCAATCAAAGTTTTTTCAAGTCCGATCAGGGAATCGAACCCCGGCCGCCGCGGTGAAAGGCCAGAGCGTTATCCACTGTGCAACCCGACCACCCAGAGTTACGTTTGTGGTGCTGATCTCGTGCAGTTGTATCAAGCTGGACATAAGTAAATGTCATGGACTCAAAATGATCACTTTTGGATATTTTACAGAACACCTTCATATTTTGCTTATGAGGTTTGTTGCAAGAGGATTCTAATTCTGTCTCATAATGATTGAGGAAAGAATGATATAAGAAGCATAGATAAAACAGTTCAAATAATTTATCTGGTTCTGTTGTTGTATTGTGTTTGAAAAAATATTGAATAGATATTTATAAATAAACAAATACGATACAAATGAGTTGCTGTACATTCAAAGTCTCATCTAGATCCTAGTTGAAAAGGAACGTGTAATACAATATTACGCTTGAAATGCATTCAAGGGAGACAACTCTTGTATTTCAGCAGGTGGTATAAAAATGTAAGTTTTCCAGTGCATTGCATGTCTGCTGGATAATTATATAACCGAACTACTCGGAAGTGAAGCGGACGTAAAACAAATCAATCAATCGGTGTATTGCGTAGGTTAAAACTATACTACGGAGAAATGTTCCGAAACTTAGTGTGCCGGACATTCGATCACCACGTTTGGAATGGACTTGAAGGGGGGTTCCAAGCTCATAATTAAGAGTAGGCCTAAATGGTTAATCCAACATAAAAACCAGTAGAAGTAGGCCTACATCATGTTTTATAATGTTAATTAGTCTATTGTGATCCTAAATCAGTTATCTTGTTACCGGCTAACGTTGGGGTTTTTTAACAAGCGTTTTCCTGCATTTTAACTGTATCAGCTTAAAAATTTAAAAAAAACGTAAGCAATAAATTAAAGGATTTTTAAATAGAAAAACAATTGTCCTAGTTTCTAGCATAGACGTATATTGTACGTCTCTGGTTCTAGGGTAATTTTTTAAACATTTTTTTACACTAACAATATCATATAGGCTATGAAACAAGTTATTTCAACTTATATAATACATGTGGAATACATGTAGCTCAATCAATTCGATGAAGAAAAAAGAAAATAACAGTATGAAACACAGCTTACCGTTCAAACATTATCACATTATGCGCGGTAACGCATCTTGAAGAATAACTTGCGATAGCTATAGGAAATCTCTAGATTTGGAGGTACATTATTCACTCTTACTTTGATGGATCGCGGGAAACACGCACCACACTTTTCCATTTTGTGATTATTTAGGGGCCAAATTACACATTTTCCGGATACAACACTAGGTATTTATTTTAAGAATGATGTTAACAGTTATCATTAGCATGTCATTAGGATTGTATGTGTGATAAAGTATTTTCATTTGCAGCGCTGCATCTTTTACACCGTTTTATTCGTGCGGCAGGGGGAATCATTTAGATGCCGAGTTACAGTTTGAGGTCTAGGTTTACCGCTTGCTTTTATTTTACTATAAATTTGAGGATTATTACCAAAATTTATTTCAGTAAATATCTAGAAACTCTTGTCAAAGGGAAGGGCAGGCATACTCACCGGTAGACATACAATAGGCATAGGCCTAAAGCCCGAGTTTCCTCTGGCCCCGACACCAGATTGGACATTTTGACAGATCTATAAAGATGTCTGCTGTGATCTGTCAAAATGTCGAAGTATGGTGTCGGGGCCAAGGAAACTCGGGCTACTGACGACAAAAAGAATTCATCTTCTTTAACCATATTGTATGTATTATGTCCCATGTGTATATAATATAATAAAAAAAAAACAATGAAAAAAATAACAGAAAAGAAAATTAGATTATGCTTTCATGCATTACACCTCGCTTTAAGACACTTATCCCACCACAGTGATGATACAAAACAGTCTCCGAACATACACAGGGGTCGACAGTGTCGGACACTAACACTAGTACGCTAGTCTTGGACTAGAAGATTTCAGCAAGGACTAGTGAATCACCTAACCTAATTGGTCCTTTGGACTTTTGAAAATTATTAAATATTTCTTTTTAAAATTTAGAAAACTGCTAAAAATAAGATATATTGCATGATGATTGTCAACATTTTCCTTACACTTCACCATCTTTTTATGACAGTAGTCATTTTAAGTCTCCTACAGTCAATTACTTTTGATGTTTTTGAGCTGTAGATTGAATTTTTTTCCTTATCAGGAAATCTTGGACTATTTACATTGACGAAGGACTAGTAAATAATCTATTTATCTAGTCCTATGGACTACCAAGCAAAAACAGCTAGTGGCTAACCCTGATATAGCAACACCCAGAAAACTGATAATAATATATATATACACAATCACAAAACAGATAGTCGCAGAATTTATATTTATTGCCTTTGTTTGAGGCATAGCTTGTATGCTTTACACTGCAATATGCCATATTTTGAATGAAAGGGACTTGAATATAAGTACCTTCGGATGGCAGTGTGTCTGGTACTGACATCAGGTCTTTTGCTTCACAATATAGTGTAATGGCCATTTGTTCACGGTGTATTACTTTGTCTGGGGCATATTTTTGTTCACAGTCGCCTATTAATCTTGTTCTATGGTCGGACGAGATTATTTTTTTATATATTGCATCGTGGCAGAGGAGGCCGGGTATTAATAATAATATTAGTACTAGGTCTATGGTGGTAAAAGGTTTAAATAACAACTTTTTTAAGCAAGTAGCTTTTCCAATGGTCAATGGTGGAGTGTTGCATACCGACATCAAGTTTTGCACCCCCAATTCACAGAGTTATGTCCCTTTGTTTACTTTATGTCACTCTGACAGGGGCACATCTTGTATAAGTATATATTTACTCCTATAACATCAGACTAAGACGATGCTGGTTGGCTCTTTTTTAGCTCACCTGGTTCGAAGGGCCAAGTGAGCTTATGCCGTGGTACGTCCGTCCGTCCGTCCAGCGTCAATATTTTACTTTAAACAACTTCTGAATAACCAAGAGGCCCAGGCTGATGATATTTGGCCAGTAGCATACTGGGATGAAGGGCTACCAAGTGTGTTCAAATGAATGCCCTTGACCCACTTTCAAGGTCACAAGGGTCAAATATGTTAAAATCTTCAAACAACTTCTCAATAACCAAAAGTCCCGGGGTACTGATATTGGGCCTGTAGCATGCTGGGCTGAAGGGCTACCAAGTTTGTTAAAATGAATGACCTTGACCCACTTTCAAGGTCACTGGGGTCAGATGTCCTGAAATCTTCAAACAAAAGGCCCAGGGTACTGAACTTGGGCCTGTAGCATGCTGGGATAACCAAGTTTGTTAAAATTTCAAATGAATGACCTTGACCCACTTTCCAGGTCACAGGCGTCAAATGTCTTAAAATCTTCAAACAACTTCTTCTTAATAGCCAAAAGGTCCAGGGTACTGATATTGGGCCTGTAGCATGCTGGGATGAAGGGCTACCAAGTTTGTTAAAATGAATGACCTAGACCAACTTTCAACGTCACAGGGGTCAAATGTCATAAAATCTTCAAACCACTTCTCAATAACCAAAAGGCCCAGGGTAATGATATTGGGCTTGTAGCATGCTGGGATGAAGGACTTATAAGTTTGTTCAAATGAATGACCTTGACCCACTTTCAACCTAATGTCCTTGTACGACATTCAAGGTAACAGGCGTCATATGTTTAAATCTTTTAATTGGTTCTCATGAATCAAACACTGATATTCTGCCTGTAGCTGTATTTTAGTCCACTTTTAAGATTACAAGTGTGAGATTAATACCAGGTGAGCGATGCAGGCCCATTGGGCCTCTTGTTATTGGATATTGTTATGCTGTGTTAAACCTTTTAACATTGTTGGAGTAGTATCAGCTGTCACCAAGAATGGCTTAATGTACAGTCAAATTTTCTAAATTTCTCGATGTGTCAAACTTATGGCGAAGTCCAGATTTGTTCCCTTATATAACACTACTGATATTCCATTTATGAATCAAACTATTAGGAGTCCAATTTCTTGCTGTTTCAAACTATATTCAAGGTCTTGAGTGTTGGGAAAACATTGAAATTTACAACTGATCTATCCAAAGTAAAAACATTACATGTACGAGAACGTTAAAATGTCCCGGAGTGATTTTTAACACGAAAACATGCGAACTGCTGTTTATAAATACATGTAAACCTCTTTTTGTGTCGCCTGCAAAAAGCTGGTGATACATAGGTATTGCAGTGATTCCTTACCAGAAGTGCTTGCTTGGGATTGCTTTTCAGGTCCGAAGGTCAAAGGTCAAGGTCACTGTTACTATAAATAGAAAATCTGTTTTCATGCGATAACTTGAGTTTCCTTGGGCCGATTAAACTCAAACGTCATGCAGTGCTTCCTTACCAGAAGTGCTTGCTTGGGATTGCTTATCAGGTCCGAAGGTCAAAAGTCAAGGTCACTGTTACTCTAAATGGAAAATCTGTTTTCATGTGATAACTTGAGTTTCCTTGGGCCGATCAAACTCAAACTTCATGCAGTGCTTCCTTACCAGAAGTGCTTGCTTGGGATTGCTTATCAGGTCCGAAGGTCAAAAGTCAAGGTCACTGTTACTATAAATAGAAAATCTGTTTTCATGTGATAACTTGAGTTTCCTTGGGCCGATCAAACTCAAACTCCATGCAGTGCTTCCTTACCAAAAGTACTTGCTTGGGATTGCTCTTCAGGTCCCAAGGTCAAAGGTCAAGGTCACTGTTACTATAAATAGATAGCAAGTTCCTTTAAACTCAGAGTATTCTTCCCAGAATAACAGATTATATAACAAAATGATGCCATCCAAAATCCTTATCTATGATTATTGCTTATTGGCTCCACACATCGTCATCAGCGTCCATTTTCGTGACGTACTTCCAGAAAAAGTACAGCTTGGACTCAATTATCTTGATCGAAATGTGCATGTACACCGTGTCGTCATTTCCGTATTGCGTATCGGGCATTCAATATCGTAGTGCAAATTATAATAACACCAGGGCCGTTTGCGTTTAAACGGTCAAACCGATCGGACCACTGTTGTTCGTTTATTAAATAAGGAAGGATCTAGTAATCTGATGCTGCTGTCAGGCGAGCCTTGAGAAAGCCTTGCAAGGCTTGCATACACATTTGCAGGTCCGCCAGGATTTATACCCGAAATTGTTACATTTATAAACGGTCAAACCGGTTGTTCCGCATAAACGAACAGGCCCCTGGTAAACAATAGTACACGTGCGTACCGATGATATGTCAACACCCGATATCAAGATTTTACCGGGAAATGTATAATCACATGTACTTCAGGAATAAAGCTTTCCAATTCATTGACATAAAGAGACTCACAGGAAGACAGTGACATGAGACCAGACGACCTCAAGAAGGTCATATAGGAAACACATGGAATGCGGACGTACCAACCTCATATGTGCATATCACGTGCTTACACGAGTTCATAAGCTGAGGGAGTTTCGCTCTGTCGATTAAATCGTGTTTACAAATGTAGTCTACTTACTCTGTGAAAATAATGTTTTGTAAAATATCAAGATACCTATGAAATGCATGTGTGAGGGCACGTGAGAACGGCATACCATGCGATAGCCTCTGGTCACATATGTACCTGACATGTAATTATAAATATACCGTGAGTTAGCGGACTGTGGAATGATGTCCAAAGTGTACATGACTGAGGGTAATTTGGTTCCATTAAAGAACAATAAATTGATAATTTTGATATCATATTTTTGATTTATTTCCATCATTTTTGTTATATGTAAACAGAGACAACTGTCATTGTGTAAATGTCACCCCTCTGCAAAAAGTTCCGATTTTTTTCAAGGAAGATAACTCTCACCCGGATCAAAGTGATTGTAAAATGTAAAATAAATTAATTATAAAGCCATTGTGTATATTTTGTTCAATTTCCCACTCTATATGTATAGATCTGTGTGTCCTGTTTGCTTTTAGCTTGTAGATAATCACTTTTATCCGTTCAAATTCAATAAAAAACACTTTGTGTAACATGTGTTACATATTTTGCGATAAATAAAATATTTGTAGGGTTAATTATAAATGCTTCTTTTCATTTTTTCAAAATATTAAAAGTGGCGAAAATTCTATTTTTTGGTATTTTTTCCAAAAAAGTCCCCAAACTATCGGAATGTTTAGATTTTCATAAAATTAACTCTACATAGTTGCATAACCATTATATGAAAGTTTCAACGAATTTTGCTGGTTAATTGCGAAAGTGTGGAGCCACCTTAACATCTTTTCTTGAAATGAAAAGTGTATCTATTTCTTCGTAATCTCCCAGCTTCCTGCGCAGGCGACACATCCACTTCCATGGAATTCTTGTTTCTAATTACATTAGATCTAATATTCATAGATTTCAAATTTAATTTCATGCCTTTAGTTCAGTCACTAATTAACTATCACATTTTAGTCTTATGAAGTACAAATGTACTTAAAGTTCAACATTTGTAAGACAAAATCTCGATGTTTCAAAGGTTTCACAATGGTTCAGCAAAGTTTGAAGCATTGAAGTTTGACTATGTGAATACCTCTTGGGATAGTGGAGTGTTGCCTATTGAAGAAAGACTTCCTGCCCAACTATATACAGAGTTACCTTCCCTTGTTCACCATCCATCACATTGTCTGGTACCTTTTACCTGTACAACAACCAAATTATATTTTTGAGTAACTCTTGGAATGATGTATTGTGATACTGTAACTTATACAGAATTATGACTCCTAGTTTATATTTGATACAAAAGGCGTTTTACCAGGAGGTTAGGTGAGGACTGATTGGTTGCAATATTGTTGTGGTAAAAGTTAGTGGCCTAATTATAAGGAAGGTAGGTTGTAAATTGTATTACAAGTAAAGATTTGCTGCGGTGGCCAAGTGGGTAAGGCGTCTGCCATTCTCCTACCACTAGCCCTCCACCACAGGTCGCGGGTTCGAGGCCTACGTGGGGCAGTCGTCAGGTACTGGCCGTAGGTTTGTGTCTTTTCTCCGGGACCTCCGGCTTGCCTCCACCCCGAGGTCGCGGGTTCGAGGCCTACGTGGGGCAGTCGTCAGGTACTGGCCGTAGGTTGGTGTCTTTTCTCCGGAAACTCTGGCTTTCCTCCACCACTAGGTTGCGGGTTCGAGGCCTACGTTGGGCAGTTGTCAGGTACTGGCCGTAGGTTGGTGTCTTTTCTCCGGGAACTCTGGCTTTCCTCCACCACTAGGTTGCGGGCTCGAGGCCTACGTTGGGCAGTTGTCAGGTACTGGCCGTAGGTTTGTGTCTTTTCTCCGGGAACTCCTGCTTTCCTCCACCACTAGGTCGCGGGGTCGAGGCCTACGTGGGGCAGTCGGCAGGTACTGGCCGTAGGTTTGTGTCTTTTCTCCGGAAACTCCGGCTTTCCTCCACCACTAGATCGCGGGTTCGAGGCCTACGTGGGGCAGTCGCCAGGTACTGGCCGTAGGTTGGTGTCTTTTCTCCGGAAACTCTGGCTTTCCTCCACCACCAACATTAAATGTTATTAAATGACTATAGCTGTTAATAGGATGTAACATATAAACAAACCAAACCAAACCTGGCACGTCCTTAAATGACCATAGCTGTTAAAAGGACGTAAAACACAAATAAACCAAACCAAACCTGGCACGTCCTTAAATGACCATAGCTGTTAAAAGGACGTAAAACACAAACAAACCAAACTAAACCAAAAGATTTGCCCATAATATTTGTCCATTCATGGTGCATCAACCAAAGATAGTAATTTACAAGCTCTTCTTAAATGCAATGATTTAATTACTTAACACTCCTGTCAGCTTAACTAATCAAGAATAATAATTTGGGGTAGGGGGTGAAATGGGGCAGGGAAGGGGGGGTAGGTGTCACGGGAGTAATAAACATGCATTTTCTTGTGCATGAATGTAAAATACCTGTAATGCAGGAATGATTTAAGTATTTCATTATGACTTTGTTTTTCTTGTGATGAACAGAATAGGATACAGATGAGTCGATAAATTGTCTGATAGTATTTACAATGAATTCATGGAACAAATTTTCACCTGGAGCTTCCCTGACAATAAACATTTATTTTAAGATCCTGTTCAACGGTAAAATACAAAATATGCCCCCTAACATTGAGAATGTAATTTACTCTTTCAAGGCTCGGACATACCCAGATCTTTTAAAAAGATAGTTGTTGTTCCCAGCAAAATATTCAACATTTAGTGGATCCACCAGCTTACCCATAATGTGCTGGGTACCTTCGGCATGGCATTTCAATGAGGTAGCGCACTGAATTAGGAATCAGAATCAGATCTGTGATATTGTAAGGAGGTAAATATACCTAACATATTGCTTCCAGCAAGCATGCTTACCTTGCAAATGTGAAGGCACATATGAAATAACCTAAGCTGTTAACTCATAGGATACTAAAATCAACAGACCAATCTCCCTTAGTAAAAATCTAACGGTCAAAAACTTAACGTGTGTATACATCTTGAGGAGTGAATAGTATACCAATATACTGAAGTGTTGGTAACTTTCGCAGGGGGATTCAATTTCGTTATATTCAATCATCAAAAATAATGTGAAATTAAATACCCAGCAAATATTAATACCATGAATATACAGAATTAATAAAAAAAAAAAAAAGGTTTACCTTTTTTATTGCCAAATACTGGGAGATAAAACACACTATGAATATTGTATTTTCTGCACCTTTGACTTTCATTATAATTAATAATGATAATTTGAGGTTCTTACATACCGCTTTATCACAACCTAGTTTGTAGGTCGTCTCAAAGCGGTTCACAAATTATTATCCGTGGTTATAGGGCCTTTGCAACCAGCTTTCTCAACATTTCTCAACTCCCTGGGGAGCATACAGCCGGAGCTGCCATTTTGGCGCTATTAGCTAGCATTCAACAATTCTAGCACTGCCCAACCACATACTCATTTGCAGCTGAGTAGACTGGAACAAGCAGAATAAAGTATCTTGCTCAAAGATACAACTCGGTGCCGAGCCGTGATGTGAACCCGCAACCTTCGGTCATGAGCCCAGCGTCCTACCACTAGACTACCGTGCCTCACCATTAGACCTCTTGTTAAGCTTCATTACTTTGTTTAGACTGTGAAGAAGGAGCAGGGCATTAAAGTAGTTTTATATAGAAGTTATTATTTCATTTGTCTTTTAATTACAGGTGGAAATGAAATCCAAAGGGATGCTGAATGCAGCTCAAGAATGCTACGAAAAACTGGATGGAGAAGAAACCTTACTGGAATCTTGTGAAGAACCACTGGATCTCAGACTTGAGAGTTATCAGACTCGTTTTGTAGGTTTAAAACCAGGTACTGATAACTCGGCGGTTAACAGTTCTCAACATTCAAAACTGGACGTAGAGATTTCCGAGCCCAAAATACCGCAAACATCAGTAAGGTATGCTGACACAGAAAATAAGGTCCACACTAACAGCAAGACGTCACAGTTGGCAGGCCAGCAAGGAATAACAGTCATAAGGCCTAAACCCATCTACTGTTGTAGAACACAGAATACCAATGGGGTTAATACAGGGGTTATCAAGGACCACAACTGTTCGAGCAAGACATTTTATCAAGCTGCATCTGCATCAAATTTAAATGGTTTTAACAACATCAGTAATGTGTTAAAAGCTCCACACGCAGACGGTTGGAGTTCCGGAACTAATGTTAGCCGAGGAATTATGGGAATTTTTAGAAGAAAAGCAAATCGTGATTTAGTGACGAAATCGGACCAATGGAATCGTGGGACTGAACTTGGCCAAGAAGTGATCAAAATTGTTAACAAGAAACCTGAATGTGATTTAATGAAACTCAAAAATGCGGACAACAGAAAGAAGTCTCCAGATAAACTTGTATCTGATCGAAATGTCCCCATAAACAATCTGGAGGTAACTACAAATGGACAGTACAAGGTAAGTCAAAGGGGTAGATCAGCTGTCGGCATGTGTGAGATAATTACTTCTTTTGGACTGATCAGAGATCATGATTACACATATGGTAGAGAATTTCTTGACATTTGTGGAGCAGCCGCTTCTGACAAAGATATGCCAAACCATTGGACATGTCCAGGGGTTCTGAGAGAAGCAAGAGATACGTCATCAGAAAATGACAACTCCTTCGAAGTTTTGTTTGAATACCTGTCAAATAGAGATGAACAAAGCTCCTCGGAGACATTAACTTATACTGAGGAAGCAGAGAATGGAAATAAACTACCAGTGCTTCAAGGATGCGAGGACATTTTAGATCCTAAGCCTGACAAAGACAGGATTGTTGAAGGAGGTCGAGGGATACCAGAGCTAGTGGAACCCACGGTATCACCCTCCGTAGACTTCATGGAGGGCTGCAGGCTCAGTCCTTTTTCAGTTTTCAATCAGTTCTCACACATATCAAAACATCCTGATTCAATTTTATTTCCATCATCATCGTCGTTGTCTTTCACATCATCTGAGAATGAGGAAGTAGATGAAAAAGAAGCAGCATTTTCACCACATACCATTCGGCCAGTTGCTACTGTTTTTCCATATAAAGAGGCATCTGTGGAAACCTATTCAACAATCACCAGACCAGCTCTTTGTCATGGATCGGTTATGGATTTGCACAGTGAAAAGTCCTCGGATCAGCAACATGGCAAGGAACAGAAGACGACAACCATCGCTGCAGAAGTCAATGTAGAAAACACGGCATTGGAGCTGTCAACTAGCAGGAGTCAGCCATCTTTACCTGTTCAGCATACAGGTGGTGAAAAAGAACTGAAAGGGAGGCCTCACCACAATCCTGGAAAAACGATTTTGTATTCAAGTAAACCAACCCTGTCATTTCTTAACAAAAAAACAACAGATGCAATTGTGTCATCATCTCGGATGGAATCGACTACTTCATTGTCTCAAACAAAATTATCACCATTATTATCTCCAAAAGAATTTAAGTTGTCATCTCCTACAGAGTCAACAGTATTTTCCAACAGAGAATCAGTTTTGCCATTACTTCAAAAAGAATGGACCTTATTTTCTCTAAGAGAATCCGGTTTGCCTTCCCTTCATGAAGAATCAACTAGATTTTCCCTCCGAGAATCAGCTTTGCCATCTCTTCACAGAGAATCAAATTTGATTATAAACTTGCCATCACTTGACGGAGGTTCAGCCTTATTTCCTAACATAGAATCAAATTTGTCATCAACTGCAGCAGAATCCCTCGTGTCATCATCTCAAGGGGAATCATCCAATTTTGAGAGGGACATGAAAACACTATCCATGTTTTCCGCTAACCTGGAGGAATCTGGCCAAGGGATATTACAGAAAATGACAAGTATTGGACCAAACTCGCCAGTGGTACAGTCACCAAATCCTGTATCTTCTATGCCAAAGTTGCAGATTCACTCTTCCTCAACACCAAAAGCAACAATTCCCATATCTATGTATAGCTCAGGAATTATTAACTCTCCAGTGCTGACCTCTGTGACAAATTCTCCAATCGTCTCTTCTTTGCCAAACTCACCAATGATCACCTGTATGCCTAATGCTCCTACTCTCATCTCTATGCCCAACTTACCTATTGACACCTGTATGCCAAACTCATCAACTATTACCTCTATGCCAAACCCACAAATGCTCACCTCTATGTCAAACTTGCCCATTTCCACATCTCCCATGCCAAACTCACCAATTCTCACATCTGTGCCCAGCTTGCATGTTCTCACCTCCTCCATGTCCAACTCACATATTCTTGCCTCCTTGCAAAACTCACCAGTTTTCTCATCCTCGAGGCTTAACTTGCCAAACTCACAGGTTCTCACTTCTTCTGTGCCTAACTCACCAAGTCTCATCTACTCCATACCAAAGTTGCCTATTCTGACAGCTACTGTGCCAAAATCTCCAAGTCCAAAAATTTCCTCGGTGTCAAACTTAAACATTCAAATTGCTGCATCAGTGCCAAATTCACCAATATCAAATGTATGCTCCCCATCTTCTTCGACCGAGAAATACAAACAGCAGGGGACTAGATTATCACCCCCCATGAAACATAAGCAGATGTTGATAGAAAAATATAAAATGTCTGTCAACACTGAAAAGACTGGTGGTGAATCAAGGATTGACCAGTGCGATACAGAACTGTATGAGATTACAGGAGTAGAAAACTCGACAGTGGATTTTCCAAGAACTAGGATAGCTGGAAAAGGAGGAAAACACAAGCCTTTTCAAACTGACAAATGCCTGTCATTTTCGGAAACAGAAAATCAGGCAAACTCATGCTCTCCTGCCAAAGAGAGGAAACTGTCGACTCAGGAATCCAAATATTATTGTGAATCTGTTTGCAGTAATCAAAGTCTCCAATCTCATGATCTGGAACCCTGTGAAACATTTTACTGGTGTCATGTCTGTGAGAAAACAGTCAAGTGTGAGAAAGATGCCAACCGACACCAGAATATCCATGGTTACAACACCAAGGCAAATCTCATCTTCTACTACCTGCAGGTGAGTCCAGTAAATCTAGAGTTACAACGCCAAGGCAAATCTCATCTTCAACCACCTGAAGGAGAGTCCAGTAAATCAAGAATTACAATTCCAAGGCAAATCTCATCTTCCACTACCTGCAGGTGAGTCCAGTTAATCTAGAGTTACAACACCAAGGCAAATCTCAGCGGCTACGACCTGCAGGGGAGTCCAGTAAATCAAGAGAGACAATACCAAGGCAAATCTCATCTTCTTCTACCTGCAGGTGAGTCCAGTAAATCTAAAGTTACAACACCTAGGCAAATCTCATCTTCTACTACCGGCAGGTGAGTCCAGTAAATCTAGAGTGACAATACCAAGGCAAATCCCATCTTCTACTACCTGCAGGTGAGTCCAGTAAATCTAGAGTGACAATACCAAGGCAAATCTCATCTTCTACTACCTGCAGGTGAGTCCAGTAAATCTAGAGTTACAACACCAAGGCAAATCTCATCTTCTTCTACCTGCAGGTGAGTCCAGTAAATCTAGAGGTACAACACCGAGGCAAATCTCATCTTCTACTACCTGCAGGTGAGTCCAGTTAATCTAGAGTTACAACACCGAGGCAAATCTCATCCTCTACTACCTGCAGGTGAGTCCAGTAAATCTAAAGTTACAACACCGAGGCAAATCTCATTTTCTACTACCTGCAGGTGAGTCCAGTAAATCTAAAGTTACAACACCGAGGCAAATCTCATTTTCTACTACCTGCAGGGGAGTCCAGTAAATCTAAAGTTACAACAACGAGGCAAATCTCATTTTCTATTACCTGCAGGTGAGTCCAGTAAATCTAAAGTTAGAATACCAAGGCAAATCTCATCTTCTACTACCTGCAGGTGAGTCCATTAAATCTAGAGTCACAATACCAAGCCGCAGATTGGTATTTCTTCCTTCAGGTGAGTCAACCAATTTAACAAAGGACACATCATCATGGTAAGTCTATACTACTGCCTCTAGATCAGTCATATCCAATGTCACAACACACAGGTAAAATTTACACTGAATAACTAGAGGTGAGTCAAATGTATTTAAAGTTTAAAAGCCAAAGCATATCTCATCATCTACCATTGTGTCACAATATATCGCGCTCAATCTGTACTATTCTATACTCTATACAGGCGAGTCACAAGACTCCAAGGTCACAATATCAAGGTCAATCTGTACTACGTATTCTATGCATGCGAGTCACCAGACTCATAGGCCACAATATAAAGGTCATTCTATACTACTCTATACGGGCGAGACACAAGACTCCAAGGCCACAATATCAAGGTCAATCGGTACTACGTATTCTATGCATGCGAGTAACCAGACTCATAGGACACAATATAAAGGTCAATCTATCCTACTCTATACAGGCGAGCAACAAGACTCCAAGGTCACAATATCAAGGTCAATCTGTACTACGTACTCTATACAGGGAAGCCACGAGACTCCAAGGTCACAACATCAAGGTCAATCTGTACTACTCTATACAGGCAAGTCACCAGTCTCCAAGGTCACAACATCAAGGTCAATCTGTACTACTCTATACAGGCAAGTCACCAGTCTCCAAGGTCACAATTTAAGGTTAATCTGTACTACTCTATACATCTATACTGATGCTATGCTTGGTTGACTTTACAGGTGTATGGATGTGTGACTGATGCTATGCTTGGTTGACTTTACAGGTGTATGTCTATGTGACTGATGCTATGCTTGGTTGACTTAACAGGTGTATGGCTGTGTGACTGATGCTATGCTTGGTTGACTTTACAGGTGTATGTCTATGTGACTGATGCTATGCTTGGTTGACTATACAGGTGTATGGCTGTGTGACTATTGCTATGCTCGGTTGACCTTACAGGTGTATGGCTGTGTGACCTTACACTGGCGTGGCTACAACAGGGCGGAGAAGTGTGTATACCTGTGTGGTCTCTGTGATAAAACTATCCCATACATCAGCGGATTTAAGCGACACATTCAGACACACGGTCCCAATGTCTGCTGTGAAGTGTGCAGTAAATGTTTTGATGACAATGAGAGTCTCCTGGAACACAAGTTTTCACACTCAGGTAAAATCAGTATATATGTTTCATATATCTTGTAAGCCCATCATCATCAGATGGTGGTCTATTCAAATTGCCCTTCATCTGTGGTCTGTTGTCCGTGGTCTGGTTGCCTTCCTATTATTCTGACGTCATTCTGTATGTCCTTAAACAATTTTTGTTGTGGCTATTTCTCAGAAAGTACAGGTAGGATCTTTCTCAAATTTCACATGCGTGTTCCTCTTGGTCCCTAGTTATGCATTTCTATTTCGATAAAAAAAAAATTGTAAAATGTGTTTGAATTTTTTGACTAAATCAGAAGAAAGACCACAATGGCTAGAATGTGTTCGTCTTGAATCTTGAGAGCTCAAGTTGTTAGCGCTCTTGCTCAAATTTCATATGAAGGATCTCCTTGGTCCCTTTGTTTTGCATATCAAATTTTGGGACTGATTGGAAAAAACTAAGATGGCTGAAATGTGGCCATCTTGTATTTTGAGAGTTAAAAGTTTGTTAACGCCATTTCACAGAAAGAACAGGAGGCATCTATCTCAATTTTCAGTTAAGGTTCCCATGGTCCCTTGTTAGACATTTAAGGTTTGTTATTGGCATTTCAAGTTCAGTTCTTGAGCGATCTTTCTCTAACTTGATATGTAACTTCCCATTGGTCCTTGTGCATATAATGTTTTTAAAACTGATCGGATAAAAACAATGCGACGGGCATGTGGCCATCTTGGATTTTGACAGTTAAGGTTTGTTATGGCCGGTGGCTCTTTCATATAAAATATTGTAGGGATCTTTTCAAATTTATATGTAAGTTCCCATGGTCCTATTGTTGAGAAAATGAAGGAAAATACAAAATAAAAAAAGTAAAAGATCATCTTTTCCTTTGAAGTTTGATGGTAGGTGACAAGATCTTTCCAGGATCTTTTGTTTCATAGAATCTGATGAAACTGGAATAATAATCACTTTGAGAAATTGCAGTTAATGTACCTAATATTGCTGAAAGAGGTCAGGGAAGCATGGATGGTGAAAAACGTAATTCAGCTAAAAACCAGGGGGAAAAGTTCGCTTGTTCTTAAGAGGAAAGTGAATTATTCTAGTCCAAAGGAACAATTGCAGTACGTATATGTTAAATAAGCCTTAATTTGAAAGCCTCAATAAAACTCTCCTGCCAAATGCCATGTCGGTTAAAATTATGCCATTGCACAATGTCTGCTGTGAAATATCTGATTTTATTGATTTTCCATCTAAATGACCAAGAGGTATAGAGACATGATATTTCGCTAGTAATATGCTGGCGGGAAGGTTATCACACACTTGTTTATATGAATGACCTTGACCTCTTTTTATACGCCCGTCAAATTTGACGGAAGTATTATGGTATGGGGTTGTCCGTTCGTCCAGCGTAAACTATTGTTTGTCCAGCAATCTCCTCCTACATTTTTCAACTGATCTCTTTGATCTTTAATCATGATATGAAGTTGTGTCTCCCTTAAAAGAATTTTGATTCGACAATTTTTCCAAAAGTTATTGCCCTTTGTTCATTTCAGTATTTGATTTTTTGTCCGGAGATCTCCTCCTACATGATTTATACAATGTCAGCTAACCAATCTTATAATGATGCAGATCTTATTTCAATGCAAGTATATAACACTATTTGGCATTCACCGGGCGTATATTGTTCCGCCCCGCGGTACTCTTGTTCGAGTTCATAGGGGTCAAATGTGTTAAGTACTCCAAATAACATCCGAGAGGTCTATTGTCCTTTTTTTACCTGTAAAATGTTGGTGTGAAGGGTCATAAAATTTGTTCATATGAATGATCTTGACCTATTTTGAAGGTCAGAAAGACCAAATGTGTTTAGAAACTTTAAACAACATCTTATAATCTTAAGATTCCTTGGGTCATGATATTTAACCTTAGGCATGCTGAGATGAGGTTTGTTCAAATGAATGACATTTACAAACTTTCAAGGTTGCAGAGGTTAAATTTGTTAAACTTTGAAACAGCTTCTGAGTTACTAAAAGGCTTATTAGGCTAATGATATTTGGACAGCAGATATACTGCATATGGGGGGAATGGTTATATAGGTTGTTCAAACGAATGATCTTGGGCCACTTTCAAGGTCACATTGGTCAAATGTTTTAAAGTGATTTTGCAACTTTTTCCTTTAAATAGTTAAGGGGCCTAGGATCAAGGTCATAAAGGTGAAATGTGTTTAACTCATTCACCCCTGAAGACACATTTGAACTCTTCCAATTCTAAGGTTGGTATAGTTCATTATGAAACTTCAGGGGTGAATGAGTTAAACATTTAAGCAACTTCTTATTAACCAAGACTTCTAGAGGTGAGACTTCTGTGATCAAAATGCTTTGGTAATATGAATTAGCCCGACACACTTTAACGGTCACAGGGGTCAAAAGTGTTTAAATCTCAAACCATGTCTTCTAATGGTCATTCAAGCCTAGAGTAATAACAATTGGCCTGTGGATAAAAGAGGGTCAAATTTGTGCAATGTAATGACCATGACATACTTTGAAGGTTACATGAGGGAAATAAGTTGAAATCTTCCAACAAAGATCCACACAGGTAAAGAAATGATATTTAGCCTGTCGTGTATCTTGCTCACTATGAAGATTGTTCAATAGATTGTCCTTGATCCTCTTCGAAGGTCACCAATGTTAGATTGATATTTTGCATTAAATAACAGGTGAGCGATAAAGGCCCTGTATGCCTCTTTGTTATTGTTTCCACATTTATTTTCTTAACAGAGTCCAAATCATGTGAAGAAAACGGTGATCAAGGATTTGCCTCCAGGACCAACAAACATGGTTACAACCGGAACGGTTCTTCTGCAACAAACAAGTGTCGCTTCTGTGGGAAGTTCTTTTCCAGTCGCAGCAGTTTATCCACCCATGTTCGCCTCCATACTGGACAAAACCCGTACAAGTGTCGACTGTGTGATAGGAGCTACCCACAGAATGTCCAGCTAAAGCTCCACATGAAGGTTCACAACCGACTTGGAGATGTGAAAGACTGAGATCTACCCACAGAAACAGCCAGATGGGCAGAGAATCTAAATAAGTATATTATCTCCTGAAATTTGAGGATGCTGTACTGAGGTCTAAAAGGGCAATAGTTAAACTCTGGTGAACCTGATACATGTACGAATGTATGCCTGTGTGATTGTATTACCTTTTCTTCTAGGCCCTTTTGACTGTGTTATGATAATGAGGTTTTTTTATTTATACACAGCAGACTCTTAATTACCATCCTTTAACTTTAGCAGAATTCGTGTACGATACAGTGACACAATACTTGGAAATTATCAAGTAGTTTTTTCTTGTTCAATATTAAATGATGAAGTATGGATTGTTTTTTCAATGGCTGCATGATGATGGTAGTTCTAATTGTTGTTTTGTTGTTGATTTCTTTTTTCTAAAATGTAAGTTGCCAGCAATTTATGTGCAAATATTACTGAATGGTTTTGTATGTTTCCTGTTTTTTTCTATATCATTTTACATTTTTAGCTCAACTGGCATTGAAGTACCTGTGAGCTTATGCCATGGCATGGCACCTGTTTTCTGTCCATCATGAACTTCTTCTTAAGAAATATGATGCCTAAGGTCACGTGACTTGCTGATGTGTTAAGTTGCTTCATTTCATTACCTTGACTTACTTTCAAGACCACAGGTGTAAAAAATGCTAAAGCTTTCAAACATTTTCTTCCTTTCACTGATCCTTCAGCAATGCTATAATTGTAATCAATGTTATTGAAATATATGACCTTGACCCTTGTTACAGTCCACAGGAACCAGATGTGCTACAATCTTTAAATGATGTATTCTTGTGAATCATGTGTCAAATTAATAACAAAATCGAGTATGATTGTCATGAATTCTTAGTGCAGTGATACCAGCAGTTTAACATTAGATACAGGTTAGTTCATCCTCGATACTCCAGGGGTTACGCTCACCTTCGCTCTCTGCACCCCTGGAATATGTCATAGCAAAATTAAAGGCACGCGGCTAGCTATTTCATTGGCTTCATGTAGAAAAAACTAAAAACTGACCAATCTCTAGGCTGATGCTTGTCCTTTGAAGATTATAGAGGAGCAACGCCCGACTTCAAAGTCAATAAGGTTTATTGTTACACGACCGCGAGATTCTTTTGATGTACATCAAAGGATCAGATTAGTCTTCTTGTCTCATCCACAGGACGGTACACACTAAGCCTTTGATTTTGCTATGACATATTCCAGGGGCGCAGAGAGCGAAAGTAAGGTATATATATCGAGGATGAGGTATGTTTTGCCAACACCATTAATTGACATTAAAGAGACACAGGCCCAATGGCTCACTATGTGATAAATATTAGAAAGTTGTTGATTGTTTTGTTTGATGTACGTGTAGTTGTTGTCATGGTTACTAAAGCATTGTTTTATTATTCGTACATAATGTGTACACATTTGTTTTTCATAATAAAGTTTGTTCATTTTGCTATCAATTTTTGGATTTGTCAGTTACTCTTCTACACTTGCGTAGCTGATTACGAAATCCACATGACGTCATCAATTATGGCTACAAATGTGAATAGGCAACGAACTGGCATCATGATAATCGAATGAATGGATAACATACTTTAAAGTTCAGCTGATAAACCAAGAAGTGTAAGGTTCATGATATCTGGTCTGTATCGTGCTGCGATGAAAGCTTGTTGAATGCTACTGGCTTATTATGCTTCGTTAAAGTGAAGTCCCACTATCAAGGTCACAGGTGAAATTTGTCAAAACTAGTAGAAAATAGTATTCTACTAGTCGGAAGGGCTATTACTTTATAAGTTCAAAGGCACGGGGAGCAGATGCTCTTTTAATAACTCCCTCTGAATAACCAAGAATCTTGATTAGGAACATCGTATTTGGCCTGTACCAAACTGGGGTAAAGGGTATGAATGACATGCAAACCTCTTTCAGTGTTATAGAGGTAAATACCTTAAATTTTCATTCGCGCGTTACTGTTTCCGTCAGGCGAAAATCCCTTGCAGAATTACTGTCATAGTTTGAAGTTTACGTCAAGACATGAGTATTCAAACAGTATGACGGAAAGACCCGAACATTTTGGTGCTAATGTTTATAAATATTTTACAATAAGCTGACCATTTAATGCTTGATGTGACCGACCTTAACCATTGGCCATTGGGATATGGACATGCACCAGAGTAGATCGCAATACCACCTCGTCCAGTCAGTGGTCAGTGGTTACATTCCAGGTGAATCGTACAATATCGATGCAGGTAATTTGAAGGCTATGCAAATCATAATCATTATATTGCAGATGAGAAAGTAGAGAAAAATAATAATCTTGCTTTCCCTAGTATTTGGAACTCTTGATCGCTTAAGTAGTCGGATTTAATCCACTAATCAAATCGAAGACGGGTGCCTACGCTGGTATGCAGGTGAATCCACAAAATGTTCAAACAAAAAACAAACACAAAGACACTGCTTGCTTCACCCCTTGTCCCCCTTATAAGGACCGGTCGTGGTCCCGTTCAAAAAATTCTGAATCCACGCTACATAAATGGGCTAGCTACGCCCCTGGAGGAATTGAGAGAATACATTAAACAATTTTGGTGCCATGCTTTAATGGTAACGTGACTTCATTCCTCCCCGATGTCGATTTGTTCGGAATCCCGTGCATTGTTGTTCGTTTCAAATTAACAAAACAGTCTTCATTAAAATCAGAACTCTCAAAACTGCTTTGTATACTAACCTCCTCATAGAGTAAGTTACGAATCGGTTTTGAGAGATCCGATTTTGATTCGATTTACAACAGAAATATCTCTTCTCGGGTTGGAAACTTCTGTCTATGGAACGCCAAATTAACATAATAACAACAAAATAATCTCGCGGTCACGTAACGGTAAAAACTGTCCGGCTTTGAAGTCGGGCATTTCTCCTTTGTAATATTCAAAGGACAGGTATCAGCCTAGCGATTGGTTTTGCTCTGACATATTCCAGGGGAGGTTCAATTCAATTGAGGATATGTTGTATTTGTACCTAGGTTCAATTCAAATAATTGTACCTATCTTTAATTATTTAAAGAACCTATCTTTAATCATTTAAAGATAAGTACAATTGAATTGAACCTATCTTCAATTAATTGTACCTATCTTTAATTCTTTTATTATTTGAAAATATGTACAATTAATTGAATATACATGTATGTTAATTTGACGTTCCATGTCTGTCACACCATCAAGGAAGGCGGAGATTTTAGTAGGTATCCATTATTTATCCATTATGTATTATACTTTGTCTGCGGGATGAAACAATAGGATGGATGTGCCACAATTATAAACTCGTGACCTCATGATCAGAATCCCACTGGAGAGAACGCGGTAGCGCAGTTCGAACTTTCAGTCAATAGTGGTAATTAAGAAAAAATAACAACATCAAACAAAACAAAACTAATAACCAAAACAAAAACAGTCCATGTATTTCTGACGTCACATCGATCTATTCTGATACATTAAACAACTACACTTTCGCTTGGTGTAGGAGTCACAATAGGTGCTTGCGTTTTAGGAAGCGCAACGGGTTCTTGCGTTGTTGTCGCTGCTGGAAGCATGTCTGGGGAAAAAAAGAAATACAAATGTTACCAACACGAAATTTGACGGTTTTCAAACCCTTCATTGGAGATAAATGACAATTTTAAGTAAAAACATAAATCGAGCCAAGCTTTGAAAGAATGCATCAATAAATGTATGTTCGTCTCGGTAGAAGCAATGTCGTACACTTAAGTATGACTTAGTCTCCTTGGTCTAGTCGCTGGTAAGGTCGTGTAAGTCGGGTACTAATATATGTTAATAATGTGTTTCCACATTTTGTTGTGCTCGACTCTCCAACCTTACGTCCATAAATAACAACTAGATTCATTGCGGATGGATTAGACTAGCAATTCAATGTCCGAAGTAGTTTTCCTTGAAATTAAAACAACTACATGCATGCCACTGGTCCACCGTGTATGTCGTTTTATCATTTAACGTAAATTAAGACTTCCATTTATCACATGACTTATTCATTTTACTATATCATACGGCCATGTCATAAATATGGTATTACACACGTTTAATTAAATCTAAAGGGGCTGCGATTGGTCAAAACCATGGGAGCATATTCCTTCGCCACTACAAAATTGTGAACTTTATCAACTGCCTATATATAGGCTCTTGTCATATCAAATTATTAAACTCGTTTAATAAATTCAATATGACATGGACACGAATGTATAAGATCCTCTATACCTCCATACCGAGATTGCATCAAGATCAAGATATACAATATGTAGCTTTAACTCATGCGCCAATACATATACAGTAAAAGTGGAAACTGAACTTTGCATTGCGAACATTTCGCTTTTTTCTCAAAAGAGTAACACGTGTAGGATAATAAACCGAAAGGGTTCTGTTTACTATTCACCAGTTTTAAAAACAGAAGTGTCCAGTTTCAACAGGTCATTGTCAGTAAAACAGATGCGTGATCCAGTACTTCTTCAAACCAAAATGTTTTTCTTCTTCAAATTTACCATATTCGCGAATCCAAGATAGACTGTGTCATAAAAACAGACATTTCTGCAACAAATGCTTACACGTTTTTTCTGATCGTATATGAAAATACCAATGTATTCAAAACAAGATCTATTTCATTATTTAAACTTCAAACTTTTAAACACTTTTCATGGGTTTAGTTTTAGAAAAGTTCTATTTTCATCGACTTATGCATATCTACAGTACAAAACATTCGTTCTTCAGCAACACAACAAAGAAGTTGAGTATCATATTGTAACGTATATGTTACCTTGCCAGCCAGAGATACAAATCAAATTTTACAGTATCTTCAATCGAAATGGTGTGTTTTATTTTTTTACTTATTTTGATTCACAACTATTACTTTGATCTATATTTGAGAAGAAAAAAAAATCATTATGATATATTGCATTAAAACAGGGATATAACTTGTTCTTGTAACGTATCTGTTCACACAACATGAACCAACAGTTACGTTACCCATTATATTGGTTAAGTGTTACACTCATGCTACTTAACATTATCACTAAAACAAACTTTAAATCGATGAACAAGTCGATTTTATCTGGGAAATAATGCACCAAAAACAAACGTGACCAAAGTGAACATATACCGTATTATACGTTACATATTTTCCAAGTGATGTGATCCCTTATTCTCACATATCCCACCCTTTTCTGTCATAGCTTTTCACTAATTAATCCTTTAAAATCCATTTCTACAATAACGTACACAAATTAACCATGCATTCATGTCTTTGGATTTCCCAAGATTTGAAGATATTCCCATTGAAAACTAAGCCGACTGATGCATACATTATTCCCATCAAAATCTCACGAAAAAAAAACTAGAAACTAAAGTATCTTACGATTATAGAACCATTTACAACGTGGTATCTATCTGTTTATAACGTATCTGGTCGGAAAAACTAATGAAATTCACTCGGTGCTCTTTTTAAATTGTACAACAATGTTATACCTCAGTTTTATTAGACAATTTTAACGGACAAACCACGTACGAGTACAGAGTTTCATGCAGGATACTTGATAAATGCTTACGAAATTAATGTCGATGGATTTATATGTGATATAAGATACGTTTAGTCAATATACCAAGATATTGTAAACTTGCATTCACCGATAATACATGCTTGTATTATGGGTGTTTTCTTTAGTAACGTATACGTATCTGGCAAGACATTTTGCGACAGTATAGATAATCGCCAAAAAAACATATTTTATCTTAAATTATTGATATTGAATTTATTAAGTTTTGTTTAGACATAAGTAAATTTAAACTATGAAAGAAAACATGAATTTTAACTAAACTGAAAAAGCTTTTTTTGTATGAGAAAAAGTGACGCGACAACGATTGTTCATTATATTGGCATGTTCATGTACACTTTATGAAAAAAATACCGTACGTTTTCATTACTTTTTTTGCTTGCTATTGGAAAACATATCAATGCTGAAACAGTGAACTACAGTTTTGACGTATAGGCTATTTTGTAGGTGGTGAAAGGATCATGCGACATGATTTTCGGTTAAATTGCGCTTGATATGGGCGCACAGATTTCCAGCGTTGTCCAAATGGCTTTATGGATTTAAAGTTAGATGATACCTAATTGATAATACGTACAGTCGTATCACCTAATTTCTAGTAGTAGTTAAGCACCAACACAAAACAAAAAACAAAACAAAAACCATGTTAATCGGGGGGTGAGAAAAAGGCAAGGCCACAATTAATATACAAGTTTACCAGGTCAAAACATTCAAACCAAAACTTAAGAGACCAGACCATATATAGCCTAGTGATTTATAGATCGTGCTCTTTCAAAAAATTTGTCATTTCTCCGTTTCAAATGATTGATTGTGCTAATGATATTGTCTTCCAATTTATAAACATTAAAATGTAACATGTTTGCAACACCGTAAACATGACGGAAATATATTTACTAAATTTGCAAATCCAACCGTAGTCCTCGGGAAAGAACAAGACAGCGGAACACGGGTAGTCGTGCCAGTGCCCCGAGTCACGGTATTTCATCAGGGTGCAGTCCTCCTGCGCTGCGGCAATACCTCCCAGTCCGGCCGGCTGTCCGCTAGCCCAGTACGTATAATCTACAGGACTCCCTGGAGAGAAATTATCAATAACGCTTTACAGAGGCATGTCACACGCTACACAAGTACATCACATATATACAATTTTAGTATATGATATGACAGTCTCTCGGCTATAGCATTTTTATAACCCTTTCAGTCAATACAAATCTTTCTCTAGGGTCCGTTACGTTAAGGATCCTATCTCGCTGCACTGCCGTTTTCCCTTTTTACAGTTACTTCCGCTTAACTTCCGCTCGGATACCCTTTCGTTGTCCGGGTGACTCAATCGGTTTCAGCGATGACATAGAAATCTGGGGTTCAGGGTTCGAATTCTGGTTTGGGACCACAGAATATTTTAAACTCAGAACACTTTTAATTTGTTGATCATATTTTGTTTTTGTTCATTTCATCTCCATTATGTTTTCACAAAAGTCGCGCTAGGTATACTTTTCTTTTCAAAAATGATTTATCAAAACTAAAATCTTGCCGGAAAAAATAAGTTTCGAATGCATAGTTTTATTTTTTGCAGTGGTACGGGGATCCTTAATCAACTTAAGCACTGAACTGCTTTTAGTTGGCATTCATAGTTGGCATTCATAGACAACATGAATGCCAACTGGACAAAATGCAAATTCAATTATGCGCTTGCGCTTCATTTTTCCGATATAACCTAATTCTAGTTGAAATTACACAATGTAACATAAAATCACTCTATGGCCCATGCTTGCTGAAACATCAAATGAGAGGCTTACCATCAGCCCAGATAAAGGATCCCTCGGTGGTTTGGTCCGTGAGTCCGAGCCACACACCGTTGCCTGCGAAGTTGAGAGACCCTAGAGTAGACATTATGAAGTTCTGCTCCGTCGATGAGTGGAGGGTCAGAAGGACACCACCCTTGGCGACACAGTCATTGTTGGCGTGTGCCCAATCTCTGTGGTGGTGGATTTCAAACATGTAGCATTGCTCTTCAAAACTCTGCAGGGTAGGTCCTCGCTTTAGATTGATGGGACAGCGAGAAACGTCCGTCTGCGCAGCTTCCCGCCAGATGTTGAAAGAAAGCATTTTTTATACACTTACATTAAGGTTTCGATTGCTACCTACCAGGGTACGAACTAATTTGCAATAAGCTAGGAACTTGAAGATGGATAAGAAGAAGAACAAAAAGACCGCTTTATTTGAGCGTTACTCTATCTGGTGAAACGTTGGAATAACCACCCGCATTTGTGTATGTTAAAATGAACAAATTCTGCGCCTTATAATTAACTGAACAAAGTTAATGCAAAGTTCACTTTGTAGAGTTTCAAAATTATTGAAAAATTATCAAACCAGCATAGGTATAATTCTAAAATGATCGTCCATACACAAACAAAATATTGTTCATGAAATTTTGTCAAAAATATTTTGAACATCTCGTTAAGCTGACTACAGTTTGAGACATGGCTGGTTATCTCGGATTTTTAAATCAGCATTTCACGTAAGAACACTTATTTAAGATATCATACGGAACATGTGCACCAAATATGGAGTCAATCGGTGCAGCTGTTCTTGAGAAGAAATTGAAAACGCCTCAGCCAATCAGAGGCCAGGGACGGCCATCTTGTATTTTTGAATCTGCACGGAAAGTAAGACCGCCTATTTGGGACCTTATAAGGAACACTTGTACTAAGATTGGAGTTAATCAGTGCAGTAGTTCCTGTGAAAAAGTATCAAAAGCCTCAGCCAATTACAGGCAGAGCGCAGCCATCTTGTATTTTGGGAATTGTTCGGAACGTAGGAAAAATGTGTACCAAGTTTTAAGTCAATCAGGTTATTCTGAAGAAGAAGTGGAAAATGTTAATGCACGACAGACGAAGACAGGTGCCAATAGCTCAAATGAGCAATCATGTGAGCTTAATGGTCCTAGCCAGACACCATACATTCACATTGTTATTATTGAATGGTTCTAGTATATATTACCTTATCTAACTGGCGTCACCAGTCCATGTTTTCTTAACCTCGAATATTATTTCCTTTATATGTTATCTACTCTCCACATACGGGTTTATATGTGGACTACGAGGAAGGCCTGGTGTGTGTACTACGTATTATATTAAGTAATCCGAAAGACATTTTGACTAAAATGATTTTAATTATTATCAAATATAGCGTTGACCAAACCAGTGACGTATAAAAGTAGTATATACATAAGTATAGACGTCTCTGTCCCAACCATAGGTCTCATCACGTGACAAATGGTAATCATAATGACGGTATCAACTTGCTTATCTTTTGAACGTTTGAAATAGAAGCAATACTCGATTCTGCGTATTTACCCCGGACAAGGTTTTAAGTTGTGGTCAGGACCCAAAAACTCTTTGAAACCTGTTCTACCTACATATATAGCTTCACTTCCTCGACGGTACAGTAAATAGATAGCAATTCTTTATCTATCTCACGAAACCCTAGTTTAAGCATGTCCAACATTGTCTGAAATTCTCTTACACAAATTGTGTTTGTACAAATGACAAGAAAATGAGATTTTATAAGAGATACCTGCTAGTTGCAGACACAGTAACGGCAGGATCAGAATCGCCAGCGAAGTCATAGTTGTACGGCGTGTGAGTTACTGTACGGTCTGCGTGTGTAGGTCTGAGTGCAGATGTACAGTAAAAGAGGACATGTGACTACCGACGTAGATTCAAAGATAAGCAAGGTCTCTTGTTTAGTATCACCTGGTGAAAAGTACATTGTATTTCTCCCTAAGCTTGATAAGCTTAACGTAGACATTAGTACTAACACACGTATTCTTTTTGGTACCATATCTTTTTTGACGTGTACATGGTGTAGGAATTGTGATAAGACATGTGCTAGAAAACGTTATCATCTTAAACCGCTCGATTTGTTTTCCATTTTGTCTGGTGTTGATCAGTTAATCAATACCTAATAAAAGTGCCTATGGCAGTGGAGAGTTGGCGGCACGAGTGTGCGCGTTTTTTTTACAGATTTTATAATGAATGGGCAGGTTCCTTTACATTCTTGTTGAATGAAATAAAACAAATCTTGGCCCGTCTTGCTCCTGTTACAAAAGCTGTTTTTTATATTGTACTTCATGACTGTATACATAATATAACCAAAGTAATAGCGTGCATAAACAATAGTACAATACAACTTCAATGTCTCTTTGTTTACAACACACTTTATATTCTATACTTTGTTTTGAATATGGTATGGTTTTATCTGGCATCGTTACAACATGGTAAACAATATCAAATTGGTACTCTTAACATTTATGGTAAGTTTCATTATGCTGAAACATAACGTTACAATCTTGAATTTTCGGATCGGCTCGAAAAGTCAAAACGCTGTTGTTAGAAACCTCATAAGTACAGCCGTTCATGAGACCATTTTGAAAATGTCTCAGCCAATCACAGACCACTTCGGCCATCTCGAATTTTCTGATCGAAACTTAAGAACACTCGCTAGGGACATCATAAAGAACTTTTGCAACAGATTTGGAGTCCGTCACTTCAGCCGTTCTTGAGAGGTTGAAAATATTTCATCCAGTCAGACTATAAGGTGGCTGTCTTGGATTTTCAGATTTGATCGAAAAGTAAGGCAGTTGTTGGAAACCTAATAAGGAACATCTGTAGCAAACTACATCTCACAGAACATGTCAAGACAGGGTATAAGCTGATCGAACTTCGTTTTGCTTCCTCTATTTGAATGAGGTGGAGTTGCATTGATGAGCACTTTAGACCAATTTCTCCCTGGACATCTGCAAAGTTTGGACATAGAATTAGCATGCTATCGTGAACTACTTGATCATAGAGACAACTAATGTGAACCACTTGATCATAGAGACAACTAATGTGAACCACTTGAGCATAGACAACTAATGTGAACCACTTGATCACAGAGACAACTAATGTGAACCACTTGATCATAGACAACTAATGTGAACCACTTGATCATAGAGACAACTATTGTGAACCAATTGATCATAGAGACAACTAATGTGAACCACTTGATCATAGACACAACTAGTGTGAACCACTTGATCACAGAGACAACTAATGTGAACCACTTGATCATAGAGACAACTAATGTGAACCACTTGATCATAGACAACTAATGTGAATCACTTGAGCATAGAAAACTAATGTGAACCACTTGATCATAGAGACAGCTAGTGTGAACCACTTGATCATAGAGACAACTAATGTGAACCACTTGAGCATAGAAAACTAATGTGAACCACTTGATCATAGAGACAACTAGTGTGAACCACTTGATCATAGACAACTAATGTGAACCACTTGATCATATACAACTAATGTGGACCACTTGATCATAGAGACAACTAATATGAACCACTTGATCAGACAACTAATGTGAACTACTTATTACGACTAATGTGAACCACTTGATCAGAGAGACAACTAATGTGAACCACTTGAGCATAGAGACAACTAATGTGAACCACTTGATCAGACAGACAACTAATGTGAACCACTTGATCAGAGAGACAACTAATGTGAACCACTTGATCATAGACAACTATTGTGAATCAATTATCAGAGAGACAACTAATGTGAACCACTTGATCAGAGAGACAACTAATGTGAACCACTTGATCAGAGAGACAACTAATGTGAACCACTTGATCAGAGAGACAACTAATGTGAACCACTTGATCAGAGAGACAACTAATGTGAACCACTTGATCAGAGAGACAACTAATGTGAACCACTTGATCAGAGAGACAACTAATGTGAACCACTTGATCAGAGAGACAACTAATGTGAACCACTTGATCAGAGAGACAACTAATGAGAACCACTTGATCATAGTGACAACTAATGTGAGCCACTTGATCAGAGAGACAACTAATGAGAACCACTTGATCAGAGAGACAACTAATGTGAGCCACTTGATCAGAGAGACAACTAATGTGAACCACTTGATCAGAGAGACAACTAATGTGAGCCACTTGAGCAGAGAGACAACTAATGAGAACCACTTGATCATAGTGACAACTAATGTGAGCCACTTGATCAGAGAGACAACTAATGTGAACCACTTAATCAGAGAGACAACTAATGTGAACCACTTGATCATAGACAACTAATGTGAACCACTTGATCAGAGACAACTATAGTGAATCATTTGATCATAGACAACTAATGTGAACTACTTATTACGACTAATGTGAACCACTTGATCATAAAGACAACTAATGTGAACCACTTTCAATCATTTATCTGCTGACCAAAGGCTTAAGGATCCCTGTCCCACTATACTGCCCCTTTTCCTACATACAGTTACCTCCCCTTAACCTCCATTTGGATATCACTGTAGCTTATTTAGGCTCGTACACCTCTGTTGTCCACGTAGCTCAGTCGGTTTCAGTTATGGTAAAACAATGTAAAGTCCTGGGTTCATAAAAGGCCTGCAATATATACTTTTCCTATCCAAAAAATATGTATCAAAGCTATAGTGATACTGGAAAAACAAAATTCAACTTCCTAGTTTTATTATTTGGCAGTGGTACGGGGATCCTTATACTGTTGATATTTCTGTGCCTGGTAAAATACAATAACATCAATGCCAGTAACAAAAAAAAATTGTGATTTTTTATTTTAATTTTACTCATACATCAATAACAAAAGTAATACGAAGCAATGTTCTCTACTTTGTATTCTGTAGGCTTTAGCACACATAAACAGGCAGAAGCACACACATATACACAGACTAGCATTAACTTCATAACATAATAGATCTATCATAGAAATCGGTCTTACCTGTTTTTGTTAGATAACCCTATTGTAGCCGGATTTATTAGCTCAATAAATAATGACATGATCTTTCGGAAGAAACCATGGTTTGTATGTCCTATTCAACATCAAAATAATGCATGTGTGTAAAGAAGACATTAAGGATTCCTATCCCACTAATTTGTGGTTATTCCCAGTCTAGCCCTACTGAAATTTTTACTCAAAAATCTGTTGATTATATTTTGTTAATTTCATCTTTATTACATTTCTCATAAAAGTCCCATAAGGGTACTCCAACAAAGTTAGAAGTTCACACGGCGAAATACTTCTGACAGGCACCAAAATCATATCCGATAGAAAAAGGCCGACCAGCGGCCTCTTATATTATAGGAGTACCATAAGGTATGGTTTTATTTTCAGATATTATAAGCTATAATCACTCCAGAAAAAATAATTTACAATACTTTGATAAATTTTTTGGCAGCAATACGGGAATTCTAAATAATGAAATACTATTACACCACCAATGCAATCTGCTGATTAATTTAAAAGCTGTTATTCTTACATGCAATAATTGAATCATTTGCACATTTTTTATGTACCTCACGGGTGATTTTTCTATAATATACATACATAAACAAACAAAACAGAAGGGGTAAACAGCTGAAATAAAGAACCCCTACGCTGGGCAATGGAATTCTTTACTTCAACTGTCCAATAATTTGTAGCTGTTTATCATTACGTAATAAAATAATAATGAACACATATTTACCGTAACAACTGGAAGATTAAAACACAATCTGTACTATATTTAGTACTTCAACTGATGGATGTTAACAATTAATAGTAATTAACATAGATCATGTTTCACAAAAACAGCACAACGTGAGTATCCTCACTCTCAATCATTCCAAGCTCTGTTGTGTCTGCCATTAAATAACTTCCCTTTATTACTGTGTGACCCATTATCCGAACACTTCTTGCTTATCCATATCCTGTATGTCTCCTACATGGTTAAGATGATCAGCTCTCAACTGCATCATCATTAGTAACTATAGCATATCTTACCAACACATCAACATATATACACATACTTCCAAATTCTCTTGGACTTTTTTATGCATTATTTAATCATCTGTAGGCAAGATCTTCCATACAACAATTACCATATTGCATAATCTACCTGCTGTACAATCATAGTTCAGATTACCATTGTAAAAATGTTTATAAATATAAATTAGCGAAAAACTGGGCCTAGAAAAAGCTTCATGACATCAGAAACTTAATGCTATCACATCAGGATTCCTTCGATCCCCTCCCCGACCCATAAAATCTAAGTTTAAAATTATCTTAATCAAATACTTGTTTCGATCTTTGTCATATGTCTACCATGTTGTGTTGTAAAAACATGGGGCCTGTTCGTTTATGCGGAACAACCGATTTGTCTGTTTTTAAATGTTACATTTTTAGGTATAAATCCAGGTGGACCTGCAAATGTTTTTGCAGGCCTTGCAAAGCTTTGTCAAGGCTCGCCCGAAGGCAGCATCAGATTACTAAGTCCGACCTGATTTCATAAACAAAACAACTCTGATCCGACCCTTTGGAGTGCAATAAACGAAAGCGGCCCTGCATATTTGTTGCATATTATCAAATCAAAACGGTTTTATTGAAGACTTGATGTGTAGGTACAAGCAAAAACTAGACCCATCAATATATACCCTACCTTGATAAGTAATAGGATAGTCTTTTCAAATAATTTCTCACGGGACATTCAGCTTGTAAAGTTAACAAATCGTCTCCATCACCCGAGCCAACGTCTACAGCTGTAGTACTCAATACATGTATTTTCAGGCGACATGATCTGTTGAAGAAGACCATAGAGTCTAACAACAGGTTGCTTGATTTTGTAATCTTTCACAAAGTATTCGCCGTTTAGTCATTAGTGTGTTTGCTATCTACCCCATCATCACCAGAATGGGCACCAGCCGATGTAGCACTGACACAAGTTTTCGTGTGAGGTGGCCTGTTTGATGAGTAGCTCCACCTGGGTGTTGACGTCTATAGAGTCCTTGGTAGGGAAGTCCTTCCCTGTCAGTTTGTCTCGGACTCGGTGTACAATAGATATTGCCTTTTTGTTGAGTACCTCGGCCAGGGGGTTATCGCCTCCTGCAGACCCCGGACCCTCGGGGGCGGTCTTCTTGTGGGTGGCTGTGCCTAGTTCCACGCTGTCCAGGATGTCGCCCTTCTCCTGGCTACCCGAAAGCGAATCTGAACGGTTGGTCTTTGGCTTGGCTTTGGTTGTAGCTGTAAAATATTCGGAAAAGGTGCAGTTGAATCTGTGAAGAATATTGTGCTATGACTGGCAATGTGTGACATTATATACTAGTGTATGGAAAACACACTGGTGGGACCATACATACAGGTGGGGATAGAGAATAGGGGTTGGAGAGGCAGGGCGGCACTAGCAACAACTGATAATGTTTGAGTGGTGGGCCACTAGGGAGAAGGAACCACAAAGAGGGCCCAAATTGATACACAATTTTGTAGGATAAATACATGTGACAGAGGTCATTATTTTGTCAATGCCTCAGCAAGGAGTCGAACCGGGAACCTCTGGCTTACTAGTGTTACACTCTACCGAAAGTGGGCTAAAGAGAAAGTCGGTAGGAAGCGGCAAGCATATTACCAGGATAACATATGCCCCCTCCTAGAAAGAACTTGTCCAGAGTTTGCTAGGGATCATAGCTCTACTTGTGAAAGTATAGCTAAGTATATTTGTCAATAATACCCAGGTCCCTACGGTGGTGCCAATGTAACAATGGTCATTATTCTTTTCAATGCCTCTGCTAGGCTTATGCTCTACCGAATGAGCTAAAGAGAAATTCTCCCTAGCCGAGTCGGTAGGAAGCGGCTAGTATATTACCAGGGTGACATACATGTGTGAGCAGTATACATATAAACTGCCTCGATGGAAAAACATGCTGTAGTGAACAGCACTAGTTTAAGGGAGATAAACATTTACTTACTGTCCATGAGTCTCCAGTTAAGGAGTGGGTCGTACACAAAGGCCTCCAGCACGGCCATTAGGCTGTCCTTGTGTTCCCGCAGCACCTCCATGACACTCTCACAGGTCATCCGGTAGTTACCATCTATACCGGTCACCTACAAAGGTCATACACTTGTTAACATCATTGCATATTCTCTGTAAATGTCATATTCTTATTTTTAATATCGTTACATAGACAATTGTTTTTAAGTGCAACTTTCATGAAATTTCCTTTTTATGTTTTCCTGGGGGAAGACATAAACAACATTCAAAATCAACATTTAGACATGCCTATAATTAACCCCTTCAAAAATCCTCATAAATGTCACTGACATACATCATATTTTCTGGTTTTCAGACATGTTTATACTAAGAAGTCATTGTGTAATCTTAACATGTCGCGAAAAATTGAATTTAAATTAAAGTAATATTCAAAACATTTTCTAGTCCTGTACCAATTTAATTGGGTAGTGTACCAATTGCGGTCGCATTTTATATAATAGTATGTAGCGCATTACGGGGTTTTATGACAAGCGTTCATGTTTTATTTATTTTACACTCTTTTGTTACCAGGATAATATGGCATTCACTAAATTCCCAAAGTATGTTTATTTTAAAAGACATGGTGATTTTATGATAAATGTATTGACTACTGTTTATAAGTTTGTTTTTCCAGATTCTATCTGAAGGGTAAACATAGATACCTCCATAGCGCTGATCAACATTCTAGTCAGTCGGAATGGAATCTTCTCCGGAAACTTCTCCCTCACCATGGCAACCTCAAAACAGTCTCCGAAGTCGATGTGGATGACCTTGCCACTAACTCTGTCCAGCATCAGGTTGGAGGGATGTCTGACAGAGAAATAAAATACAAAAATAGCATACCTCGGTCAGGTAAATAAAACAAGACACAATGAATATGGCCTTCCAGAGAAATCAAACAAAGGTCAAATGTCTACCAGCTCAGGAATTCACAATTTCAGTAAGGTAAATCAAATAAAGTACCATATGTCTGTCAGGGAACAAGACACAATCACCATTGTTTGACTATCAATGATGATCGTTGTGGTAACCAATGCATCAATATTTTAATGTATAGTAAAACATTGTTATGGTACCACAAATCATCCAAACGAAGGTTAATTTGGAGTTACAAAAGGACTTGCAGATAAATTGAACAAGATGTATAAAGCCAGTTAAGAAGGAAAGGAGTCCTTATAATTAACACATAAGGTATAGTGGTTTTACAGTTTTGTGTCATTATCAAACTTACCTGTCTCCCAGTCCTAGTACATAGCCTACCATAGACATCACGGCCAGAGATCGTGTGTAGTTGGTCCTACGGTCAAACCACACCTGTAACACAGGGACAAAGTTTTACAGAGTCTAAGTTCAAACTTCATGCTATCAAATTAAGACACTTAAAACACCCTAGGATGTTTACTTGTTTCAGAAATTATCACAAAAATGCCCATGTCAAAGAGTCAACTCACCTCAGAGCTCGGACTTTTGTACCAAAGAATTTTGGCGAGATCATCCCCCTGTGTGTGTTCTAGGGCATGCTCAAACACTTCCACCTTCTGCATAAGTGTGAGGTGGTCATAGTCAGGCGCCATCTGTATGGAGAGATTAGAACTATACAGAATAATTGTGTGAAATTTCATGAAATTTGGTTGAAAACTGTACTCAGGAACGATCGACAAACCATAACGTGACAGATGGCCATAAAGACCTATTTAACAGTGATATTCAACTGTAGCTGAGATGATGTCATCATCATCCCAACCATCTTTGCTAGCCAAGTGTTCGCTTCGTATACACTCCCAACATGATATAGCATAAGAATCAAATTACCCGCAGCATCAACCGGTGTTCGATGTTCAGAAGGATCTTTTTCTTCTCGCGGTAGTCCCTGATTAGAGCGTGGAATGTGTCTGTGTGTGGGACCCAGCCAATCAGCCCTGAGTTGGTGGACAGTGGGATCACCGAGAATCTCTGGATCCTGTAAAAATCATAATGTAATGCCTCAAGGAAAAAGTAAATTGCAACTTGTTACACATCTTGCTGCCTAATGACTTTTCGTTTTAATTCACATGTAATTAAACTCTTGAATGGAGTAAATGAAAATAGAAATGATGAGCAACAACACCACTGAATCCGGTACAAAATGTATTGTTTGATTTACATCCTACATGCTGACATGTTTCGGCCAAAGGGAGGCCGTCTTCAGAGCACAGTTACATGTGAATGAATTGAGTGTGAAAATTCTCAATTTGGTTTTGGTTTCTGCTATGATCAATACAGGGGTTGAGGTTGGAGTTCAAAACCACAAAACTAAGTAGATGTGGATGTTTTATATTACTGAATTATTGATACAAATCCAGTAGTCATTTAAAAATACAACTAAAAACAAAAATATCTACTCAATTGTATATCCTACGATTTCAAGATTTTCTAGTTAACTGTAATTATCACAATGATTTTTTCTTATTTTACTACCAAGTCATTAAATTTCCTCAGAACATAGAAAAATGTTTTTCTCTCCTTTCTTAACAACGCATTATTAAATTACTGAATTGACAGAAGAAAATATAACCTGATCTGTCAAATCTATACGTCAATGTAGCCCCACAGAGACCATTGGTTTGTGAATGACAAAATGCTTGTTAAAATTTCATAATAAAAAGCAATTATATCCAAACATACAGCTTATCTCTGAGGAATTAAAAGTTAATCTGAGTAGAAGTGACAATAAATGTAGATCAAATTTATTTCATTATCACGGTGACAACCATTTTTCTCATCTGTCCTAGATACATATTACAGCTACTTACGTGAGGTTCCTCCTTAACGTTTCCGGGTTGTTTAGGAGGAGTGAGTTGACCAGTCCAAACAGCTGCATCACACGCTCGTCCTGCCTCAGGTCCTCGTGTCCCTTCAGTAGGAACATGTATTCCTGGCCGTTGTTACCTACAGTCAAAGTGTTAACACAGGGTCATACACTGGAGTCTTTTCAGGAAAATGTTCAAGCACATTTCAAGTACATTCTTGCTATTTTTCCAGTCCAAGTCTTTAGAAAAGGATTAAGATTTTCTGTTTTCTGGATACTGATATTGTTATAGAGCAAGAAATTAAAACAATGCAAAACAGAGATTTCAAACAATCACTCAACAGTTTTTTTATCAACACAAAATTTTGAATAAGTTCTTGATTAACAAAAGTTTGATATAGACCTTCATAGAGAATATTCCATCACTTTTCGAGACAAATTCCTGCATTTCTCCATACATCTGTTTTCCAGAACTTTTCAAGTACTGACTTCAACTCCAGTACTTCCGTTGCCTACATGAACCACAGAGATCTTAATACACTCCATGAAGATATAAGGCTCACCAGTAATATCGTTATAGGAAGGATTTTCAACACAATAAAGTATCTATGTGTAATTCATCAATGACACTGCCGGTTCAACATATAGATTGATTTAGTTGTATGGCTAACAACTCTCAGACAAACCTCAAGAAACGACTATGTTGGTAGCATTGTACGTATAATGTATCGCATTTGATTTTGGAATATGTACTAAGTAATATTGAAAACCAGCCAAATGTGGCAGTTCGCGTTCGGAGATCAAACATTTCTTTTTATAAAAAGCCCTGGCAAATTGATCAAAGCTGTTTTCGTGTAAATGGTCAAAATGGTCAAACCACAGTTGTTCGTTTATTAAATAAAGTTGGACCTAGTTATCTGATGCTGCTTTCAGGCGAGCCTTGACAAACCCTTGCAGGCCTGCTTAAACATTTGCAGGTCCGCCAGGATTTATACCCAAAATTGTTACATTTATAAATGGTCCAACCAGTTGTTCTGCATAAACGAACAGGCCTCTACTATCTCACCAAATATGCTGAGTTTCCTTGGTCGCTGTTTCGAGGTGATGACCTGCAGTGAACTTTGAACCCTCCGAATTTTGATGACGGGTTGATTGGGGTCGTAAGTTCCTGGAACCGCCAGCTCCAGATCCTGGCATCGTAACAATTTGGGGGAGACATATTGTAATTCTAGGGATGTCAACTGAAAACAAGACAAAATGTATACACAGATTAAATAAAGATTGACAGGATTTTATGTGTTCAAATTTAAACGCATCAGAAATACTTACCACGTTTATTAATATAAGTAGCAGTGCACAGGGAAAATCAAAAACTGATATCTTTGTTTTACATATATATGTTAAATATACTTTTATAAATCTAAAATATAGTTTTTTGCCAAGTGTTAAATTTCGCCCTTCATATTTAATTACTATATACAGTTATCATGTTGTTTACTTATATTCGCTGTAATGATAAATTTCCTGTATACACAGTTTACAATTGTTTTCCATATATTTTTATTCTATACACAGCTTTTTCAGATTGGTCGAAATATAAGTATGAATGTGGTGCTCACTAAGTTAAAAATGTTCCCAAATAGTTTCTAAACAAAGGAAATCCTTTTTCCTCCGAAAATCTTGCATTCAAAATTTATATTGTAATCTATGTGTTGTGATAATCATAATAATAATTTGAAGTTCTTATATACCGCTTTATCACAACCTTGTTCGTAGGTCATCTCAAAGCTGTTTACAAATTATCATTCGTGGTTATAGGGCCTTTGCAACCAGCCAATATCTTTCTCAACTCCCTTGGGAGCATACAGCCAGTGCTGCCATTTCGGTGCTCACAGCTAACATTCTACAAATCTAGCACTGTCCAACCACATATACTCATTTACAGCTGAGTAGACTGGAACAAGCGGAGTAAAGTATCTTGCTCAAAGATACAACACAGTGCCGTGACGCGACTCAAACCCGCAACCCTTCGGTCACAAGCCCGGCATCCTACCACTAGACTACCGTGCCTCATCATATTCAATAAATTTACTGTAATCTTCATGTTTGACAGTCAACCTTGCAACTATCATGGATATCATGCATAGCTAAAACTTGTCAGATATTTTACCATCTCAATTTGTAATCCACCCAAACATATATTAGAAGAAAATCACCAGTTGTATATCCCCCAGCAAACAATCCATATCAAATATGAAGTGAAAAAAAATTACCAGCCCAAAATATGTCATGCATTTTCAAAATCTAATGCAAAAGACAACAACAAAATCTCTGAGATATTTTCAATTTCTCAAAAAGGAAAAACCAAACCCTCTTTGAAAAGGAAATAAAAAGTAAAACGAGAGTCTGAAATGAAACCGAGACAGCCAGCACATACCTCTGGGAGTGGTTTGTCCCCCTGTAAGTCAAACTAGGGCATATTACACCTGATTACATCATACTATACTACTACTACAGTTAGTACTACTACTATGTAAACAACACACTGTCCCATGCCATGTGGCCTCCCAGATTTTGTGAGAACAAAATCAGTCTCCAACTTTCACAATTTCTCTCTCTTTTTACTACATATGTCCTTGTCAAGACTTCTCAAGTATATCACAAGATACGTATACTCTTATTTGAAATATATTTGAAAATGTTCCTCCATATTTAACTACAAAAAGAAAAGGATCCAATCCAGATGTATTTTCCCCACATTTGTATTATAATAGACAATTTACTTAAATTTTAAGTCACAGATAAAAGCTGTTAAATGCAATTTAAAGTAGCTTTACTTGTGCAAGTAATTTTGAAAATAACCTGTAAGGAGATAAACCAAAAGTCTTTGAAAGGATCCGAGTATTTAATGAAGAGTTTGTGAACAAGCCTGTTACTGGCTCAGCTGTAAGGAAATGTACCTGAAGTCTTTGACAGGACCTGTATGACTTGAGATAATGAACAGGCCAGCTGTTATCTGGGACAGCTGTAAGGAAATGTACCCCAAGTCTTTGCCAGTACCCGCATTTTATTAAAATAATGTGAACAAGCCTGTGACCTGGATCAGCTGTAAGGAAATGTACCTTAAGTCTTTGACAGGACCTGCATTTTATTAAAATAATGTGAACAAGCCTGTTACCTGGATCAGCTGTTAGGAAATGTACCTTAAGTCTTTGACAGGATCTGTAGGACTTGAGGAGATAATGAACAGGCCAGTTATCTGGGACACCCATTTGGAAGTTTACAAAAGTATTTGAAAGAACATGAGTGGCATCAAGACATTGTCAACAGGCCTGTTACCAGGGCATTTGTTTGAGATGTACTTTATGTTTCAAACAGGACCTGTACATTATGAAGAGGCTATATGAACAGACAGGTAACCTTCAGTTTGGAGGTTTAGCTAAAGTCTCTGTTACAAATTAACAGTTACCTGTTACCTCAGACAACTGGTTGGATTGAACAATCATAACATTGGGTAGCTGTTTGGAGATCTATCTAAAGCCTTGGATAGGAATGAACAGGCCTGTTACTTGAGCTAGCTCCACAGATCTAGAGTTCTATCTGAAATGGTTGATATAACTGAACAAGCATGTTATCTGAGGCACCTGTAAGATCTTTACAAAATCTTTGATAGGACTGAACAATTGTGTTACCTGGGGTAGCTGTTTGGAGATGTATTTAGGGGTGTTACCTGGGGTAGCTGTTTGGAGATGTATATAGGGGTATTACCTGAAGTAGCTGTTTGGAGATGTATATAGGGGGGTTACCTGGGGTAGCTGTTTGGAGATGAATTTAGGGGTGTTACCTGGGGTAGCTGTTTGGAGAGGTATTTAGGGGTGTTCCCTGGGGTAGCTGTTTGGAGATGTATAAAAGCGTGTTACCTGGGGTAGCTGTTTGGAGATGAATATAGGGGTGTTACCTGTGGTAGCTGTGTGGAGATGTATATAGGGGTGTTTCCTGGGGTAGCTGTTTGGAGATGTATAACAATTGTGTTACCTGGGGTAGCTGTTTGGAGAGGTATTTAGGGGTGTTCCCTGGGGTAGCTGTTTGAGATGTATATAGGGGTGTTACCTGGGGAAGCTGTTTGGAGATGTATATAGGGGAGTTACCTGGGGTAGCTGTTTGGAGATGAATATAGGGGTGTTACCTGTGGTAGCTGTGTGGAGATGTATATAGGGGTGTTACCTGTGGTAGCTGTTTGGTGATGTATATAGGGGTGTTACCTGGGGTAACTGTTTGGAGATGTATATAGGGGTGTTACCTAAGGTAGCTGTTTGGAGATGTATATAGGGTTGTTACCTGGGGTAGCTGTTTGGAGCTGTATATAGGGGTGTTACCTGGGGTACCTGTTTGGAGATGTATATAGGGGTGTTACCTGTGGTAGCTGTGTGGAGATGTATATAGGGGTGTTACCTGGGGAAGCTGTTTGGAGATGTATATAGGGGTATTACCTGGGGTAGCTGTTTGCAGATGTATAGAGGGGTGTTACCTGTGGTAGCTGTTTGGTGATGTATATAGGGGTGTTACCTGGGGTACTTGTTTGGAGATGTATAAAAGCGTGTTACCTGGGGTAGTTGTTTGGAGATGTATATAGGGGTGTTACCTAGACTGGTTGGATTGAACAATCATAACATTGGGTAGCTGTTTGGAGATCTATCTAAAGCCTTGGATAGGAATGAACAGGCCTGTTAATTGAGCTAGCTCCCCAGATCTAGAGTTCTATCTGAAATGGTTGATATAACTGAACCCGCATGTTATCTGAGGCACCTGTAAGATCTTTACAAAATCTTTGATAGGACTGAACAATTGTGTTACCTGGGGAAGCTGTTTGGAGATGTATATAGGGGTGTAACCTGGGGTCGCTGTTTGGAGATGTATATAGGGGTGTTACCGGGGTAGCTTTTTAGAGAGGTATATAGGGGTGTTACCTGGGTAGCTGTTTGGAGATGGATATAGGGGTATTACCTGGGGTAGCTGTTTGCAGATGTCTAGAGGGGTGTTACCTGTGGTAGCTGTTTGGTGATGTATATAGGGGTGTTACCTGGGGTACTTGTTTGGAGATGTATAAAAGCGTGTTACCTGGGGTAGTTGTTTGGAGATGTATATAGGGGTGTTACCTAAGGTAGCTGTTTGGAGATGTATATAGGGGTATTACCTGGGGTAGCTGTTTGGAGATGTAAATAGGGGTGTTACCTGGGTAGCTGTTTAGAGATGTATATAGGGGTGTTACCTGGGGGAGCTGTTTGGAGATGTATATAGGGGTGTTACCTGGGGTAGCTGTTTGCAGATGTATAGAGGGGTGTTACCTGTGGTAGCTGTTTGGAGATGTATATAGGGGTGTTGCCTGGGTAGCTGTTTGGAGATGTATATAGGGGTGTTAGCTGTGGTAGCTGTTTGGAGATGTATATAGGGGTGTTACCTGTGGTAGGTGTTTGGAGATGTATATAGGGGTATTACCTGGGGGAGCTGTTTGGAGATGTATATAGGGGTATTACCTGGGGGAGCTGTTTGGAGATGTATATAGGGGGGTTACCTGGGGTAGCTGTTTGGAGATGTATATAGGGGTGTTGCCTGGGTAGCTGTTTGGAGATGTATATAGGGGTGTTTCCTGGGGTAGCTGTTTGGAGATGTATATAGGGGTGTTACCTGTGGTAGCTGTTTGGAGTTGTATATAGGGGTATTACCTGGGGTAGCTGTTTGGAGATGTATATAGGGGTGTTTCCTGGGGTAGCTGTTTGGAGATGTATATAGGGGGGTTACCTGTGGTAGCTGTTTGGAGATGTATATAGGGGTGTTACCTGTGGTAGCTGCTTGGAGATGTATATAGGGGTGTTACCTGGGTAGCTGTTTAGAGATGTATATAGGGGTGTTACCTGGGGTAGCTGTTTGCAGATGTATAGAGGGGTGTTACCTGTGGTACCTGTTTGGAGATGTATATAGGGGTGTTACCTGGGTAGCTGTTTAGAGATGTATATAGGGGTGTTACCTGGGGTAGCTGTTTGCAGATGTATATAGGGGTGTTACCTGGGGTAGCTGTTTGCAGATGTATATAGGGGTGTTACCTGGGGTAGCTGTTTGCAGATGTATATAGGGGTGTTACCTGGGGTAGCTGTTTGCAGATGTATATAGGGGTGTTACCTGTGGTAGCTGCTTGGAGATGTATATAGGGGTGTTACCTGGGTAGCTGTTTAGAGATGTATATAGGGGTGTTACCTGGGGTAGCTGTTTGTAGATGTATAGAGGGGTGTTACCTGTGGTAGCTGTTTGGAGATGTATATAGGGGTGTTAGCTGTGGTAGCTGTTTGGAGATGTATATAGGGGTGTTAGCTGTGGTAGCTGTTTGGAGATGTATATAGGGGTGTTAGCTGTGGTAGCTGTTTGGAGATGTATATAGGGGTGTTACCTGTGGTAGCTGTTTGGAGTTGTATATAGGGGTATTACCTGGGGTAGCTGTTTGCAGATGTATAGAGGGGTGTTACCTGTGGTACCTGTTTGGAGATGTATATAGGGGTGTTACCTGGGGTAGCTGTTTGCAGATGTATATAGGGGTGTTACCTGGGGTAGCTGTTTGGAGATGTATTTAGGGGTGTTACCTGGGGTCGCTGTTTGGAGATGTATATAGGGGTGTTACCTGGGGGAGCTGTTTGGAGATGTATATAGGGGTATTACCTGGGGTAGCTGTTTAGAGATGCGTCTGAAGACATGATAGTACAGGTCCCAGGCCTGAGTCAGGTCCTTCACGTTACCCGACCTCTGATGTTTCCTACACCACTCTTGGGCATCCATCAGGTCTCGCCCGTATGCCTGAAACAACACAAAATACTGGGAAAATGTTCCAAACACATGCTAAATTCACAAAATATTGGTAAAGTATGGTCATTTAAATTTTTTGATGAGATATTTACCTGAATTTTAATTTATTGGCTTCATGGACTCTTAATTTAAATCTTTAAATCATAATACCATGTAGTTGGTTTTAGTTCATCACATGATAATTTTTAGGAAGGCGATTTGATAATCACCCTTGTTCTATTTGGTATAGTTCTCTGCTTTCCTTGACAACTGGAACAATACCTGGTGACGGGCACTATACCTTTTTTCAGCCCGCAACAAAAGTAGTGTAATAACAGGCCTAGGAGTGGCACCCCTTCTAATAGGGGGCACTGTAAATTCAATTTTTATGTTCCAGCTATTGTTTAATTATTATGTGTTATCAAAGAAGCTGCTCATAGTGTTTGTCTTTACTGACAGTCTCATGATGTACTTAACTCTTTCACCACTGTAGACCATAATGGACTCCTCCAGATCATTGCATGGAAGAGTTAACTAAAGTTACATAGGAGTGAAAGGGTTAATCTATTATGTCCCTTTCCCTCAGGAACAGTTCTCTTGTAGTGTTGCTATAATATGGATTAGTAGAGTATTCTTTAAACTGTTTTTTATTGTCTAGAGTTCCTGTTGAGTGATCATGGTACTAACTAGAAATCCCTGTGATTGGAGTGAAAGACTGACTGCAGTTCTCCTGTGAATGACTAAACCCCTTGTGACTGATTGACTAACTGTGGCCCAATATCAATGACAAATCAACTAGGCCCCTTTCGCGTATCTGGTTTAACCGGTTTGTCTGTTTTCAAATGCAACATCGACTGAAAGCAGCAACAGATTACTAGGTCTGACCTTATTTCATAAACGAACAACTCTGGTCCAATCGTTTGGATCATGATAAACAAAATTAATGCTTTCCTAGTCTTCTCTATGAGCGACTTGTGGGCCCCTGTCGGTGAGTCAGTGTACCTGATTAAAGGAGGTTTCCTTCAGTGTCTGAGGTCCTCTCTCCATCATGGCATGCAGGGGCTCCAGAGTGGCAAACATCCCTTTCACATCCCGTTCCCCAAAGTAGAGGCGTGAAGCCTCCTCTAGACCCTCATGCCAAAGTTCATGCCAGAGAATAGCCACACGAATCAGTTCCTCGCTCACCTTCAAATGAATCAACAACTTATGTTTACCCTGAAATGCATATTTGATTTTTTTTTTATCCATACTTTGTTTTCCCTTCATGATTTTAAGATTAATTCAAACTTTTGGCCATAGGCGTATCAGTACATGAAACAGCATACAATGTATAGAGAATGGATAGATATGATGTACATTCAAATTCATAATAATTAATTAATCAATGAAGGAGTTCTTAATTTGTTAACCTCAGAGATAAATTTCCCCAACATAAATAACTGTTTAATATTTTGGACACATGACAGCTGAACATCCTTTAAAACAGAAGGATTCTTCTAGTAAAATTTTGTAATAAACCACACTCTAAGATTTTGAAATTAACTACAAATTAATAGAAAGTGAAATTCATCTTCAATGTCAGTGGAATTCTTTACAATGCCTTAGTTCTCTAGGAACATCTTCTATATCTTTCAGTCTTCCTTGTTAAATTAACTTCCAATTTAAAGGAATTGTTTTTCCTACATTAGTTTATGTATATTTCATTCACATATATTTTTTTCTATTGAATTTCTCACTTCAAAAGTGATGTCTGCAACTTATTTCAAACATCTTACATCTGTTTATTGTACAGTAGTTTCATATTCACACTTACCAGCATGGCCTGTTGTACAAGTGTGTTACTGTGTTCACACATGCTCTTCAGAATCTTGTTGGCTGCCGACTGTCTGGCTGTGGCGTTACTCTTGGAGGCAACAGTCAGAGGGTAGATCAGTGCCTGAAATGGTGAGGAGACATGTTACCATGACATAATGTTCAGGTCAATAAGGAGACATGTTACCATGCCACAATGTTCAGGTCAATATAGAGGAGACATGTTACCATGACACAATGTTCAGGTCAATAAGGAGACATATTACCATGACACAATGTTCAGGTCAACAAGACCAGTTAAACTGTCTGGATTAAAATTAACTAAAGCATATTAGCATTTGCAAGTATTGCAACATTTTTGGTGTTTCAACAAGTTCCGTCATAGTACCTTACCTGTTTTTATTTTCACACATATGTACGTTGTTCAGAGAAATCTGTTTACAAAACTGATGAAGATTTTAAGATATAAACAATATATGACTTGAATTTTCACGGTAAGGGGAGATAAATACACACACAGTTGTTTAACATAATTATCCCTAGCTATGAAAATGTTTATTTTATTCAAATACTATACCAGTATTTTTGAGAGATTAATTTTCATGAAACTCATTAGCAAATTAAACTCTTCAAGGATTATAAGTTCCATTTGGCCAGCTGAGCTAAAACAATACACACCTGTGGGTGGGTTTTACCGACATCTATCAGGAGCTGAGAGATGAGGCGACCAACCAACAGACGAGGGGTGTCAATTCGGGCAATGAGCTGGGGGATGACCTGGAGCCAATTGTCAATCTGAATGGTCTTTAGTCCCTCGACTAGCGCCTCGTATACCTCAGCCCACTGACCATAGTCAAACCACACGGTCAGAAGTCTACAAAAACATAAACCACAGAATTAGTATCAGTTATCATACATTACAGCCTGTGTTCTAATTAAAAGCCGGTTGCTGGCAAAAGTAGCCTGCGGTTCATCAACTCTGAACCAGCTATTTTTCAGAATATGTATGTTATAGCATGAAAACATTCAACTGGCTATTCTTTACAAGTCATCTACCTATTTTAAAACTTAGTGAGAACACTGACAGCAAATATCCTGATAACCACCAGAGTCAAAAAAAAAAGGAAGAAAGAAAAAGAAAGAAAGCAGAGAAAGAAAGGAAGGAAGAAAAGAAAAAGAAAAATGAACAAAATCATGTTCAATTTTGAAAATTCTACCTTAAAGTGTCCTGAAGACTGTTTTGCTGTGACAAAGAGATTGAACGGAAGAATCCATGAACAGCTGGAACACAGTATTTGTGCATCTTGGCTGCATTCTGAAACATTCAAGACAGTAGTTAAAATATCACTCTAAACGAATATCATTATTTTTTCTGTCCACTAGGGAATGACATTGTGACCTCTGGCTTATCGATCTGACTCTCTACTGATTGAGCTCAAGAGAATCTTCCCATGTTGAGTCAGTAGAAAGCAACCTGAATTTTACCAGCCTAAGGTTAAAATCTCAAATACTTGTCTATCTGTTCTATCAGTGTTACTTGGTACACGAAGTTCTGCCATATGATCAAGATCCATTAATATATAAAGTAGTTTTTTGAGAAAAGAGAAAACAGGAAAAAAATAAGTTTAACTTGCAATAAAACCTTAACATATTTCCTCGCATTTTGTTTGCCATCTTGCTTAAGCTTATCGCCAACACATTTCAAAGTTCACTATTATTGTTTCTTTTAAAATTCCTTTATTTGCCTCTCTTGATGTATTGCCAAACTGCTTTATAATGTGGAATTTTCTCTGGACAAATGGTGGTGGAAGACTATTTTACTGTGTATGTTTTTATTACTCGGTTTTATGATAAAATCCCAAAATATTGTACAGACAAAACTTATGTGTTTTAAATTTATTTTGAAAACTATTCACTTGGTACTGACTCCCTGTTAACAGGTGGTTACAGAGATCTCTTCCATCCTTACTGAGAGATTATCAGTCAATTGGTGCATGATTCACTGAAATATTATGAAGTTTTATAACCGAATTAGACTTAAAGCTTCGTATTTCTAACATTTCCCAATCAGTTTTTAAAATACAGAGATGTTTACCTTATTACAAATACAAGCATGCAAATGTCATAAATAATAACAGGTACATCTACTCACGGATTCGATCCTGGGTGAGCCTGGGGTATCACTGGTCCGAGACAAGTCCCCTGGGCCCAAGGCAGCCCGGCCAATATCTCCAGGGCCCAAAGAGGCTCCCGCGGAGGAAGAACTTGATGTCCCGTCCGCAGCCTGCAGGTTCTGTTGTTGTTTGTAGAATAGGACCGCCTCATAGTTCATCAGGGCCCAGGCATGGCTAGCCTTTAAAAGGGCATTAAATAGTAAGTCATTTAATTGGAATTCCTTCAATGGTAAGTTATTTAATGGGAATTCCTTTAATGGTAAGTAATTTAATGGGAATTCCTTTAATGGTAAGTAATTTAATGGGAATTCCTTCAATGGTAAGTCATTTAATGGGAATTCCTTCTATGTTAAGTTATTTAATGGAATTCCTTCAACAGTAATTTATTTAATGGGGATTCCTTCCATGATAAGTTATTTAGCGGAAATTCCTTCAATGGTAAGTTATTTAATAGGAGTTCCTTCAGTGGTAAATTATTGCATGAAAATTCCTTCAATGAAAAGTTATTTAATGGGAATTCCTTCAGTGGTAAGTTAGTGGATGGAAATTCCTTCAGTGGTAAGTAATTTGATGGGAGTTCCTTCAGTGGTAAATTATTGCATGGAAATTCCTTCAATGGTAAGTTATTTAATGGGAGTTCCTTCAATGGTAAGTTATTTAATGGGAGTTCCTTCAATGGTAAGTTATTTAATGGGAATTTTTCAGTGGTATGTTATTTAAGGGGAATTTCTTATAAAGGCATATTCTTTATCATCCACATTCAATAGATAGTGTTTTTCTGTTTATTGAAATTTTCATCTTTTTAATGGTAATACATCCATTCAATGGTAATTTATGGTAACTTATTCAACAGTAATTTATCTACAGGCAATTCATTCAATGATAAGTTACAGAATGTTAATTAATTTAAGAGTAAGTTCTTTGATGATAATCACTTTAAAAATCAACACTGCACGCCAGGAAATTTTCACTGCAGTTTAAGTTCAGCCTAATTCACCATTACAGCAATTCAGTCTGTAGGACCTACCTCGTACCAGGACTAGTCGTGTTCTGTAGGACCTACCTTGTACCAGGACTTGTCGTGTTCTGTAGGACCTACCTTGTACCAGGACTTGTCCTGTAGGACCTACCTTGTACAGGACTTGTCGTGTTCTGTAGGACCTACCTTCTACCAGGACTTGTTCTGTAGGACCTACCTTGTACAGGACTTCTCGTGTTCTGTAGGACCTACCTTGTACCAGGACGTGTCGTGTTCTGTAGGACCTACCTTGTACAGGACTTGTCGTGTTCTGTAGGACCTACCTCGTTCCAGGACTTGTCGTGTTATGTAGGACCTACCTCGTACCAGGACTTGTCGTGTTTTGTAGGACATACCTCGTACCAGGACTTGTAGTGTTCTGTAGGACCTACCTCGTTCCAGGACTTGTCGTGTTTTGTAGGACCTACCTCGTACCAGGACTTGTCCTGTTCTGTAGGACCTACCTTGTACCAGGACGTGTCGTGTTCTGTAGGACCTACCTTGTACAGGACTTGTCGTGTTCTGTAGGACCTACCTTGGACCAGGACTTGTCGTGTTTTGTAGGACCTACCTTGGACCAGGACTTGTCGTGTTTTGTAGGACCTACCTTGTACCAGGACTTGTCGTGTTTTGTAGGACCTACCTTGTACCAGGACTTGTCGTGTTTTGTAGGACATACCTCGTACCAGGACTTGTAGTGTTCTGTAGGACCTACCTCGTTCCAGGACTTGTCGTGTTTTGTAGGACCTACCTTGTACCAGGACTTGTCGTTTTCTGCAGGACCTACCTTGTACCAGGACTTGTCGTTTTCTGCAGGACCTACCTTGTACCAGGACTTGTCGTGTTTTGTAGGACCTACCTCGTACCAGGACTAGTCATGTTCTGTAGGACCTACCTTGTACCAGGACTTGTCGTGTTCTGTAGGACCTACCTTGTACCAGGACTTGTCGTGTTCTGTAGGACCTACCTTGTACCAGGACTTGTCGTGTTCTGTAGGACCTACCTTGTACCAGGACTTGTCGTGTTCTGTAGGACCTACCTTGTACCAGGACTTGTGCTGTAGGACCTACCTTGTACCAGGACTTGTCGTGTTCTGTAGGACCTACCTTGTACCAGGACTTGTCGTGTTCTGTGGCCAGACTGTAGTACTCCAGTATCTGGGGGATGGCCTCCTCACAGATGTTCATTATTATCTCTGTCCAATCACCCAACTTCAGGTAGCATCTGTTGTTGTATTGATCAGTTCATTAGAGATTTAAAGTTCTATCTATGATAGACACAGTTCTTATAAAATTCAAAAATATTTTCAAGTTAACAGATTTCAAATTCTGTCTAAAGACAGACACAGTTCTTATAAAATTTAAAAATATTTTCAAGTTAACAGACTTCAAATTCTGTCTAAGATAGACACAGTTCTTATAAAATGCAAAATAATTTTTAATTTAAGCAATACCAGCAATAAACCCTTAGTGTTCGTTTTTTCGTTTAATTCGTTTACTTTATCAAGATTTTGGTCTTATATAAACAAGTCATGAACATGCTGGAGATTCTGACCAGCTCTGATCACAAGCTTTTCAAAGAAACAGATTGGTCACACATTTCTGATAAATGATGCATTTCTTTATTGTTGGGTCGCTATAGGGACATACAAGCCTGTTTTGGTACATAAACAACATATCTGTATTAAGCTAAATAAATGTTGGTTTCATGAACTTTTACTAAATTTTGTTATCCTGTTGTGATTCTAAACCAGCAAAACCAGTTTTTATTCTTTTATTCAACTTTTAACTAAATTGTGACTTAAGCTCAAATGATTGTTAAGAATTTTAATTTTCTATAATCCATGACCTTGCCTTTCGCTATGATCTTGACTTTCACTGTGACTTAGGTTTTAATTGTGACACTTACATTCATTTTAGAGACATTGACCTACCTGGCCATGAGTTTGTTTAGCTCCGCTCTCTGCTGAGCATCCTCTGGAGCGTTGAGCTGCATGGTGCGTGACAGGAGTGAATGTTGTACAAAGTGTTGTAGCTTTCCATAAGCCTCCTTCTGTAATATAAACAGTAATCTATTATATTCTTTTGAGCCTTATTCTGTAATACGGAGGCAGTGGTCTTGTTGTAAGCAAGACAGTCTGGGTTTGACTCCCTGATCGGAAGGGAAAAGGCATGTAGTCATCTGCTCGACCATCTGTTTTTTCTCAGGGGACTCCGGTTCCCTCCCACATTAACACCCCTATATGCTTACCCTCGGGCCAACAAGACTGATTAATATAACTTGTTTCATGACTAACTGTTGTTAAAAATATAAAGTTTATATTGTTTTTGATATTTTTGTGGAACAGAAATGATCATTCTAGCCTGCCTACATCTGTTATATAGAACAGAATATAGAATTAAACATTTACACAGAGACAGATATCACATAAGCAGCTTTATTAGGGATTCATACCTTCTGGTTATTTTTCCACATGTGTTTCATGTAGGCGAAGCTGACCTGTGGGTTGACTGTGGGTATGGGCTGGTCTGTGGTCCTCTTATATATATGATTATTGGGTTCACCACCCAGCAGGGTGACTAGGGTTTTGTGGGACAGTGCCTGTTCACAGAGAAAAGATATAATTATACATGGATAGATATATGGATAGCTTGTCTGAACAGACATGCTACCATTGAGTACCATATAGTCTGTGTGTTAGTCGTAGAAATGTACTTCATCCAACCAGTTCTTCCGCCAATGATGATTATTGAAAGGAACAGGGCCACATTTATTTAAAACACTCCAAAAGATTGGATTGATTGGACCAGAGTTGCTCATTTATGATTTGTATGCACAGGCTTAAACATCCTCACAACAAGAAGATGGGTGTTTTTTATATAATACAGACAAACAGAAAGATTTGGTGATGCTTTTCTAGGGAGCCTTCGCAAAGAACTTCAAAGTCTACATCAATACTGACAAATCTCCCAGGCTTATAATCTCTGAAAATTTTACGTTTTAATCTCTGAAAATTTTACATTTCATACATTAATACTGGCAAATCTCCCAGGCTTAATCTCTGAAAATGCTACATTTTATAGTAGACAAGCTGACTGATATGCAAATTAAAATGGTTGCAGAAATCAACTGCAAAACAGTATCTTTGAATACAAAGGGCATATTTATCAAAAGGTGCTTTTTCAATATCTAAGATGATTATTATTTTAAAATCATTACACATGTTACCAATCTACAAATATAAATTGACAAAAAATATCATGGCAATCTATTGGCGTACTGCTTTAATAGCAAAAAGTGTCTTTTTCTATCTAACACAACCAACTGATCTTAATTATTGGCAATGCATTCTGTGTTTCTTTAACATCAAACACACCAAAGAAAATGATAACATTAGAAAACAGTTGCATACCAGATGTCCACTCTTGCGACACAGGCTGGCATACTTGAGCCACGTCTTCATGTCCTCCACAGGGGAGACAACCAGTGAGCGCACCTGGATGATTCGCTGCCAGTCCTCCACCACCTTCTGACACCCCTAAACACCAGGAACATTTGTCAGTCACAGTCTATAAATAACTCTCCTTAATACACTAATTAATACTCTTCATTATGGAAAGTGTGTATCATAGTTAACATCTACCTTGCATAATGATAAAGTGTACAAAGTTTTGTTACATGAAATATGTGCAGTACTTTATTAACCCTTTCACCCCTATGTAACCTAAATAGACTCTACCATGCATTGATCTGGACGAGTCCATTATGGTCTACAGTGGTGAAAGGGTTAAGAAGATGGAATACAGCATGGTTTTTAGGAAGAGATGCAGAAGTCATATAAAAAAAAATAAAAAATGAAATCAATAACACACTTAACAAATACTTTGCATACTGATCAGGTGTAAACATGTTTCATTGAAATCTAATCTAGTCTCCTTCAGGAGAAATTGTTTGTGCAAACTTGTGTCTGCAGACACCAGTGAAGACAGACAGCCTGATTCTAATACCTGCAGTCTATCCCACCACATAACCTTGATGGTCTCCCTCCTCTCTGGCACAAGCTTGTACTGAATGACCTCCTCCAGCTCCGACAGCATTTGTACATTGACCATGGCCTACAACAAAATGACCACGAAATATTTAAATATGACTTCTACAAAATTACACATTTACATACTACCCTATAATATTTAACTCAACGCATCAACATGAGTAAATATGGGATTAATCTAATTTGTCTATTATTCTAAAATTAACTATAAATCATTTACAAATCACCATTCACATCATCCTATTTTATTTTTATATTGACATCAACAATAGACGCTAAGTCACGATGGCAGTGTTTCAAGACTTGATTGATAGTCAAAGAAAGATGTTGCATATTTGCAAACCTTTGCTTATATTTGTGATTTGAGAAAAAGGATATTTCGCTTAGCTCCATTCATAACAGAAATAGGAAACATTCTCCAGATGTTTTCTTTTCATGAGCACATAAAACAAAGTATTCTAAATCTGTTTCATTAATCACGTATGAAATAACATTCACTAAAGATCCTTTACAAACAGGATTGCCTGTAGTTTAATTGAGCATGAAGTAAACAGTGATCTATATATCTTGTAAGAAAGAATGACTTACTCCATATGCACGATTATAACTTTCCCCAACCATAGCAGTCAGTTCTGTGTCCAATATGTCACGGGCCTTGTCAATACACTGCAATACATTATAAATACAATGTAATAAACAAATCACATTCTTTTTTGGCAGTAGACATTAAATAATTTTTTAACCTTTTAAAGTTCCTTTTATGAAATATTAAAATAGAGGCCCAGATGGCCTGTATTGCTCACCTGGATACTCATTGGTTCCCTTCTTTCTGCCCCAATAAAGTAGGGTGGACTTAAAACATTTACCCTAATTTCCCCTATAGGGCCCAGAGCTAGAAATTTAATTCATCATTCAGTAACATAATAACATTAAACATAAGACACAAACATGTCACTGGTGTACCCTGCTAGAATCTAACAATAGTTCTCACCAGGCTAGATAACACTAAACCAATTCCAACACTATTACAGTGTTGCCTACCTGTTGGGCCAGCTGGTAGTTTTCTGTGTGTAAAGCAAACACAGCTCGGTAGAATGCACCGTCGTAACTCGTCCTCGGGATCAGGCAAATATACTCCTCCATACTGTCCCACTGGCCTATATTACAAAGTCACAACCCAGAAACAAGGTCATTTTAATTCATATGATAGAAAATTACAAGGCTAGGAACCAGGAATGAAGGTAACGAACACTTTTATTCTTGGACACTCTTTAAAAAATGACAACAATTGATATTATTTAGATTGATAACACTCATTCTCAAATGATCAGAATCTTGATTTACTGCTCAAGGTTCCACACTGAAACCATATAATTTTGCACTCTACATAAAATTCAAGAGTTTATTTGAACAACAAAACAATTTACAAATAGTTAAGCATCAAAAATGTTATAACATATGATATTATAATTTTACTTTGTATAGTCATGCACTCATGGTAGTTCCAATATGGTATATATATATATATGGTGTATGGGTGTGCAGAGACTTACCAAGTCCCCATGAGGCAGCTGCAGCCATCCTGGCCATCTTGGCACGGTCATGGTCACTCACTGTTGGCCACTTATCACAGGCAATCTGGTACAGCTGGTTCCTGTATAGTGTTGATAGAGTGAAATATGTTTTACACTAAACAACTGTCACAGGAGAATGAGAAATGTAACGGCCAAACCGGGGTACGAACCCGGGACTATCTGAATTCTAGACAGACACTCTACCAATTGAGCTTCCCGGTAGCCGAGGATCGACCCAGCCTAGTTCCGCTTCATTCCTCCCTCCTTTAACCCTTTCACCCCTAGGTAACTTTAGTAGACTCTGCCATACATTGATCTGGATGAGTCCATTATGGTCTACAGAGGTGAAAGCATTAAAGTCTTCGACCCCGAAGACACACGACCCTTTACCACCTTCCTCGAGTATTTTTCGTTGGGTGCCAAATGTGACAGGAGAAAAAGCAACGACCAGACTGGGGTTTGAACCCGAGACCCTCCAAACTTTAGACTGACGCTCTACCAATTAATCTACCTGGTCGCCAACAATCGACCCAGTCTAGTTCCACTATACTACTCTCAATGTAGAATGATGGACCTTTTCCACTTTTGAACTATTTATATTTTTCCTTTTACAGTGATACCATTAAATAGTAGTGTTGTATGTATGTTGCTACAGAGTGACAGGAATATCTTATCTATATATATGTATTCTGCATAAAACTATGTTAGAAATAATTGTACACTTCATTAGAATATTGCAGTAATTCTTTTTTACATTTGCACAATATACAAGTATGATAATACCAAAGAGCTACAGCTCAATGAAGAAATAGCTAGTATGTATTATCATCATACCATTATACCTGCTAATCAATTTAAACATGTACCTTTGCCTGTCCATAATGTCCTTGACATAACAAGTTAAACACATGTACACACAGCAGAAACAGTCCAAACAAAAAGTGTCATGAACCCATTTTTCTACCTCACCTACCTTCACCAGAATATCACTTCCAGTTGAGTTAAAAATTGTAGAAGTAAAATATAAAGATCAATGAAACAACCAGGATAAGAAGCTTCCACCGACCAATTTATAAGCTAAATGATACCTGTCATGACTTGGTCAGGTACCTACCATTCAGCAAGTGCCTCCAGACAGCGCATCTTGCCGAGGGTCAGATTGATGTCATCCGTCGCCATCTCCTGTCGACGGTTGTAGGCCTCCAGGGCCTTGTTCCACTCGTGTAGTTTCTCATACCAACCCTCTTGGATCTTCTACAAAGTGTCAAGTTGATCACATATTAAACTTATTTCCCCCAATAGTGATGGGCAATCAGTTTAAAAGTAAAATCAGTAATCGGTTTGTAATCAAAAGAAGTAAACCGATCGATTGCATAATCAGTTTATTATGAGAACACATATATTGAGAACACTACTATTACATCAATAGACAGAGTTGTTTTATAATGAATGGATTTCGAGCAACCATGATATATATATATATATATATATGAATTACTATTACTGGGAGGAGTTATTTCCCTTTACTCAATCAGTGCGACCCCAAACACATACCAGGTCAGCCCTGTGGTGCTTCATCGCGTACTCCAACACCCCAGCTGCTGACTCGGGCTGCTGTAGCTTGTTGTTGATGCTGAAGTACAACAAATCAAAATATGAAATAACTATCAATTTAGCAGTTTCTTGTCTCAATTGGCACCTTCTTCTAGGACAAATTATGAATTAAATATGATCACATTTGTATGGAAAATTGATCCAATCTCAACCTTACATTGGCTCCTTGGCCTGTTCTAATTTTTATTACTACAGAGTATAACCATGTTTAATAGCTATATTATAGTATGATCAACATTTAGTGCATACAAATTAATTACATTCGCAAAATTACAACCTGACCCATCACTACCTCAGATGTGACCTTCAATTCCAGTCCTTTTTCAGACCCTGTTCATGTTTCCATTGGTATTTAGAGTTTTGTTTTAGTGAACAGAAATGTATCTGTCCTCTTTAACAGTTTAAAAGTTACGGCCCCGACAAGATATCCTGAAAACTTTTCACTTATTTGAAGTTTGATTTTGAGGTCAGGGTTTCAGTGACCTACCAAACAGTGCAGTACATTGTCTGTGGGTGATGCAGATAAAAAAATTTCAGGATATTTTTAACTAAGCACTTATTTGACCTTATTACTAAGCAAAACTAGACCCAGTGAGGGACCTTTGACATCACCTTGGTGTACACCTTTAAATATTCGAAACAATCAAGACTTTTTTTTACCTTTGACCTTGAGGTAAAGGCTATACAGTGATATAATGCCACTGCATTGCACATCATCTGTAGGTGATGCTGTTATATTGCAGAGATATCTGGTTGAAAAGTTACAGCCTGACAAGATATTCCTGAAAAATTTGCACATATTTGACCTTTGACCATGGGGGTCAAGGTCACAATGACCTAATTGACAGTGCACTGCACATCGTCTATGGGTGATGCTGGTATAGTTCAAGTTTCATCAAGATATCTTTAACGGTTTAAATGTTCCGGCCCGAACATGATCATATTAGAAGAACCAGAACCAGAAGAAATTCAACATGATCAAAAGCCTAGTTATCAACATGAGATAATGGCATTAATCAGCAGACCAATATCATTACAAATACCTGATGAGGGCCTCAAGTGTTTCAGTGTTGGGGCCCCTATGGAATTCCTCCTCCTTGTAGTGTAGGGCCTTGGCATATGCTCGGCACCTCATGGCTCGACCCCCTAACAGGGAGGTATCCAGGGGTAGGGGACCCTGAAACAAGGCAAGCAACAGTCAGAGAGAAAGGTCAAATGAAGGTCAAACAATTTTGAATCCTTGGATATCACAAGCAGTAATGAAGATAGTTCAAAACAAACTACAGGGTGTCAAAAACAGTCATAGGGAAGTTACATGGGATAGCTTGAGGACGTACCTTATCACAGTGTTCCATGAACTCGGCCAGGTTAAGCAGGGTCTGCATGATCTCAGGGATCTCCTGGGAGGTAAGTGCTTGTTCCAGACTCTGTATCAGCTCGTCCTGCTGTGTCTCCGTCAGCTCAGTCCAGCAAGAAACAAACGCTGCATTGAACAGGTCCCTATCAACAGCATAATTATGTAAACAGTGTTATTCAGAATACTGACATACTGTTTATATACCTTCCTGCTTAAACTCACTTCTAGGTCAAAAACAAGCTCCTGCTAACAATAAATTGGTAAAGGCCCAACAAGGCCTGGTTATATAGGTTTGTAATAGGGCCAGAAAAGTCTGAGGGAAAAGGAGGCAGACTCACCAAGCTAGCGTTAAGGTTTGCGCTAGGGCTCAACACAAACTGAGGTCAGGGGAGACTGTCTTGCCAAGCTAGTAGAATGTAAGTTTGTACTAATAACCAACATGATCTGAGGGCAGGGGAGGGTGACTTACTTAGCTAGTTGGTTATAGATCTTTGCTAAGGCCCTGCATGATCTGAGGGCAGGAGAAGGTGACTTACTTAGATAGTTGGATGTAGGTCTGTGCTAAGACCCAACATGACCTGAGGGCTGTGATGGTGACTTACTTAGCTAGTGGGTTGTAGGTCTGCGCTAATGCCCAACACGACCTGAGGGCAGGGGAGGGTGACTCTTTGAGAAGTTCAATACTCAGCCTCCTCAGCCATTCCATCCAATCCTCTTTAGATTCTCGTCGCCCAGCACCAAGTGCCTGAATGCACAAAAATGGTATATTTTCAAAACCACTTATAACAGAAAGCTCTTTAATATTGATCCGAAGTATTTTAATTTTTTGCTCTTTATATCTTTATTGGTCTTTACAACTTTTTACTTCCTTTTGAACATTATTCTGTACTATTGGTCTTCATGATTCAAATTCTATCTGGCATATTTTCTGTGTTCAGACTACTGTAGAAATTAAATTTGTAAGAAGGGCAATTGAGTTAATTCTGCACACTAATGACATTGTATTCTTTGACTTACATGGAATTAAAATGGTTTACATATGACACACAGCATAACTGAGATTACCTTCTGCAGGTTGGGGAAGCTGACATGTAGTTTTTTAATGGTGACAACCTCAATGCTTGCCTCCCCAGTCTCAGAGACTTTCAACTTATTGCGACGAAAACTGGACAGCATTGGATCGTCCTCCTCCTCAGCTATAGTAGAACTCTAGAAACATGGAACATAGCACAGCAAGGTTCAAACCTGGTATTATATTTCCTTCTGTTTTTCCATACAATCCTTCTTCTTTCATTCCCGTGACTTTGCTATGATTAAAGTCTTGCACAAGATTATAACTGACTATAGTTTTCATAGCATGATTTGTAAACATGTCTTAATTTGGAGACATTTTTATCTCTTCCATTCACATGAGTATGATGACTCACTGATTATTAATGTTATTGGAAAATTTGTTCAGCAAAATAAACATTTCCAAAAGAATTTACAGTGAAAATATTTTTGCAGATGTTGAAGTGTTACTTGCACATGTTAAAAGAAAGCATAACTGATGTCATTGCTGAATAATAAGAATTAATTTTCAATGTACAGTTCCCTTAAAATATGAAACGTCCTGCCTTCTCCAATGTATTGAAGGAAAATCACAACTGAGAAAGAATAGATTACAACACAAATTTCGATTCAAATACCTTCATAATCCTACAGGTGAGGATGCTGTATCTCTGATGGAGAATCTTATTCTTTGTCATAACCTTGTACACCATTGGTAGAAAAATGGCAAACTTAGTTCCGAGCTGGACTACCAGGGCACACAGTGTGTCCATGGCTGTGGTCTGGAGCTCCGCACTGGTATCCAAGGTCCGCACCAGGGGATGGATGATCCTTGATGCATAGTCCGTCAGGTCAAGTGTGTACGTCAAACGGTCGATTGTTTCTAAAGCAACTCTGAAACAGACATAATTATTGTACTAGCTATTTTTTAATTGAGGAAACTCTTAAAACAGAAAGAACAAAGTATTAAATACAACACAAATCTACAAATCAAACGGTTGATTGTTTCTATTAAAAAGCAACTCTGAAACAGACATAATCATTAAACCTTGTTTTTACCCAAGTTAGCTGTGACTATTATTAGATACTCATGATGTTGTAATTATTTCTTCTTAGCCATTACTTAACTGTATATCACTCATACTTTGCAAGATATAAGGAGAGTTGTTTGAAGTAAATTCACAAATTACATAGACTTTGCGAAATTGAAGAGACCTAGTTATATTTAGCTTTTAACTCTTTATTTCTTTATTCTGTATATCATTAGTTCTGGTTCAATTATCTTCAGGAAATTCTTGAAACCGTTATTTCTTATAAAGGACCACTTTAATGTAATTTCCTAACATTTTCCCTCTTTTAATGATTCTATTTATTGTTCTTCTACAGGACCCCTGTGCATTTCTCGATTTCTTGTCATGGTTTGATTTAAGTATTTCTTTGCTCATAACCACCATTTAAGTACAATATATCATACTAGAAAATCGGGAGGGAGGAAGTCTCCAAAATCTTGTCTTGCTTACTAGACAACAGGAAAAGGAGCACCCATAAAATCTAGTATACATAAAGTGGAGGACCCAAAACTTTGTCTACTATGCTAGGAAACAGTACCCAAAAAACTATTTTTACATTTCATATTCAATATAGAACTAGTCCTGGGTAAATATTTGGATATCACTGTGGTGAAATGAACAGCCGGACCTACTTTCTGACAGCAAGTGGGATGTCTGTACCGTCCAATAGTCGGACCACCGGGGGTAGGATCAGGTGGAGGTAGTCGTCCAGATTAGCACCGAACAGCTGCAGGGCATTCAGTAACTGTGAAATGTGAATGGTTTATAATATAATTCATAACATAACAAAGATATGTTTCACAAGCTATCAAATGATGTAATAACACAGCTGCAGCAGTAATGAATATTTTTTTTCTTTTATATCATATGTGATTAAGAGATTGGAAGCATTTTCATCAGATGATTCAAGAATTCATAATAATAATGATAATTTGAGGTTCTTCTATACCGTGTTATCACAACCTAGTTCGTAGGTCGTCTCAAAGCGGTTCACAAAATATCATCCGTGGTTATAGGGCCTTTGCAACCAGCCAATATCTTTCTCAACTCCCTGGGGAGCATACAGCCGGTAGCATTCTACAGTTCTAGCACTGCCCAACCACATACTCATTTACAGCTAAGTAGACTGGAACAAGCGGAGTTAAGTACCTTGCTCAAAGATACAACACATTGCCGTGCCGCGACTTGAACCAGCAACCCTTCGGTCATGAGCCCAGCATCCTACCACTAGACTACCGGGCCTCCAATGAATATTCATGACCTCTATGAACTTTCAATGCCCCCCCGGCCTCCTCCCAAAAAAGAAAACAAATTCACACTCCTCCTACATTATCAAATGAGAAGTGGAACATTGTAAGCTTAATGCTTAATTATTAAGAAATAATCCAGAACAATATCTTGTATAAGATTCATCAGTTTTGATATATGTAATATCAAAGTTTTACTTTATACACAAACAAATTACAATGTACGTATTAAACGTGTCACAACCTTAGCTTTGACAGCTTGACAAAGGGACCAGTCAGTCTTGAAACGTTGCGACATGTTCAATATGTACATTGTTTATGTATAAAGTAAAACTTTGATGCTGTATAACACGTAATGTTCGTGAGTATTAACAAGCAGGAGACACGTATATCATTCAAATTTGTTGTATTTTTGTTCGTGGTTCAATAGCAACCACGACAAACCATGAATGTTTATACACAACGAACATTTCATGTTATACAGTATTATGGTCCATGACAATATGGTGCTGTGGTAACCTTGGCAGTGACGGCTCGGTGTTGACTTGTGTCATGCATGAAGACCTTGAGCATCTGAGGTACAATCTGGGGTAGATAGACCTTGAACTCGGTACCCAGGGCTGTGACAATCTGCTCCACCAGCAGGATGATGGTGTTCTGCATCGGGCTGTTAGGTGTCCAGTAGTCCTACAATCAAACATCACTCAGTGTTAGCATAGAACTAGAAAATGTCTGTAGGACATGAATGCCCTTGTCACCATGTGAAATTAGTTTCAGTGTTTGATGTTTGACAGGACAGGACGGGACAGACATGGGCAACATTATATGCCCCCCATTTTATGGCGGGGGCATCAAGAGTATTTCAGTGAGATAATGCTTAGACTACTACAAATATTGTCAAAATCAACCTACTCCTTTTTCACAAGTACTAGTAGGTTACCTGTCTTTTCAACGTGGTAAAATAAAATTGTGTTTTCATAGAAATTGGGAAAATATAGCACGGAATTTCTTTTTGAAGATATGTTATCCAATTTCTATATTGAAATAAGCTGAGTTTAATATACAAAATGATCTCTGTGCTCCAACAAAAACCTGTGATCTCCGACTTTCATAATTCAAAAGCCAAAATCAGCTGTTTGCAATATATCATAGCCATAAATGCAATGGGATTTTGGCAAATTCATATATGCGATCACAATGGGAAAGCAAAAACAGCAATATATAAAGTGTGTGAACCTTGATGAGACTGAAGATGTCGTCCAGGTAGTTCCTTATGTGTTGTTTGACAATGGCTATTATCACTCCTAGCTGTTGGAACAGGAACTGACATGAAACAATTATGAAGAATATATATATATATATGTGTACAATCCGGATGGAAACAAAAAAAAAGCCTGTCATATCATCAAATTCTTATGAACTAGGATTAAGTCTGTAAAACATACATATGCCTCCAATTCCTACTTTGACTGAAAGGTCTGGTTTGATTGTGTTTTACGTCCTATTAATTAACAGCTATGGTCATTTAAGGACGTGCCAGGTTTTGTTGGTGGAGGAAAGCCAGAGTTCCCAGAGAAAAACCACCGACCTACGGTCAGTACCTGGCGACTTCTCACCGTAGGTCTCAAACCCGCGACCCAGTGGTGAAGGGGTAATGGTAGCAGAATGTCAGAAGCCTTAACCACTTGTCTGAAATAGAAAGTCTAACCAAAGGAATGGAGCTAAAAGCAAAGATATGTCAATGTCAGAGATGTTGGAAATATAGGTCAGATTGATCTCTCTATGATCAGATGTTGGTGTAGTTCTCAAGAGTTACATACCAGGTACATGTGAAGTCAGATAACTGTTGGACTTCCAGGTCTAGTATTAATTCATTCACCCCTGAAGACACATTTGAACTCTTCCAATTCAAAGGTTGGAATAGTTCATTATGAAATTTCAGGAGGTGAATGAGAATGTGCTGTAAGGTATACACTTACCTCCCTAAAGTTGGATTCAGCAGTACGTATGACAGTGAGGTATGCCGGGATAACCTGTTGTATGTAGGGCACACATTTGATGCCCAAACTTTTAAAGATAAACGTGATTGCCTGTACGCCCATCGTGTGGTGCTGGGACAGGGTCGGGTCCCGGATTATCCTCATAAGGGTTCCTATGGCAATGGCTGGGTAGAACTCCTCCAAAGTTGTAGAAGAACTCATGTTGGCTAACATCTCACTTGTGTTTTCTACAACAGATAGTGTACTTACTTTCTTAATTTCGTTAAAGAAGTTATATACATATAAAACAATTACAGCATACAAACGCTCAACTAACATTTTACATGGGGAATAACTCTTCTGTATCAATATGCATGCTGTGCTAATTGGAAAATCAAACAGGGGGAAAAGTAGCTGTAAACTGAAACGTTATTCAACAAATTAGACTGGTGATTAGCCCATCAACCTTTTTTTTAAATGCCTATCATATGCAATGTATTATGCTTCATGGAATTTAGAAGAGAGAAAATTCAAATATTTGTAAATTGAGATTTTACAAGAGGAATGGATATATATGTGCTATATTGCTATTTTTTTGTTCTTCCGGATTTTGACATTTGTTCCGATTATGTGTCAATAACCTAGCTAGACCCCTGAGGAAATATGTTGGGCTAAAAAATTAACTATAGCCTTTCACACACCGACATTGGCGATTGTGTTGACTCGTTATTCTGGACCAAAATGTTTGTGTCAACAGCACTTAACGTGACATTTTCTAGGTTCTATCTACAGAGTCAAGCAACTGTGTATAAAATAATGCATACAGTTTGATTGGAGATTCATTTTTTTAAACCCAAAAATAGTTGATTCAATAACATGATGGCACAAACTACAGGTTTTACAGGTGCAAAGCTATGCTAAGCAGAGAATGAATCTCGTTGGTCTTTTGTCAGACGAATACATTAAATACCTGGTTGCCTGATTTCCTGGTAGATTTTTGGGGCCAGTGTATATTACTTCTATGAAGTTGGTTTTTCATTATTTGATTTAAGGGTCAATTATGACACCTTACTGGTAAGTTTTCGGGCCATATATAAATACCTACCTAGTTGCTGGTTTTCCTGGTAGGTTTTTGGTTTATATAAAATACCTACCTGGTTGCTGGTTTTCCTGGTAAGTTTTTGGGTTATATATAAATACCTACCTGGTTGCTGGTTTTCCTGGTTGGTTTTGGGGTCAGACATACTGAGCACAGCCGAGGCCTCGGTCTGTTGGATCAGACCCAGGTTCAATTTGTGTTTGTGGGGGTCCAATGCACCCAATAATCCAAGTACTCTGATCACCTATGTCAATAAAAAAGAGTAATATTCAATATTCTATTATATATTTCCAACCTCCTTCTGCATATCAGTCTGTTTATGTCAAATTGTTTTAACAGAACATCTTGACTTCTCTCACGAACGTTTACTTTGAATACATCACAGTTTGTTGCCAACCATTGTTCTATCAAATCTTCCTTAACAGACTATAGCTGATGAATGTTCATGTAATTCAAGGCCAGACAGTAAGAGAAGCCCGATATTCTGAGACTGGTAAATTCTCCAGCTGGACTAGTGGTTCAAATAACTGCTAGCCCTTCTGATAAGTCAAAATGTGGTATCACTTATATGTTGCATAACATTGGGGTAATTTTAATAGTAGAATATGCAGACGGACTAGAAAAATTGGAAACTACTAGCCCACTGACAAGTGGTTTTTACAATTAACTTCTAATCCTGTATATGCTAAGTCAAATCTACCTATTTTCCATCAATCGACTGATCAAGCCTAATTCAGTGTATCTTTGATCATTGTTTTGTTAGATATACCTCAACATCTTAATAAATGTAGATCTGAAGCAAATATTCGGTCTGATTTATACATCACTCCTCAGCGTATTGCTATCATATATTTTAACAGATTCAGCTTACCTCTCTGCGTATTCCTGGTGACTGTTCTGTCTTGAGGAAGTTCAGGAGAATCTCCAGAAGAGTGGGATATTTCTTGTACAGCTCAATAACATAGCCAGTACTCTCAACCAGCTGTCCCAGTGTCCACAGGGCAGTCTAATAAAACCAAAATTCTTTACAATGCTTATTGCATGTTTAATGATAATCTAATCAGGGTTCTCCCCAGGTCATTTAGCTGATACGGCTCCGTATCAGCTTCAGTTTGAAATCCTCCCTGCCGTATCAGCTTAATTGACCCGTATCACCTTAAACTGTGAACCGTATCACCTTGTTATTTGTTCTGAAGGTGGTCTTTTTACACAAAAAATTGACACTGATTAAATCACACGGCTGACCCAAGTCCAGCAATGACCCCACTGGTCAGTTGCACGATAGGCGTATTGCCACAGGGGGCCTGTAATTAGTGGGGAGGGGGACCGGACGACAAGCCCACAGGTGTCCGGCAATAAGCGTGCTCACTGGAGCATAAAGCAATTACCACCGGATCCTTTTAGCATGGTCAATAGGTGATTAATTGAGGTACCTACTGTTGGATTAACAAAACAAACACTTATTACATCTATTATAAATTAATTTACTCACATATGATTGTATTTGACAACGCTGAAATAGCTTGTGTATTCAGTTAGTGATGGTCGCCATCTTGGATTGTGTAAAGTACTAACCGGAAAGGGGAATGAAAATCTGGATTTGTCGTTTTTAATGAAGAAGAGCTCAAATAAAAATGCTGTTTTAATCTTTGATCACATTTACTGACAGCAGTATTAAATACAGTTTTGGAGGAAATAAAAACACTGTACATTTTATTAAAACATTTTCTCTTACAATAATAAGAACTATGATATAAACTGTTTCATGTAGGTGTTTCCCCCTATAGCACAAACACAGACATAAGAAACACTTATTTATTTCCTTGGTTTTAATGATCATCAAAAGAAGTTTGGTAATTAAAAGTAACTTTTTAAACATAATATTAACACCCCCCCCTTAGGTTTGATAAGGTATTATAAGGTATTATATTAGCGTGTCCGTCTTGAATAATCGTTGCAAATGAAACATATCAGCTTAAAAAAATTCTGGGGAGAACCCTGCTAATGATTCCTGTAATGACACTTGACACTACATTTCATATAACATTGCATTTGGTTTTAAATTCATTGCTGAAATATATTATTTTAGGTTGCTTTGAATTCCATGATTGATGACTAAATGTTCACAATGTGACTAAACGATAATTTATCTATTAGTCATCTTGGTAGAATGTACATTAAGGAATAATTTTGTAAGCAACGAAATTCATACTGACATGACAATCAATTTTTTTTAATCCATTCTTAACATTCATTTTCTTAAAATTAAATTCACAAGAAGGTATCCAATCTAAGCTGAAAATAAAATTATGCATCACATCCTACAAAATCGCTTTAAACACAGACTTACCTCCCTTTTCTGTAGTGAGGAAGAGTCTTGTAGCATATCAATGATAATAGGTAGAAGTTCGTCCATGCGTTTTCTCATCTCTGTTCCAGTCACCTAACGTTCAAAGAACATAACCAGTTATTGTTCTAATAGAAATAATGTTATAATAATAAACTTTCATTTATTTTACTACAAATATGAAACAAGTTATTTCAACTGATATCATTAATTCTTGTTAGCCCAGGTGTCTTGGTAGGGTCTTAATGTGGGAGGAAAGTGGAGAACCCATAGAAAACCAACCCGGTCGGGCAGGTGACCCCTTACCCTTTCACATCTGATCAGGGAATCAAACACCGTGAAAGGCAAGTGCATTATCCATTGCGCCATCCGACCGCCAAAATTATATTGTTTAATTTATTCTCACATCTCATTACTATTTTCATAGATACAATGAAAATTCTTGGGTTAAATTTTAGTTATTTGCAATGATTAAACAAACATATCTTTTGCCTGATGACAGCTTACACTGATACCTTACCTGAGCTAGTTCCCCAACAGCAGCCAGCACACTGATAGTAACACTGGGGTTATGGTCCGAATCCTTCAACTTTGGGATCAACACCTAGTGAAACAAGGACAGACTATAATCTTATTTCAAAATCCATTTTTAGTAATTGAATTCTTATTGTGACACAAGAAGCTTTTATTTGTTAATGATTAATGTTTATAAAAATAACATCTCTATTTATCAAGAAATACATATAAACTTGTCATTAACTGCAAAGGGACTTGTACAAACTGTCTGGACTTACCTGTTACATTTCAATCAAGATTTATGATGGATGCAATCATTAATGAGCAGTGTAATCTGCCAGAAATTTGTGAGTAATTTGCCAGGTTTTTTGTTTCATTTTTTACAGCTACAAGCTATTTTCCCGATAAAAACTTCTGCAGCCCTTTGATCTATTAATACAAAATTTTGCAATTTGATATGTAGGAACCTAAATCAGTGAAGTATATAGTACCACACTGCTGTACTAGTGTTGTGGTATGAAATAAACATTATATCAGAAACCATTAATATATCAAATAGTGGATGTTTCAGGTTATACAGTATACTCAAATTTGAGATCTTCAATTTTAAATAATTATATCGTTAAATGAAAGCATATTTTCATATATGGAAATAAGAATAAGGTTCTTAATATTCCATCCTGGTTTTTTTGTTGTAAGTAGGACATGTTGAATATTTGCACACCTATGAAGAAAATTTAATGCACCTTCAATATTGGTTCCATATATGGTCTTATGAGTCGTGCTGCATTAGCGACGAGATGGCCTAACATACGGGCTGCCTGTTCTTTGTTACGGCCAACTCCACTGTGTTCCAATTCTGTCAGTATCTGTAATAAGTTCGGAATTTATCAAAGTATGGAGAGAAAATTCTTCAAACATAATCTAAATTTTTAGAGCAAGTTAAAACATATTATTATCACAGTAGATTTCAGTCGGAATCCTGGAGAAAATGACACAATCACGAAAATATGTCATCAGGTTTTTAATTCTGCATGTGTTCTCCTTACATTTCTATACATTTATATATGCGTCTTTTTATTGCTGTTTGATGCCATATTAGAAACATTTAACATGTTTGAATCTATAAAATGCACATATCAGTACTTTTTTTCTCGGCTAATTCAAAGACAGACTTTTATATATACTACTGTATTCCTCATTTCACATGCCACCTCTCCACCAATATATCTCAAACTATTGAAAGCTATTTTTTAATGATTTTATGAAAACTGCACTTATTTACCTGTATTAGAGTCTTACGCAGTGATGGCATCACATAAGCCGGGTTCTTACTGCTCAGTCTGCCGATCATACAAATGGCCAGCTCTCGAATGTCATACACCTCATCGTTAAGGGCGACAAATAGGGCACTGAGATTCTCAGCTTGGGCCAGGTGGGGATCAAATCTCTCGTCCAGAGACATCAGCACACAGAAACGAATATCAGAATCTGTAAACACACAGACCATACAACATCAGAAGTTATCTGTTAGGTCATCAGAATTTTTAAATGAGGCAATTATCTCCTCATATGACAATTAAAATTATCTGTAAGACTAAAGTTGCATTTGTTTATTGCTATCTAAACAGTTGAACCAGAGATGTGCATACATGAAATAGGATCGGACATAGTAATATGATGCTGCTTTCAGGCGAGCCTTGACAAAGCCTTACAAGGCCTGCATATAGACATTTCAAGTCCGCCAGGATTTATACCCAAAAATGTTACATTTCAATGCAGACAAAGCGTTTAAACCTTAAACGCAAAAGAGGCCTCAGTATCACCATGTATTTGACTGATTGTGTTCCTTACCAGTGTCAGTGATGCCAACCACGAGGAGCTTATGTAGGACCTCGGCCACAGTGTTCATGGCAGCCATGCTGATCTGTCCTTGGTTTGAGGCCAGGAGCTATAAAACAATCATATACAAACACATTACAGAACATTGCACTTATTTTAAATGCCTGGTTATGACATTTTCATTCGATCTTTGCACTTTCAAGTGTATACAAGTAAAAGCTAAATAGTTTGAAGCACTTGGATTTTCTTCCTCAACAACTTAACAATTTACATGGTAAAGAATACAAACTTTTGCTTGGAGTGATACATTAGTAGTGTATAAAAAGTTTAAAAAAATATATATATTTAGGTGTTTAGAGTTATAATTTATCCATGGATAGGACAGACAAATGGCTAATGGCTAGACACACATATAAACAAAATATAAAATCCAGCCCAGTTTCAATGGTAGGGCCAATAACGGCAAGTGTACTCCAGATAAAAACAAAATAATGAATAAGCTGTATAAACTGTGTACATACAACCAGCAGTGGAGACAGCAGCCTGGCACACGTACGGACAGCTTCCATCCGAATGTCTTTGAACTCACTGGAAAGGTAATGCTCTGCACAATGCTTCACAAACTGGGTCAGAGAATGACCTAAAAATAGCAAAAAAGTATGGTTATAAAGACAGGAACACAAAACTTGTTTTTTTTTATTAGTTGGTGCATAGATAGCTATCAATAGCACTTTTTGTAAGTTACAATTTGTAGAACTATTAAATTGTCATAATATTTTATTTTTCTAAATCATAATTACAGGTAGAAATTGTATGAAAGAAACTGAAGGTTTTTCTCACCTTCAAAATCAAAGCTTCCTAGAGTCTTGAGAGCCAATGTAATGCTTGTGACATCCTGTGTTTCCGCAAGGTTTCCCACAGACCCTGAAGTACAAGGAAAGAGCTAATGAAATAGGAGAACGTTCTTGTAGCACCACAGTCAATGAATACAAGTACATATACTGCTATTTCAAAACTGTTCACCAAATCAGGTAAAAATCTATTACTATATAAGACGGCTAAATAGGCTGGACATTGTGTTTTGACATACCTCGAGATCCTTCACACTTCATATAGACTATTAATTAGACTCTTTCACGAGAACTTCCTATAGACTACCTTGGTATTAATTAGACTCTTCCACAAAAAGATAATGTTCTTTTATGAAAAAATTTAAACATAATTTTCATTTTGAAGTAATTGTTTGTTGCTACTTCATACTGATTATTAATTTTCTTTCTTTCATTGACTTTGTTCTTTTTCAAGATGATTTCACACAAAGTTAAAAAAAGTACATGAATTAAACATAGCATAATTAAAAGATATTGGTAAATGAACTTTTGTCATTCTCAAAAATGGTATTTTGGATCTATATAGTTCCAAGAAATTCTTGACCTAAAATTCTGTTGGAGAATTTTATCACTATTTCACCTGACACTGGTATCGGCATTGTTGGGGAGTTTGGGGCTCCTGGATGCTTCAGGGGGCGTCCAATCAGAATCAACGATAAGCTTTTCAGTAGCCCATCCTGTATTTCCTTTTTGAGCTGGGGGATTTGAGTGGCAAGATCCTTCAGTGCAGCAGTGAGAGCAGGGCTGAAACAGATATAGGGCGAATGATGTCTCTTGAACAATGACATTTAACATTTTATTCTTGTCATTAGAATTTATACTGTGAAGAATTATCTTTATCATTTTTCCATCACTCTAACGTAAACAAGGTATCACAAGTGATACAAATCCCCTCACATTCACACATTGTGTGACTGATGTACGAGAAAAACACTTGTATGAAGTTTCTTGAAATTCCATTCAGAAATGCGATCGCTAGAGCGATGACAAAGTTTTTCTAAAAATAGTACAAGTGACCTTAATCTTCAACGTAGAAACCTGAAACCCAAAGTGGTTCAAGGTATTGCCATACCAAACACTTGTATGAAGTGTCATGAAAATCCGTTGAAAAATGAAGTCACTAGAGCGATAAAGAGTGTAGCAAGTGTACATACATATGAACAGGCGGAATACTATATCCCCTCGATCTTTCGTTGTGAGAGGATATTGAGAGGTGTACAATTTCTTATTAGAGTACTGGTCCAGATTGATTTTTAAATGTCCAACTTTTATTTTCATTTATAAGTAAACATTGTAATTTCCCTTGCCGCGACAAGACACCTACCCACCCTGGGTGCTGGGCTAGTGGAATTTTACACCCTTCAAAACACAATAAACAAATATCGTGAACAGCAACATGTTTATTGTATTTGGTTTTCAAATATGCAAAGAATTGAAAAAGTATCTCACCTCAGCCCTGTAGCTAGCATGGAATCCAGCATGTCTCGAACATCCTTGGTCATCCTCGGTCCCACAGCTCGGGCTAGCATACTGATACAAGTAAATACCGCTGGGTCCACCACAAAACTCTTGTGCTTCCTATAAACCATTAACCACAGAATTTGTATCAATTGTTTTTAATAGGATTGTCTCAGTCATGATAGAGTATTATGTTAAGGTTGCTTGTTAGAGAAAAATGCAAAAAGTCTGAAAGGATTATTATTTTTAAATAAAGAGAATTTATAGTATGATTTACCCATTTTATCATAATTCTGTATAAAATACTTTCTGTGAATAAGGCATGAAGCAAGTGAGACTTTTATTACTTCCAAGACAGTTAATGTTAAGCTACCTACTTTGCAGGCAGATCTTTGGAGGGAAGGGAGTTTTTGAGAACATCCATGATCTTGGCGAGATGTTTCGATACATCTTCCTCCACAGAAATAGATAGAAGGCCTAAAGCCTGGAAGGCTGCTGTCCTCTCCTTAGAATTCCTCAGTGTCACCAGCAGAAAGTTGATTGTCTCATCAAGATACCTGCATATAAAAGTGTTATACATTTATTTTTTACATACATTTTCATCTAATATACAAAATAGACAGAGCCTACTTCAGACACTTCAATATCTAATTAACAGATCTTGAACCATAAAAAGCTCCTTGTGGTCTTACAATTGGAATAATAACTATTAATTAGGTCATTATCTAATTTTGACAAAAAAATGTCAATTTATTATCATAACTCTAGGATGAAACCTCATAATAAACCAGGATCATTTGGCTTTTTTTTTAACGTTGATGTCAAAATGGAACTAAGTCTGTAACATACTGGTACATGTAAATATACATTTATTCCATAAAACTCAAGTTAAGTGTGATTGACTTGCGTCCATACCTACATGAACATCAAATAAATTTTGTTCAATATGTATATTTACATTCTAAATTTTAAGTTCTTAGTGATCTAAATATATTCCCTAATATCTTTCATGATCATACAGATGTGTTACAATTATTGTACATTATGCAACACCCTTCTTTTACTGAACATTTGAGTCCCCTTGGCCCAAGGATGCTCCAGACCAGTTTAGATTAAAATCACCTTACCATTAATACTGAAGGAGTAGGATTTTTAAAATTTACCTAAATTGACCCTTTTGGACCCTCTATCCCTAGAGGGACCACACCATCATTTATACAAAATTGATTCCCCTTAGCCTAGCAAGGCTCCACACCAAATTTAATCAAAATCCATTCCGTCATTTTTCGGACTATTAAGCTTTTTAGTGAAAAGAATTGAATAAGACAGAGAACAGACGACACGCCATGGCATAAGCTCATTAGCCCAAAACATCACACATTTTAATATACTAAGCAATCCATTAAAACTTATCAAAATTGATAAACTTGAAACATGAGGTAATGATAAAGAATACAATAATAATAATATACAACATTTTATAAAGCTCTCTATCTAACTAGAATAAGCCACTCTAAAGCACTCTACAGTACATAGATATACAATTTATACAATCAATACAATTAGCATATTAAAAATATTAATCAATACAATATTGAGTATTTCGCAGTCAGGCGCTAACTACTAGTCCTAAGCCACCTGGCTAATATCTCCCTATGTGTGTGCTGGAGATGTAATGTGTTCTGTTTGTACTTGGACCGTGCTTCAAACGGCATCACTTATAGTCCCACCTCACTTGAACGCTACACCACAGATACCGCAACATCAACCCCAGACCATTTTATACTCCAACTGGGTTGTTGGGAGTTGTGTGGGCAGGAGAAAAACACTTTCTCTGAATATTCCATACGACTTCGGAGATAGTATTGAAGAATTCAACTCACAGTTTTGAGAAGGTTACATGGTTGAAGGCTGCCAGTCTAGGAAACACTATGAGTAGGGTCTGCTGGACATAAGTAGAGCGACTTCCTTTGTTCCTCAGAATTAACGCACACACCTGCGGGAAGACCATAATAGCAGAAATTTGCATTTGTTGTGAAAACTGACATTGAACAATTAAAACAGAAAATCAGTAGCTTTGACTTCTGAACTTCTTTATTTATGTTGAGTATTTATTAGATTTCTAATACATTGTCAAAAGAAAAATAAATTGAATATGAGGTATTAAATATGAGTCAAAATTGAAATACATTAAGTCCAAATTTATAAAAAAAAAACTGTGGCTACTTTTTATTCTGATTATGTTATACCTTATCAAAATTTGCAGTCATTAAGTCTTTACACAAATGACTTTCAAAAAATGGTATTTTCTGTGGAATTTGGCGAGATCCCATGCCAAAGTTAGTCAGGGGAGACGACTTCTGCTGCAGCTGTTGTAGAGCAATCACGTTCCCTTGTGACTTGTGCTTGGAGGTTTCCTGGAGATAAAATATGTATTTAAAATGCTATCACCGATATCTACAAATTATAGCACACATCATTGTGAGAAAAGTCAAGTAAATATGGGTGTTTGGTTGCTGTATCATAGCAATCTTAAACAAGAGGTCAAAAGGACCTGAATAGCTGATCACTTGGATAAGCAATCATACGTTAAAATTTTCACGTCAAAAGTAATATTGCAAATGTTTCCTCAATTTGAACTAAGCATCCTTTGGGACAACATCCTTACATTCCATTACATTTTTATTTCCTGTGCTGATAATGCATATGCTTCATAGCAAATTTTGTTGAAATGTGATCATCTATTCAGGAGGATTAGGCGTATAAATACTTCAATGCCCAAATTGGCCTAGTTTTGGCCCACTACTCTCTTCCTTTACACAACCATTGATGTCCTAGCCCCAAGACCATGAAATGATCTTAAGCCTAAACTTATCTGAACTTTTGACTTAGCCAATCACAAATAACGTCATTAAAAGTGATGTCATATGTGATTGGCTAAGCAAAAACTAAAGTCTAAGATAGTTTTATGATCCCGGGGCCAGGTCTCAAGGATGCTGTAAGGCAAAATTAGCTGAGATCCATATACATTGTGTTTGTGGTTATAGGGTGGGAATCTCAATCATTTCCAAATTTGAAACATTTGACTATGTCCTCAGAGGTAGAGCTAGTTATCAGGACTTATCCTGTGTTTACCGCTTCCTGTTCAGCAAGCACATATTGTGACTGGGTAGGGATCTTGACTTTTTCAAAATTAGGAGTGAGAGACTATCTCTCATTTGTTTTCTGACACTGACATTTGTGACAATATACAAAGGGGTGGGATGGTATGTATCTTAATTAACCTTACCTTAACAGTCTTTTCATGCAAATATTGCTGTACAGTAATTTCCTCCATTTCTATTCTCAATCTCTGAAAAACAAGAAGGAACCATTTCTTTGCTATGCGTTGAAAACGATTTATGTAGTAATATTGAAAATGCTTTGAACTTTCATCTGTTATGAATGTTTTTATATAAAATTTCCAAATGATTTTCCATAGTTTGATATTACCTGTTTAGTCGATGATTGTAGTCACATTATTCACAAGTAAAGATAAGGTTGTTTTTTTTCTTTCAAAAAGAGCATTTAAAACTAACAAGAGGCCCAATGGGCCTGATCCGTTCACCTGGTATTAATCTCACACTTGTAATCTTAAAAGTGGACTAAAATATAGCTACAGGAAGAATATCAGTGTTTGATTCATAAGAACCTATTAAAAGATTTAAACATATGATGCATGTGACCTTGAATGTCGAACAATGGCATTAGGTTGAACAGAGTTTATAATCTTCCAGCCCAGCATGCTTCTGGCAAAATATCATTACCCTGGACCTTTTGGTTATACAGAACAAATCATTTAAAGATTTAAACATATATTGACCACAGTGACCTTGAAAATGTGCGAAGGTCATTCATTTGAACAAACTTAGAAGTCCTTTCTCCCAGCATGTTAATGGCTAAATATCATCACCCTTTGCCTTTTGCTTATTGAGAAGAAGTTGTTAAAAGGTTATAAACATATTTGACCCATGTGACCTTGAATATATGTCAAGGTCATTCATTTGAACAAACTTGGTAGTCCTTCATCCCCCATGCTACTGGCCAAATATCATTATCCTTGGTTATACAAAAGAAGTCGTTTAAAGGTATTGAAGACAATTGTCCCCTGTGACCTTGAATATGGGTAAAGTTCATTCATTTGAACAAACTTGGTAGCCCTTCATCCACGCATCCTACTGGCCAAATATCATCACCCTGGAGCCTTTAGTAATTCATCAGAATTCGTTTAAAGGTTTTTAAGACAATTGACCCCTGTGACCTTGAATATGGGCGAAGGTCATTCATTTGAACAAAATTGTAGGCCCTTCATGCCAACATCTTTCTGGCCATATATTATCACCCTGGACATTTTGGTTATACAGAAGAAGTCGTTAAAAGTTTTTTCAGACAATTGACCCCTGTGACCTTGAATATGGACGAAGGTCATTCATTTGAACAAACTTGGTAGTCCTTCATCCCAGCATGCTACTGGCCAAATATCATCAGCCTGGGACTACATTCGCGTTACCGGTTGAAACGGTACGTGTGGCGCAGAAATTTTCCACGATAAACGAACACACTTGGACCGTTCTATAAGCAGAGCTAAAAATGCACAGTTTCGGAGAATAAAAAACAATGTATCAAGAATATTATGCCCTTCTCTCACGCGTCCACTAAATTACATAACGCATCTTAAAAACTACATGTGCCTTGACATTGTTTTAGAAAGAAATAACGCAAACTAGCAATATTCAGCAGTTTAGTTTCGGCCAGGTACGTCTGGACCCCTCAATCTACACGTACCAAATTTTCCTGAGGTCAGCCTCGGTCCAAATCTGTACCTGTCGTTTTCTTTACAGGTTCAACCGTTTCAACCGTTTCAACCGGATACGCGAATGTACCCTGGGTCTCTTGGTTATTCATAAGAAGTTGTTTCAAGTAAAAAGTTGACGACGGACGGATGACGGATAGACGAAGGACGCTGCACCATGGCATAAGCTCACTTGGCGCTTCGGGCCAGGTGAGCTAAAAATCAAGTGCTTGGAGTCAGTCATACAAAATAATGACTCAAATAGTTTCTCAAAAACCTTCACATGAACTTTGAACTGAAGATATTTTCTTTCAACAAAAATATTCAGTATTTTCAAATTATTTGTCTCATAGTTTTAATTTTGAAGCATGTAGTTTTTATCAAGATAACTTTACAGATTTATAAAAAATGTTTAATACACGCATCATAACATGTGAACAAAACAATAATGAGAATGACTTGTAAACATTTTTTCATCGTTTTAGCTCCTCACAACAGCCAGGGTGATAAGAAGATGGAACCGTAAACATACCTCTTGCTTTACATTTTAGTATTTCTCACCTTGCTATTGAGTTACATAAACTTAACCCCCCCCCCCCCATTCTACGTTACTACATCGTAGTAATTCATTGATGACTTACCTCCCCTTCTACGTTACTACATCGGAGTAATTCATTGATGATGAGGAGGGATCCGTGTGCCCAATCATCTCTGGACAGTTTTTTCTCACGACTCTGCATTTCATCAAACTGTTTTTCAGCTTCCTCATAACATTGCTGTCGAAAATGAAATAAACATGTTTTCAAAATACTATGCCTTGATCAAAATCTTTGTGTTATATTCAAAATAATCAAAATTCATTAAAAGTGAAATGTTCTTCAGGTAAATAAAGTGATTATAGTGTAATGTTATACATGTATAGCTTAAATTGGAATCAATCAAATCTATAATAACACTCTAGCATCTGTGTGAGCTACCCAACATAGTCACTCTGGCCAGGACACCCAAGCTACCTGTACCGCTGTGACTTCTACATGAAAACTACTGGTACCTACCCTGTACCACTGTGACCTCTGTGTGGCCTTGGACTCTCTCTGTGATGTCACAGCCAGGGCAGCTCTCAGGGCTGCTGCAGCTCCCTCTCGTATGATGGGCTAAATAATAATGCAGTCAGCAGTTAAAAATTATGTTCAAAAAGATTTTTTTCAAACGACCTAATTGTACTTTAGTATGCTTTTCATTATTTTGCTGCATTAAGCTAAATACAAGAAATTTAATTTCTAAAGAGAAAACTGAAACAGAATATAAGGACCGAAAGACTATATATTGTCATAGGTGGCGTAAGTATCGTAAGTGCAGTTCCATGTTAAGCAAATTCCGTAGTATGCGCAATCCCCTAGACACTTGCGTTACCAATCGCATGTGTCAAAAACTGGATTAATCAATATAAATCAATAAACTATATGTATAGCTGCTTAAGATGTCATATTCAAGAAACAAGATCATATCCGTATTAACTTTTGCAAAGCTCTTTAGTGGATATCCCAATTAAAACAGTTTTATTGATAATCGTTGACATATATGTGCAATGGATATTCAATTCTGCACTTAATTAATCAACAATTAACATTGAAAAACTTTTATCCTATGCAAATAATAGTAACTATAATTACTATTGAATTATCAGATAATGACAGACATAGATTATGAGAATAAGCAAGAGTCTGCAACAATCAAAAGTCTGTAAATCTTTAAGTGAGCAAACATGAAAACTAACACTTTACTATTGATTTTGACAGAATGCACACAAGAACTATATCTAACACCAAAACATCAAATAATTTTGATTTATAAATTTCACTCCCGGCATTTGCAAAGTAGCCTGGGAATATTGAGGATAATAAAGGGCTGAGAAAGGGCATCTCCTACCTTTGGGTCCCTGATGGCTGTGAAGATTGAGTCGAAGAATTGCTGAACTTGTTGAAAGAAGAATGTGGGTGTACCTACGGCCAATTCTTTGAGGACAAGAACCTGTTAAACAAGGAGAGAAAAACAGAGACAAGTTAAGGGAATTTCAGACTTAAAAGAAAACTTTTACACAGGTATTTTTTTTTAAATAAAGTATCTTTTAAAGTTATTGTAGCGTTGATCTCAATCGAATGAAAAAAATACAAATTAACTCAGTCATGAAATGTCAGTACAAGTGACTGTTACAAGAATAAACATTTTCATTGATGATGCTGGAAACATATTATTTGGTGTATGGTAAAATTGTTATGACAATATCTGTGCCCGTATTCAAGAAGCTGTTCTCATGCTCAAGCATGGATTTTGTGCTCAAGCCTAATTTCTTCTTCTTCTTTTGGTTATAACTGAATAAAAAAAAAAAAATGTCTATGAATCCGGAAAACATTTGAAGAGACAAGAGTCGAATTCTATTTTCAATGTTTACATTTAATTAAATGATAATGATGATTTAAGCGATTAACAAGAATACTGGTTTGAGTACAGAATCCATGCTTGAGCATGAGAACGGTTTCATGAATACGGCCCCAGGTCTCAGACAGTTATTTATCAGAAAACTTACAGCAGCATGCCTCCTGTTCTCCTGTCTATCGCCGTTTAGCCACTCGAGAGCACGCTTCACTTCAAAATCAACATAGTCTGCGGCAGATGTCCCAGACGATTGAGCCAGTATCCCTACTGCCTTAGCAGCCATTTCCATAGCACTCACATCACTTGAAGGTAACAAATTTCTCAGGTAGTTGGCAAAGCGACTAATTCTCGTAGACATGTTGCCCACATCCACAGCGATCAGACTCACTGTGACAAAGGAAACAAAATTAGAACCAAGAAATAAATAACCTATATCAAAGTTTTAATAATATATTGAATAAATTATCTGAAATAGTGGCTAATATTATTTCTTTGAATATTTTCTTTGACATGTTGCCCATATCCACAGCGATCAGGCTCATTGTGACAAAGGAAACAAAATTTGAACCCAGAAATAAATAACCTATATCAAAATTTTAATATTTTTTTTAATAATTATCTTAAAAATACAGATGTAAAGGTAAGTGTACAAAAAAAATACTGTTTTAATATAGATAAAGTACTTTTAAAATATATTTATGCTGATGAAATAATTATTACCGATTGCTAAGATGCCACCCTTCCTCTCATTGAGGTCAGAGCTGGAAACCATTTCAAATATATGATGATTAAATTCATCCATAAATGAAGTGTGTTCCTCTAATTGCATCTCCCTCAACTCTGTGCTAACAAAATGGTGGAGGTCATTTGCAGCCTTCACCCGCACATCCTCCGACCGACTCTTCAGCCCCGCAATGAACTGGTTCATCACAGCTGTGTTCGCCATTATGATGTTGTTCTGAATGGGATCAGCTTATCAAAATGTGCTCAGCTCATCTTCTTTGTCTGAAACAAAAGAATAGTTGCTCGAATATGATCGCAGCTATAGATACTAGTAAGGACAAACCAATGTTTACGTCCCAAGAAAATTCACAGAGCTTGAGGGCTTGTTAATGTTTCTTGCAAAAATGATTTGGCTCGTAGCCAAAAACCACTATAGTTGTACAGTAAACCAGTTCCTTAATTGACCACTGGAATTAATACTTCTTATTTTCATCTGAGATCAATGGTAGCTTATAAAATTATATCCATTTAATTGTCCTGAATATGTTACTGTTGTATATCTCGAGATGAAATGCCTATGAGGTCAGCAACACCAAACAAGGAAAAGAAATTCTTGACATTTACTGATTACTATATCTATCATGTGAGATATACATATCTCAGGTAAATTATTCTCATCTGTACTGTATACATTTGATATTATTATTAGTCTGTTTAGTGCGGATCCAGATTATCGGTTTATTTCATATGGTAAATGACGCTTTCCATTGAAATACCAACTTTTATTTTTTTAATTTTTATAACAAATATGGTAACACTAGTATTATATTTTCATCAATAAAATGTTCACCACATTTGTCCGTAATACTTTAAATATCAAAGAAGCTCTTTGAAGAATGGGCATGTAATTGTGGAGACATGCCAGTTTTAGGCTTCCATTTTATGATTTTTAAACTGAAAAGAGTTTGATGTCAGGAGCCAATATAACTAAGGAAAACACATATCCTCATGTTGATATTAAATGAAAAATTCATGTTGTTATCGATGATGTTCAGGTGCAAATACTGAATTGTGTAGTGATCGATGTCACAATCGTCTTGTTTTGGTTTAGGATGATCAGCCGACTGAGGTCAACTTGGTGTATGCCCAAGAAATTTGAGTTTGCACACATGCGGAAACCAGAAAAGACATTTCATCATAATGATGGTACCAACCACATAGTTCATCATCACAAAAATAGCCCGGAGCATGCAATAAACACTCGTTCTTGCATAGTAAACAGTTTCGGGTGTTCTCTCGTGTTTCTTCCGGAAGTGGGATACTTCAAATCTCACGAGATTTCATAACATGTTCTAAATGCAAAATGCATCTTATCTAAATTATTTGCATTCCATACAATTTTCCTGTACCAAGATTAATTGCTTATAACAACATTTATTTATCTGAAAAATGTGATGACACCATGGTTTAAAATATATGGTAGATGAAGTGAAAATTATTCCAGCATCTTGATTATCACGTGACCAACACTAGAGATTTCGTAACGCAATTCCATAACTTCCTGTTAGGAGCATGTAGGCTCACCGGTGAATCGTAGAGAAACAACAGATGAGAATGGCGTTTGTGCCGAATGGCGTTGAGAAAGCTAATCAGCGGAATACATCAGAGGCACATTTCCTAAGCAAAAAAGCCGTGTGGAGACAGTTTCAGCAATATGTTGTTGCATTGAGGCCTTGGTCGTTTACAGCTTCATTTACGCCGGTAGCTCTCGGTAGCACATTGGCCTACAAAACATCAGAGGAGTTTAGCCTATCAGTATTCGTCATCACCTGCTTGACAGCTCTGTCTGTCCATGCAGCTGGCAACCTTGTGAACACATATTTTGATTTCGTCAGAGGAATCGACAAGAAAGTCGACAGTGATGACAGAACTTTGGTCGACATGATCCTCACACCAGATGATGTAGCAACGTTAGGTGGAGTGTTCTATATATTTGGATGTTTGGGGTTCTTTATACTTACTCTCATATCCCCTGCAAGGATGGAACACTTGGCTTTGATATACTTTGGAGGACTTTCTAGTAGTTTCCTGTATACTGGAGGCTTAGGGTTAAAATATATAGCACTTGGTGACATCTTAATCATGTTTACATTTGGGCCGCTGACAGTGATATTTTCCTATTTATCACAGACTGGAAACCTTTCCCTAGTTCCTATGCTCTATGCATTTCCACTCGCTCTGAACACAGAAGCCATACTGCACTGTAACAACACACGAGATATGGTATCAGATAAGAAAGCGGGCATCGTAACGCTTGCCATTTTATTAGGAAAGACAGGGTCATATCTTCTGTATGTTGTGTTGCTGTTTGCACCATATACCATTTTCTGCCTGATGGGGATTCATTGTTCAAAATGGATGTTTCTTCCAGTACTGACAATTTTTATGGCTTTTAAAGAAGATAGAAAGTTTCGCCAAGGAATCTACAATCCAAAGAAAACTGCAAAACTGAACCTGTTCCTAGCCTTATTATACATATTAGGATGTATTTTGTCAGACAGACTTGCATTTAGAACTTTACTATGATGAAAGTGTAGATTTCTCTACTCAGCCAAACACTAGGTATAAAAAGTGAAACAAGTGAACCCATCCATAATTTCTGCTCTGTGTGACATAATCTGCCACAGGAATACATGTAAATGTACATGCGACACATATCTGCAAAGCAGAACATTTAATCCAGGACAAGTATTTTTGCTTCTGGTGTACTTATTTATTCAAATAAATTAGATCTTTCCAGCTATTTCATTAGAATTTGTAAAATGTTCTTTAAAAGAATGTGCAGAAGTCATGGAGAGGACAATTATTTTATCATACTGTTTGCAAATCCCAATTAAATTATTAAGAATGTATTAAAATTGGGGCGGTATTATAACACATTTTTGTTTCCAGTAACTTTAATATGTAACTTGATAAAAAGCCAACAGTCAAATAGTTTCAAAGAGCACTGTATTATAATAAGTCTACTTACTTTGACAGAGCATTTTCATAAACAAAGACTTGATGGGTAGACACTAGCTATGGGCAGTCAGTTTAAAATCATAAGGCCAAAAAAATTTACTTTTGTTTCCGCTATCTTTCTCAGAAGAAATAGGGTAGGTAAGGTAGGTAGGCATTTTTTGTTTAATTTGGAAAATATTTTTAGTATGCTAACATAGAGCAAGAGATCTGACTTGAACAGTGAATATCACTAAATTCCAATAAAAACTTAAGGGTAGGCACACAAATTTAGGGTAGGAATGGTTAGCCAAAACACAAGATTAGATTTTCTCATATGGCCTAATCAATTATTGATTTGCAACCGGAAGTAATAAACTGTTTAATGATCGATTGCATAATCAATTTTTAATTTTATGGAAATAAAGTGAGAACAGGACTGTTACATCAATATAGAGTTGTGACCTATATACTGTTATTACATTAGGTTTCGTTCTTTTATAATGAATAGGTTTCAATATCTGTTATGCAATTTTGTCAGCCATGAATAGTAAAAATCATAAAAATCAATTACTTTAAACGCATTCTTCAAGCATATAGATATAATTTCAAGTAGGCAAAACATTTAACAAAAAAAACACCTAATTTTGGTAATCAATGAACTGACCCAACAAGAGCCTGTCAACATTATTCCAAAACATTTTTTTTGACATTTAAATGTTTTCTTTGATCATTGGACAGCTTTTGGTAACAAAACCTGCGGGACACAATCTGTTTCTGCTCCGCAATTTCATATAAACGTGCAAATAATGCTTGCATGCCTGTGATAACGGGAAAAAGAGCAAGTGATATTTCAGCCTAAGTGAAAGTGACTAGTCACTCATAATTTGAGTTAGCATGGACATGTTTCTCATAAAAATTACAATATATACATCTCGCTTAAAACAAAAACAAAATTTTATTTAATGCAACAATCCTCTGCTTCAACTATTGAAGTTATTCTGTTGGAAATATTCTGTTCTTAAGGTAATTTTAACAGCACAGGCTTTGGGAATTTAATTGATAAAGAAATGTTGAGTTTGATAAGATCACCATACATACTACATAGTTCATTTCCAAGGGTATAGAAAAGATGTATTTATACTTATTTTCCTGGTATGTATTTAAATAACTCGATGTTGTATACAGGATTTGGGTCTGGTAACTGTTGAAAGAGTTATGGCCCTTTAATCATCTTTTATTCCAAACTTTGTCTGGAATATTATAACTTCATGTTCACCAAGCTTGCTAATTTAAGTTTCTTGTGAAGGGAGATTGTCCTGTAATGAACCAATGTATCGTATCGTTCACACAGTATGGAGAATAATGATGTTTTGTTCAGTTACATGTATGATTCTGAAGGTTGTCTGGAAAACATGATTCTTTTCCTTTATTCACCAAACTTTTATACTTATGCCTCTTTGAAAACGTGATTAAAACTGAAAAGAGGATGGAAAATTGTGATCGGTTTAGTTAACTTGTTTTGTGTTTCAAGATATAATTTAGAGACATATTCAATTACATCTTTTGCTACAATCACAAATGCAAAATTGTTGCGTTAAGCTTATTTGCTTAATTATTGTTGAAGTCTTTGAGATGTCAAGGTGCATAGGTTATTGTTTCTGGTGCTTGTGTTGTGGTTAACTTGTAAGGCGTGCAAGAAAAAAAATGTATAGATATCTTTGGGTACAGTAAGGAGTGAGTGAGAATTAAAAACTTGCATTTGTTTTTCATTTTACATCAGTATTTGATATTTCAAAAAAGGCTAACTTGTACTATTAATATATTTTTTGTTTTAATTCTGTCCCCTTTTACTAATATTTTTGGTTTGGTTATACATTTTAATTTCTATATCTTTCTAACTAATATTTCAAAATTATTTTTCTTTCCCTTTTTACATATTTTTTTCCTTTTTGTTTTTGTTTTGTTAAAATTCCAATAATTTGTACAATATATGCCATACAAATATGAACTGTCTCTCTTTTCCAATAGAGATTGAAGTTCCAGTTACTGTAGTTAAATATAAGGTGAACTGATCTATATCATTTTACACTCCCTCCATTTTCCAGTACAAGGTACCCATTGAGAAAATTAAATTAAGTCCTGGTTAAGTTCATTATTACTATAAGTCTGAAAAGTTTGTTTGTCTAGATCACAATATGACATATGTACTACAATAAATTGCAATGAACAATCAATTTCCATTCATGTTTGTTTTCCTGGTAACAACTACTACAGACTCAGCAGTCAAAGAACCTTTTATTATTGATGTTTTTTTCATATATATATATATATATATTTTTTCTTTTTCCTGTTTCTTTTTTAAACTTCAGAATTATCTGTTTAATGTTGATGGCATTTAATATGTAAAGAAGTTATCAACCAAGTTCCTGTAGTATGGGACTTGACTTTCTCTTATGTTGTATATATGAAGAAATATATAATTTTTGTCATTGTTACTTTCTACAAAATGTCATTAGGTTCTTGTTACATCAAAAAGAACTTTTTATGCATATTTTGAAAAATAAAATAGAATAAATGTGATTATACAAATCTGGGCAACTGATGCAGTATGTCATAAAAAAAATATAATTGAAATTCAAAATAAAAAAAAAAAACCCAGTAATTGTCAGTTGTAAATCACTGCTCCATAAGTATCCCTGTCCCACTACACAGTACAATTTAGTTTTTTCTATCTGCAGTAACCTCCCTTTAACTTTGGCATGGATCTAACTGTAGCACAGTTGGGGCAGGATACTTCTGTTGACCAGGTTACTATAGACCTGCCAGTTAGAGATAGCATCACATTCTGAAGTCCAGAGTTCGAATTCTGTCTAGCTTCACAGATTTTGTTTCTCTCTTAAGCACTGCTGGTGATTACATTTTGTTTAGTTCATTTAATTATTATTTCCTGAAAAAGACTTTTTTTAGAAATGAAATGTTGAAGTAATAGTCATGCTGGAAACTTTGATGCTAGTTACAACTTGAAGCAGTGGTACAGGATCCTTCAGGTAAAACAGAGCACCCAGTGCTCTGTGCTGTATCCTCAGTAATGAGGACTTCTTATTTGTTTTGAATTTAGTCCAACTTCAAATTACTCGCCAATCAATGATATAACAATGTAATATATAGAGATTAATATACGAAAGATATACACATCATAATTTCCTTTTTACAAACTATCTGGGCATTAATACAGGTATTCCATCCACAGGCCCCTCAATGGTAAAGCAGGGAGCTTATTAAGTCTGCTTCTGGTCATGATATTTGTGGTTTTACATACTGTTGCAGCTTTACTGAGTATAACTCCTTAAATAGACTTGGAAATCATATAGTAATCTCTGTATGAAAGAAGAGGAAATGACCTAACTTTAACAGAAAGAGAACTCCTGATGGCCTGTACTCACTGAAATAGGTGATGGAATTCTACCTTAATGTTTAAGCAATTTAGAAGGAGAGTTTTCATTATCACCTTAACCTGTTTGTAGAGCTGTTCTGGTCGGTATCTTTCGTTAGTAGCTAAATATATGAGATATGTTGTGATACAAAATGCCGTGACCATCAGGAACACTATTGCAATATTTGAAACAGGCCTACGGTTTCATTAAATACACCTTGAAAGATGATGTAACAGTATAATTATTTTTACATGGTGTTGTAGCCCCGTAATGCTTTGTCCTGTATATTTTTCTTGTGTAAGAGTGTGATGAAGGTGACAAAAAACTACACACTTAACAATAAAACAGTTTGAACATTGACCATTTGTTGCTTTGTCATCTTAGTTGAACCTAGATGAATGTGTTATTGTTGTTTTTTTCACATCAAAGACAAGATTTCCACGGAATTACATATCTCGTCTCCCCCTCTTTGACCGTCAACGGCAATTAATCAGTTTGAGAATCGGAGCAAATAAGAATTTAATGATAAATAGGTAAGGCGCAAGTTTGGTGGAGATTTGGTTTGTGTGACACTTACATTTTCGTAGAAACACAGGAGGCTGTGTCCGCTGAAAAAGTGAAATTGAAAAGGCTAAAAACCTGTATTATATGTTGATATGGTTCAATGAAGACGTATCAATTTCAAAGCCAATCAAAGAGACGATTGTCATTTAAACATATTCCTGTTCGGAATCGAGACTTACTCCTTGTGAACTATATACAAAATTTGTCTGGCATACCGCATATAGTTGCTGATAAATAGGTAAGTGTAAAGTTTTTGACAAATTCTAAAAACAAATAATGTAACCCACGCAGGCGATTGTTTCTTTAAAGATTGAGTAATAAGTACAGTATGCCAAAAATGAAAAGCACTCCACCATATAGCTGTAAAGAAAATAAAATTGGAGAAAAAAACGGCTAAAACCCCGTATGTTATGTTTAACAGTACTGTTCAATGAAGATGCATATCCATTTGGTAATCAAGTTGACGCCCATCCTCGATATCCAGGGGTCACGCTCACTTTCGCTCTCTACACCCCTGGAATAGGTCAGCAAAATTGAAGACACGAAGATAGCTGTTTGATTGGTCTCGGGTAAAAAAACACCTGACCAATCGTTAGGCTGATACTGTACTTGTCCTTTGAAGATTACAAAGGAGAGACACCCGACTTATAAGCCTGTCAATTTGTACCGTTACGTGACCGCGAGATTCTTTTGATGTATATCAAAGGAACAAGGTGGCACACACTGAACCTTCGATTTTGCTATGACAATATCCCAGGGGTGCAGAGAGCGAAAGTGAGCGTAACTCCTGAATATCGAGGATGGTTGACACCGGATAAGAAGCCATGTTTATTTCGCAAAATTCTGTGATTATTTTACCTCGAAGATATACCACTGCAGTTCTAACATCTATTTCTCTCTTGAAATAAGATATGCACCCCTTAACCTAACTATTCGTACCAAATATGGGGGTTGAACTGCCGGGAGTTGCTTAGAAACGAAGCTAAACGCAAAACGTTCCTCTATTTATTCTCTTTAATTTGTATACAGAGATGCAGACTGATGAGGACCATGCATACGTTTGATAGCCATTATGATGTCATCGGGAAATATTTGCTATTCCTTAGTATTGTATGAAGATCTTAATTAGTATTGTATGCAGATCTAGGTTTTTAACTGTGCTCATAAATGTACCTTTAATATTGTTTCCTTGTGACTACCTCGATTCCCCGTTTTGGGATGTGACATACGATGATTCCTTCGCCCCTCATAGTCATAATGCGAAATCACAAAGGAACAAAATGTCAAATATGAGGGTAAATAGACCATAATGGTCGAAATACAGCAGGAACATTCTCGAAACCCAAGAACTCCACTCTCTTTACACATATATATCTTCTGTTCACTCTAAGAATATGTTTTGGCGAAATCAAAGGCACGTGGTTTGCTATTTGATCGGTCTCAAGTATAAAAACCAGTTGCTTGGATCATACCTGTCCTCTGAAGAATACGGAGAAGCAGCACCGACTTAAAAGCTGGTTAATTTTACCGTGATGCTACCTTCATGTGTGAACCGCCAAGTGGCACGTACAGACACCTCAGTGTGATCACACATTGGTGAATGTCCGGAATTGAGAAAAGAATATACCGGGTGTTACCCTCTGTATATTGTGAGAGGCAACCGTGGACACGAAAGCGACCAACAATATATCTGTGGCACCCGTTGCAACATTTTGGATCTATATATAGTTATATATTTCTGTCTTCTTTCTTATTACTTTTTAAGAACTTATTAGCAAATTTAGTTTATAGAAACTTGTATCAAACGTGAATAATTGATAAGCAGCTATCGATCACTCACGTGTTCTGCCATCCTGGAATATGTCATGACGAACTCGAAGGCTCTGTACGTGTACATCAAAAGTAACGCGCTGCAGCGTATCTTTAAAACTGAACGGCTATGAAGTTTGGTGTCGTACATCTGTAATCTTCAAACGACAGGTATCAGCCAAGCGACTTGTCATTTTTAGCCTAAACCAATCAAATAGCTAACCACATGTCTACGAATTTGTTATGGTATATTCGAGGGGTGCAGAAAACGTAAAATTACTGAGCCAAACCCAAGGAATTTCGAGGACGGAGTTATTTAAGGACGTGCCTCGGTGTGTATTTTATGCTGAAGACAGTTTATTGTTATATTCCCCTCATTGCGATAGTGCGGATCTGATGCCAACTTTGGAGTGCTACTTCACTGAAATGCCATGCCTTAGGCCCTCAGCGTAGCATTCCAACCGATCATATTGTGACAACGGCTTATAATAAGTTGTTAGGATAACCCGAAATGCTGAAAGTTTAGCTACACGCGTGATGAATCTAGATATTGAGTAGATGTACGTGACTAGGGTATGAAACACCAGGCGAAGGGGATGTTTATTGGCTGTTCATGAAATGGGAATTGTCAGGTGGCTTATGTATAATGCCTTGATATGTTGATGTAGTGATATAGATGCATAAATAATTTCACTAACTACAGCGATAACGATAGCCAGATCAGACTGCTGGTTTAAATACTTGAGTGACCTCGTATTTTTTTCAATAGAAAACGATCTCCACTTGCAGAGGATACAAACAATCTTGACAATAAATTAACATCTATTATATAAATCGGTTGACATGTTTACATTTATAATACATGAGATAAAATACGATCAATAATACATATTGCACGTGTGATATATACAATAAAAGTAAACAAACAAACTGGAAGACAAGGTTGCACGCGCTTCGCGAGTTTATTAACAAGCACTTGGGATGTTTTATTTAATTTATTAATAGTAAAATATATAAAAAAAACTTAATGAAAACAGGATCGGTCCTAATTTCAATAAGGTTCTTTTTCAATTGTTTATTTATTAATTATTTAATTTTTCTTACGGCTAAACTCAAGTGCCTGTAGTAGAACGGCCCAGAATGTAATAATTTTGTTTAATTAAAGACATTTCTTAATTTTTTAATCGACCTGTTAAGCCAACAAGGCGTTTGAAGGCCAGGTCCTGGAGATTTTGATGTAATGTTGTTACTATGTATCAAATATCAATCAATACAGGTTAAAGACATGTTTACTACAATGTTTTCCTATAGTTGCATATATCCCTACTACCGCATCTCAACCCGATACCTCCTTATCAGCGCGAGGGACCTCCGGCTGTTCGGGCAGATGGGTCAAGGAAATCATAAAATACAAAAAGCCATTAGCTTGACTCTTGCTCTCGTAAAACGCGTTTTGACGAGTATTATTTCATGTGTTCAAAATATTTGTCCTCATTATGAATGTACTCGAATATTCGTCGAATGACCATTTATTCGCAAAAAATGATAAAGTATTATCAAAGCATCATTTTCATATTTGATATTTTCTTACCGCTCAATAAGGCCCATATTAACCCACTGCGCTGCTGATAAACAGTGCTACCTTTTATGTGTGTATCAAACTTCTGTTTCATATGTTTTAGCATATGTGCATGCAGATAGAGAAACAAACTAAATTCAGTATAATATAATAAGCTTTCTGTGCTTTGCATCATTTCATTGTCAATGATAGGATTACTTGGGCCTATTTGAAAGTCTGTTTGGTATGCAAAACATGTTTTTCACGTGATTTATATTTCATATAATCGCCTTGTTGACTGACATCCACTGTGTTTTATCTCTGTTTGCCTATCGCAAACCACACACAAAGTAGCTAAATCTATATACTCTATACAAAACCGATAGTTGAAAAACATCCAAAATCAATAGTCAGAGTACAATTTACGTTTTGTAATCAAACTTTAGACGTCACTCTCTTATAAATAATCGTTCCAGTTCAATTGGGGTTAAAAAAAACCAGACCGTAAAATTCAGCACTATCAGTAAAGCTGTCACTTCGTTAGCTGCGCAGTAGGTTTCCTAATCCATTGTATATAATTCCTCCAGACAAGTGTGGCGCATTCGCCTTCTCTAAACTATTACTTACTTAAACTGAATGAAATTGCGGTTCAGATCACAACTAGATACTCAAGACTAATTACAATTTGCGCTCACTTCATTTCATGAACTCATATTTATTTACCATTTCGCGATGAATACAGCGTGTATGATTTATTTAACCACGTTTGAGTTTTAACGACGTTTTTCATTGGCAGAAATCACGCATTATCATGTTAACAATCCAGCCGTGGAGTGGTCAAATATTGTGTCGAATGAGAGGGATGGACAGATATTTTGTAAATATTCAAACTTTTGCTTATAGTCTTTAGTTTCTAGACCTACTAAACATTTAAAAAAACTCATGATCAAACTGTTTCATCGAACTCACCATAAACGGGACTTAAATAGCTTTCTTAAAGTGTCGTCTGCTGGATAACCGAACTACTCGGTAGTGAGCGGACGTAAAACAACTAAACAAAAGCAAACATACAGGGTTTTTAGTACACCGTATATAACATTGATTTCATGTGTTGACGAGTTCTGTCGACAAAATGATGCTTTTTATGACTGAAATTAAGCATCTTATATAAAGCATGACGTCAGTATCTATTTTTAACATCTGCCGAATAGATAAACCAAATGGCGCTTTTTGGGTTTACTGTTTTGGAAAAAGAGTTGTTAAATTTGACTAGGCATACCAGAACATCGGTAAACTTTCTCACGGTAAAGTCACGCACAAGCAGCGGGACGACGTATATTCCTTGGTTGCTTTCATATTCGTATAATTACGATTAAACAACGAGTAGAACCTATTTGGTATTTTTCATAGATGTCCAAATTGAACAGGACAGCTACCTACAGCGTACGAAAAATAAAAACGCACCGCTTGTTGTGGAATGAAGACAAAGTCATCACATGATTAATATTTGCATGCACAAAATAATTCACTAATTAAAGTAATTTGATTATCTAAGTGAAAGGTCATCTTGTATTCTATAAGTATGAGTTAAACACAAAGGCATAGCATATTACGCTGCAAAAGAGATGTAAACAGATACATGTATATATATGTGTTAATAGTGTGGTGGGGAATATATAACTAAAGGTTCGAAAACGTTTGAACAACACTTAACTTGTTATTTATTTTCCAAGTATTTCTTACCTTCGTTATATATTCTATCATAAAACATGCACGCATGTTGATTTTTTCCTTAAATGATTATCGAGATACTTGAACTCGTGCTCGATACATAACGCTACTTTACGCGAAAATGCATATCAATCCATTACGTAAATATTATACAGTTTATCAAACCCTCACCTATGGAAAATGAAAACTTTTTACTACCCAAACAAATCGTATCTTTATAAGAAACAAAAAAGTTATGTATACCAGGTCAGTTTGTTTCATAATAACAGGAATATATGTTGTCGACCTTTGATATTTGAATGTTGTTTCTGGATAATTCCAGGGAAATACTTGGGGGATATTTTTTATCATCTAGCAGGATTTGTTGGTTAAGTACAAGCGTTAGTATGGTGTTCTTTTTGTTTCTGTACGCATCCAGCAAATTCTCAACAATCAAACTGTTACCTTACAAAGTTCCGAAGTAACATTTTGATTCATTGATATAAAAGCCACAATAAACTTAGTGGACTAAACCCCCACTAGATTGCAGGGATAAAATGACTCACGATTACATTCCTGCTGCCTTACATTGGATCAAGGTATACAGAAAGTAGGTGTGGCTAAAATGTAATAGTCGAATCACAGATATGGTAACAAACATGATGTAATGCGAACTTATATATATAATATTGTTTTACATCTCAGACACAACGTCATTTTCTAACACTAACGAGAATACAAAGGAGAGTATTTCAACAATCTGGTGGGCTTTCTTCTATTCAAGGTAACTATCAAGGATTGTATCTTTGTTTATCAATATTTGGTATTATATACACAATTGTTACACTTACAGAAAAGGAGACTTATTTCTCTTCAATTAATGATGAAACACACATATGTACTAGATTTCTTTTTGTTCAGTCATGACAGGAAACATTTATAAGCCTTTATCTTTCGTTATTCTTGTGCGTCTTGTACAACATTAGTATCTAGATCTCACAGTTTTCTGATTTTATCATCAGTAGTTGCAACAGACATGTACGCTCCACGCATTTTTGTATTTGTTCTTATTTTTAAGTATTCGTTTTGATATAACGGTCCCGACATGTAGCTTTGATACAAATTCATCAGAAGATTGCCGTCATGTTATTTTTAAACCGATTTTTAAATCGTAATTTGATGTACTGTAGAAATTAAAGATTAGAATAACAGGCAGACGTGCAGGAAACGAACACCAGTCTAAAAGAAGGAAGCGCTCGAAATATTACTTCATCTCAAAAATGCATCATTCTCGGATTCAAAGAAGATAGTTGCTTGGTTGGGTTGGTAGCGCAACTAGTAAAATTACCATCGAGATGCATGCAATTTCAATGAAAAAAGTTCATTTTTTTACAAGGTGTAATGCAAATCACAGGTGATAACTATATGAATTTAACTTTTTTTGTTTCCTTCTGACATGTAATAGAATAAACAAAACTCTATCTTCTGGGACCAGTCAATTCGATACCAATAAGAATATTATATTATTGTAGCATTCCTGGAATTTTACTAAATATGTTCTAATATCAGGATGGATAGAAATTATTCTATAAGTTATGTTTGCACAAGTCTTCTAATGGACTGAATTTAGCCAAACTAATTAGTGTCATAATCCGATCATTAGCAAGTGTTTACTAGCTTCTGGTTGGTTCAAAATTTAGATATCATCTATTAAGGCACAGCAAGCGCTACATAATGCAGCATTTGCAACTAATGGAGCAGTTTTGAGGACTTCTGTAAAGGGTCCAGTTTTAATCATCACTTACCATTTGTTTTATTTTCTTCTTCACCCGCATTTACTTGCCGAATACAAAATACACTTCACATGAGTATAATTAATATACATGTGTAAATGTGCATATCGAGTTTTTTTCTGTGATCTGACATTTAACATGGCCTCTGCGACTTCTGATTGACTGAGACATTATAGACAATGTTTTAGTTTATTCTGTAGATTGTAACGTTAAAAGTTGTGAAAGAGAATGTTTTACAACTTTGTTTTGTTTTGTATTTGCAGATGAATATCACTTTACTGGTATCTCTATTTACCCTGTTGCTGATAATTAGTCCACCTGAAGGTCAGTTAATTTCTATTTAATCCTTCTCTAGAACAAACCAGTAAACAAAGGTTTTTCTTATGGCGATAACCGATAAAAACACTAGTTTGACATTAAATATTATAAAATAATGACAGTGAGATCTAGACTGACTTCTTTGACAGTGAGATCTAGATTGCACCTTTGACTGTGAGATCGAGATTGCTCCTTTGACAGTGAGATCTAGACCGACTTCTTTTACAGTGAGATCTAGATTACTTCTTTTACAGTGAAATCAAGATTGCTTCTTTTACAGTGAGATCTAGATTGCTTCTTTTCAAGTGATATATAGATTGCTTCTTTTACAGTGAGATCTAGACTGCTTCTTTTATTATGAGATCTAGATTGCTTCTTTTACAGTGAGATCTAGACTGCTCCTTTTAAAGTGAGATCTAGATTGCTACTTTTGCAGTGAGATCTAGGCTGCTCCTTTGACAGTGAGATCTATATTGCTACTTTGACAGTGAGATCTAGATTGCTTCTTTTACAGTGAGATCTAGGTTGCTTCTTTTACAATGAGATCTAGATTGCTTCTTTTCCAGTGAGATCTAGACTGCTCCTTTTGAAATGAGATATAGATTGCTTCTTTGACAGTGAGATCTAGATTGCTTCTTTTACAGTGAGATCTAGGTTGCTTCTTTAACAATAAGATCTAGATTGCTTCTTTGACAGTGAGATCTAGGTTGCTTTTTTACAGTGAGATCTAGACTGCTTCTTTTATTATGAGATCTAGATTGCTTCTTTTACAGTGAGATCTAGACTGCTCCTTTTAAAGTGAGATCTAGATTGCTTCTTTGACAGTGAGATCTAGACTGCTCCTTTGACAGTGAGATCTAGATTGACTTCTTTGACAGTGAGATCTAGATTGCTCATTTAGCAGTGAGATATAGACTGCTTCGTTTACAGTGTTATCCAAATTGCTCATTTTAACAGTGACATCGTGGTTGCTACTTTTTTGACAGTGAAATTAGATTGCTAATTTGTTAATAGTGATATCTAAATTGCTCCTTTTAACAGTGATATGTATAGATTACTAATTTGACAGCGAGATCTAGATTACTTCTTTCGACAGTTCAATCTAAATTGCTCATTTTGACAGTTCAATCTAAATTGCTCCTTTGTTGACAGTGAGAAATATTACTCATTTGGCTGTGAAATACAGATTGCAATGTTTTTGAACATTGAGATCTAGGTTGCTTCTTTGAAAGTGAGATGTTCTAGATTGCTTCTTTGAAAGTGATATCTATATTGCATCTATTTTTAACAGTGGGATTTAGATTGCACCTTTGGCAGTGATATGTAGATTGCTTATTTGACAGTGATATCTTAATTGATTCTTTGACAATGAGATCTAGATTGTTCCTTTATTGACAATGAGTTTTAGATTGGTTTTTTTAACAGTGAGATCTAGATTGTTTTTTTAACAGTGAATTCAAGATCCTTTGACATTGTCATCTAGATTGCTTCTTTGACGGTGTGATTTCACTTGCTCCTTTTGATAATGGGATCTTGATTGCGCCTTGAACGTGACTTATATATTGCCTCTTTGACAGTGAGATCCAGATTGTTTCTTGTGACACTGAGATCTCAATTTATTCTTTTGACAGTGATATCTAGATTGCTCATTTGACAATGAGATTGCCCAAATAAATTACCCATCTTTCAGGACACATGCTGATGAAAACTCGCTTTGTCCAGACGTTGAATACGGTTCTGACAGCAACATATTTATAACACAATATTAGCGAAATAATAACGCTGCAAAAATATCTGATCACCAATAAAAACCATAAAAACCTGTTTCAATATTTAACTATTTGCCTTTCAACAGTGTATGCAGTCTCCACCGCGCCACCTGTCGTCACCGCGACTCCTGTCGTCACCGCGCCACCGCCTGTCGCCACCGCGCCACCGCCCGTCGTCACCGCGCCGCCTGTCGCCACCGCGCCGCCTGGAACAGGTGGAGGATCTAAAGGAGGTGGATCTACTTCTGGAGGGGGAAAAAATGGAACCTCACGGAATTTCACGACAGCAAATTATTTCATCATCATTCTGTTGAACATATTTTGTTTTCTCTTTCTTGCGTCGGTACCTCAGTAAATCTTATACACGTTGTTATTAAAATCTAAACATTGAACCATATTATGCTGGGTGTTACGCCGTTTTTAGTGTCAAACTGATAATGCCATGTACATGTACATCCTTATTTGTAAATGTAAAAACAATAAATAATGATGCACTCATTATATTTATTTCAAGTTCAAAAACTTCCTGCATGACAAAATGAGCAATATAATGCTTTTTGCATCATCTTTAATATGATAAGACGAAATGGAACCGTTTCCGTATAATTTCCTTCCATGTTTTGTACAGAAGCAGGACCAGGACAGATGTCCTGTTTGATAGATAAATCCATACGAGTAGCCAATTAATTTCTTTCTAAAAAATAAATATTTAACAAACAACAAACAAGTTTTTCTCTCTCATTAGTACATATGTTTCCTTCTTTCTCCCAATTAAAATGCAATTCATATACATGTGTGATGGTAACTTTCAAATCAACAGTGGTCGATATGCTATTCAGAGGGGGGGGGGGGGGGGGAATGTAATCGACAGCTTAGCATCGGAGGAAATGTGGTATTTTTTCCATCAAAGGAGTATTGTAATCATGCAACACTTTTCATTGCCGCGATTAGGTCAAAACGCCAAATTGGGGAAGTAGGTATGTGCTGGCTAAAACAAAAAAACACTCTTCTATAGTTGTTTTGTTCAAACAGCAAAACTGTTGTTGATCATTTAATGGGTCAAAATTGAAAATTAAAAAAAAAAACAGTCTTTAAACACAAATGCCTTTTAATTGGGAACATGTGATAATATGATAACTTATTCTCGATAAAAAAAATGATATTTACCGGCAAGTACAAAACGATGATTGACTGGGTGATATAAAAAACAGATCGAAAGTTCTGAATTGCTTCCCTTTAACCTTTATCAATTTAATCAATTACAGAATATACCAGTAATTAATCTGAATTTTTTAAATGTTTAGACAGAAGATTTGTATATATTTCATAATTGTTTGTACCAATACATATTGCTTTTGTGTTGCTTAAAGATAAAAAAAAAAGTCACAATGATTTCAGTGTGTTGTTATCCTTATTGCAGGTAATGCAGTTACATTCCTTAATATTAGAAAAAATACTATTATTTATGAAATATGTAATAAAGCCTTTTTACAATATTTCGGGTTTATGCATTGTTTTATCTACCTGACACAAACTATTACCTGAGGACGAATCAACCAAAATCAAAAGGCTATAATTACATTTAAGTTGGAGCGTATGTAACGTGTTGGAGAGTTCGTTACAAGTCAAAGCTCGGGTTCCCTATATTTGAGTATACATACTAAGTGAGTTAGATCTAACATAATACTTAAGTACAAATATATAAAGATATGAAAATGTAGAACTTGTATCATCATGAGCAATAACTGTTTCGTAGCGAAAGTATAACAAATAAACTACATATCATATCAGCTACCTTGCGCACAATTATCTACATAAATATAAAAAAAAAAAGATTTACAAAGACACGTCTTATTAAACTAGATTCCTTTTACAATGAAATGTCTAAATACAATAGCTTCCTATAACAATGAGATGTCTAATTACTCTAGATTCCTATAACATATAAATGTATAATTGCAAAAGATTCCTATAACAATGAAATGTCTAATTACAAAAGATTCGTATAACAATGAAATGTCTAATTTCAATAAATTCCTATAACAATGAGATGTCTAATTACTCTAGATTCCTATAACAATGACATGTATTATGACACTAGGTTCCAATTACAATGGTATGGATAATTACACTAGATTCCTATAACAATGAGATTTCTAATTATACTACATTCCTATAACAATGGCTTGTCTAATTAAACTACCTTCCTATAACAATGACATGTCTAATTACTCTAGATTCCTATAACATTTAAATGTCTAATTGCAATAGATTCCTATAACAATGAAATGTCTAATTACACTACATTCCTATAACAATGACATGTCTAATTATACTACATTACTATAACAATGACATGTATTATGACACTAGGTTCCTATAACAATGGTATGGCTAATTACACTAGATTCCTATAACCACGAAATGTTTAATGACACTAGATTCCTATAACAATGAAATGTCTAATGACACTAGATTTCTATAACAACGAAATGTTTAATTTCAATAGATTCCTATAACAATGAAATGTATATTGACACTAGATTCCTATAACAATGAAATGTCTAATTATACTACATTCCTATAACAATGACATGTAATATGACACTAGATTCATATAACAATGAGATGTCTAATTATACTAGATTCATATAACAATGAGATGTCTAATTACTCTAGATTCCTATAACAATGACATGTTTTATGACACTAGATTCCTATTACAATGGTATGGCTAATTACACCAATTTCCTATAACAATGAGATTTCTAATTACACTAGATTCCTATAACAATGAGATGTCTAATTAGACTACATTCCTCCTATAACAATGACATGTATTATGACACTAAGTTCCTATTACAATGGTTTGGCTTATTACACTAGATTCCTATAACAATGAAATGTCTAATTTCAATAGATTCCTATAACATCGAAATGTCTAATTTCAATAGATTCCTATAACAATGAGATGTCTTATTATACTAGATTCCTATTTCAATGACATGTATTATGACACTAGATTCCAATAACAATGAAATGTGTTATTATACTACATCCCTATAACAATGAGATGTCTAATTAGACTACATTCCTCCTATAACAATGACATGTATTATGACACTAAGTTCCTATTACAATGGTTTGGCTTATTACACTAGATTCCTATAACAATGAAATGTCTACTTTCAATAGATTCCTATAACATCGAAATGTCTAATTTCAATAGATTCCTATAACAATGAGATGTCTTATTATACTAGATTCCTATTTCAATGACATGTATTATGACACTAGATTCCAATAACAATGAAATGTGTTATTATACTACATCCCTATAACAATGAGATGTCTAATTAGACTACATTCCTCCTATAACAATGACATGTATTATGACACTAAGTTCCTATTACAATGGTTTGGCTTATTACACTAGATTCCTATAACAATGAAATGTCTACTTTCAATAGATTCCTATAACATCGAAATGTCTAATTTCAATAGATTCCTATAACAATGAGATGTCTTATTATACTAGATTCCTATTTCAATGACATGTATTATGACACTAGATTCCAATAACAATGAAATGTGTTATTATACTACATCCCTATAACAATGAGATGTCTAA